CCGGCTGACGGCGAGGTATGGGGAGTGGAAGGATGGAAGGAAGGGAGGGAGGAAGACCATCCGCTAACCGGCCAGCGTACCTGACTAAACTAAACGTTTGATCCGCCACACAGCCCATCCACTTCCGTGCGTATAAACGGTTCTCTCCAGCCAGCTAGACTCCAGCATCCAACCAGCCAGATCATCAGCCAGCAGCCTCAACCAGAAGAAAAGTAGAAGAAAATCTAAACTCAGATCTCCATCTCCACCCATAACTACCACACTCAGCACTGGCAGACTGGGCACTATGGCACAAGCCGAATGCTGATGTTGATGGTCAGTAAATCCAAGCAAGGCGTATTTAATTGGCTCTCTATTAAACGCGAAAGGCTCAGTCGGTCAGTCAGTAGTTATACCCAGTCTGTAGTTATACCCAGTAGTAATACCCAGTAGTTATACTCGGTAGTAATACCTAGTAGTTATATCGAGTAGTAGTGGTGCTATATCCAGTTCAGTTCAGTTCTTGGTGGTAGGTGGACAGGGCTCAGGACAGAGCCAGGGCAGGGCAGGGCAGGGCAGGGCAGGGCGCCGGACGGGCGACTAACTCAGTAGCTAGGTAGCTGGCAGTCTAGCAGTCTTCCTAGTAGAGTCCATGCCTAGCAGAGTTCATGGCTAGGTAGGCATGCAAAGCACCTATAAATAATTACGCTGGACTGCACTGCACTGGACTGTACGGATTATTTGATTCGAGAGCTCGCGCGCGCGGGTAGGGAAGGGAAGGGTGAGTGTGAGGATGGGATTGGGATTGGGATGAGGGTGAAGAATAGGTGGTGGAGGGAGGGAAGGTTCCGCCAGAGAATTTGCTGATGGAGCTTTCAGAGAGAAGGCGCGGGGGAGAGATGGGGGGGGGGATGGAGGGGAGGGATAGGTAATTCGGTTGAAACGCCCGCTGAAGGGTAGGGCACGCACTCGCACACACGGAGAGAGAAAGAGAGAGGGAAAGAGGGAAGCGGATGGGAACACACACACGCAACAGAGTAGGTACTCTACTCTACTGGGTATCAAGCGAGCGAGCGGAGGAGGATGCGAACGAAAGAGAAAGAGGGAAAAGATCGGGGACGATCGGTCGACAAGTATTGTACATACCGGTACTTGGGTAAGTGCTTAGTTCACGTACATACGGGAAAATCAGGCGATATAAAATCCCCGTGGATGGATATACTCTATGGGGCGGCGACAACGGCGGCGGCGGCGGCTCTCTCTCTCTCTCTCTTTGTTTGACCTACCCAGGTGCCCGGCCGCATTTCCGGATCCGCGTCGCCTCGGACTGACTGGTAGGGGGAAGCCTTTTCTTATTTTATTGCTATATCAACCGGTCGGTATAGGGAGCCAACAAAGAAGGCCACGGGCGATGGGGTCGGAGATGGGTACTCATGCTCAGACCCCTCATCGCCATCTCCATCGCCGCCGCCGGAAGTAGGGGCGGCGATCTCCCATCCCCATCCCCATCCCCATCTCCATCTTCATGCATTCTGGCCCGAGGTTATTGTAAAATATAATGAAAAATATGGCCACGAGTTCCCGGCCATATGACTTGGAGATGCCGATGGGTGCAGTTGCAGTGGCTCTGCAACCGGTCTCGCGGTGAAAGGTGAAAGGAGACCCACGACCCACGAGCCATGCAGTGCATGGTCCGCCGGAGAAGGATCCTTCCCTTCTTGTTTGTGAGAGCTCTGGATGTATGTACTCAAGTATTCCAAGCAGCCCAATTACTATGTATACCCAAGCAAAAGGCCAAGTATTACCAAGTATCAAAGTACCCACGCACAGATAAATATGGTGGCCCCGGGCGCCGATAGAGTAGAGTACATAGATCGAATCTCATGCCGGGCGTTGCCAATTGCAAGTATGACAACTACCGGTATGTAATGTCATGTTGCCCGCATACATACCGTATTATTATTCGGTGGACGTTCGGCGTTCGGTCGGAGGTACAATACGGTACATAGGAGCCTTGGCTCGGATTGGCCAGTAATTATTTCTAGTTGGTAGAAATGGCAACTGACTAATTATTGGTTAGAAATCAAAGGTGGACTCGCGGGACAAACAGTAGTTACGGAGACCATCATGCAAAAACACAATGCAGCCACATGCCAGCCGCAACGACGAGACGACGACGGCTCATGCACTTCCGATTCGTTGCCGCCTGCCGACACCCAGCAGGTGGCTTGACTGTGAATCTGCGAGTCTGCAAGTCTGCGACCGGCTGCAGAGTTTCTACATACATATCCACCCGTATTTACATGGGCTAGTCACTGGGAATAGGGCGGATAGGCGTCATGGTGCCTGATTCGACCGTTGTACGGATCGGACCTAGAGCACCTGAATATGTAGATGCACTCGGCGAGGCCAGTCATCAATGACAAGAAAAAGAGAAAAAATAGCAACAACGGACGGGAGTTGTCGAGAGCGAGCGCGAAGGACTCCGCACATATGTACCATACATAGTCGTCGGTCAAGGGGTACGGATGCAGGCGCGTGTTTCACGTTCGATACCTCCTGGCCAGTCGGGAGAAGGCAGGGCAGTGCTGCCAGTGCAGGGCGCGAACGAACAACAAGAAGAAGAACAAGAAGCAGAAGAAGATGGATGTGGGAAGCAAAGCGAGCCACACACACTCCGCTCGTCGTTCCTGACCGACCTGTCAGAGTTTCGGCCTCACAGGAAGGGCAGAGGAAAGATGTGCAGAAGGAGAAGAGGGCGGCGTGAGTCGTGATGATGATGCGCATCCGGGCTCGAGGGATGGAGCCCACCTATTACCGGAACGCACACACCTTTTTCCTTTTCCCCCTCTCTTTTTCCTTCTCTTTCTCTCCTCTCTTTCTCTCTCATTGTGGCAGTTGCATGCCCGGAGGATGGAGACGGGGTGTGTTCGTGCGTGTGTAGGTACATACTCTACTCACAAGTGGGTACATGCCCCCTATTTCCGAGATGCATTGTTGAATCTCCGGTAGGCGAGGACTCGGGAGATGTCGAAATGGAACTCCTGGCTGGCCGCCTCCTCCTATTCCTCCTCCTGGCCTCACGACATTCCTCTCGGCCCTCCGTTTGTTGCAGTTGGTAGATCACGATGCCACGATGGTGTAATAGTATCCACCGCGAATCCGTGCATAAGTACTTGCCTTTGTGGCTGGGTGCCCGGTGCACAAGTATCAGTGACAAACAAAGAGCGATAGAGAGATAGAGAGACGGAGAGAGACGGCAGCCACTCTATTGCAGAACAGTTGTGGATAGAGTGGCCTACATGTATCTGGAGTGCATAGTACTTTGGTATATACATACGCTCACGGCGGACTGCCCTTTCGAGGTCCAATGACTGGTCGCGAGAATCTGCTACACTAGTGAAAGCAGGAGAAGGTCTGTTTGATCATCGGACTGGGTGGAAGCCAAGTTTCCCTGAGGTTAGTTAGGCTGTACATACAAATGTACCTGCTCTAGATTCTAGAGTGCGCCCTCCATCGATCGTCATCCCGGCAGCGGGTGCGGAATAGACCATGATTCGCCGAAGAAGAGAGCGAGGAGAGACTGGAAAGTGGGGCGGAGTAGGAGAGCGAGAGCGAATCGATGGACCGGTTCTATGTTGGTCCGCGGCGGGGGGCACAACTTACAAGTCGTGAGAATGCACACCTGGCTGGCTGGTTGTGGCTGGCTGGTGATGAATTCCAATGCGAGGAGAGGCGGCGGAGGAGTGAGATTTCTGACCACTCCATCCGTCCCTACCGGAATGGGCATATCGTTGGAGTACGATACGGTACTGGCCGTGGACATTATCGCCATGGTCGGGCACCAGAACACAACACTCACCTTCACAGCGATCACGGACATGCTCCGTATCATTTGTCTGGCCATTCTGCCTACCTATGTGCCTACCGTATACCGGGTGCATATAGTCCTCGTCGTCCACGGCCTTTGATGCTATTGGCATCACTGGAGACCCGCAACGATGAGGGAGACGTCGAGCACTGGAGGGTCGTCACTCGTGACTCGTGAGCACTGAGCACTGAGCACTGAGAATCCGACGAGTGCTTAGAATAGATGGCGGAGCGGAAACCTGAGAGTGACAGCAGTGACTTAGGCCGGTACGGTCCGTGGTCGTGGCCGTGGTCGTGGCCGTCGCCGTGACCGTGGCCGGCCATTGCTTCACGATCAATCGATCCTATGGCCACCCCGCATTCTCCGTCCCCGTGGCTCAGCACCCACACACACATCCCACACAAAATCCCCCCCAATCGACGGCATCTCAGTGGGAATATGCTCTACCGACCAGTGTAGAGTAGACACACCAGGGCAGGGCAAGAGTAATCGTATCGTGACGGAGAGATCTGCTCTGCTATGCTATGTTAGATAGCGATTCGTCTATCCGTCCCTCCATCCACCCATCCACCCATCCGTCCATTCATCTATCACTTTCGTCCATCCTCCTCTCATCACCATCACCATCACCACCATCATCATCCCTCGCTTGAGCGTATCATATCGTCCGCCTCCTGCAAAGCTCTCGTTCTCTCTCCTAGACGGTGGCCGCCCCGCAAGCAAAGCAACACGGTTCGCCAACCCTACACTAAAATACCCACCCATACCTACCATACTCACCTACCTACCGCACCCATACCCATTCCCAACTTCCTTCCCAGCCAGCCAGCGCCCGTCCGTGTGTTCTTCACCTGTTTTAGCCGCCCCCGTTCCTGCAACCCCAGTCACCGCCATCTTTCCGTTCTGCTCCCCCCCCCAAATCCTCTCCCCCCCATCTCTCTTCCCTTCATTAACTTGCATCAGTCCACTCGCCCCCTCTCTCTTCGAGCTTTCTCTTCCCCTCCTCGTCCCCACTTTGCTTTGCGGTTCTGAAGTATAGGTGTACTTCTTCGCTTTCTTTGTGTTTTATTTTTTTATATTTACGTCTACGCGTCCAAGGAAACCGGTCTTTCTCTACGCTGTGACAACGGAAGGCAGGACCCTCCCCTTCGTTCCCTCAACAAGAATCAACTCCTCGTACACTATACACACCCCCCGAACCCACAAAACACCACGCTCGCTCTGCAACCTTGACGATTCGCGACAGCGCCCTGAGACCTGCGGTCACATTCTCCCCCTCTCCACCCCACAAAAAACTTACACACCAAACCCCCCGTTCATCGCATCAAACATCACCTTCATCGCCCTTTCTCCCCGGTGGATCCGACCCCGATTCGAAATCATATCGCCTAGTTTCCCTCAACTGCAGTAGCACCCTAGAAAACAGTTTCGTTGCTCTCCCTTTGGATCACAGCAGAGTCGACCTCCGCCTGGAATAGAACGCAAGAACGACAGAAAAGAAAAAAGACTCGTACCATCCACAGCCATGGCCCACTTAATGTACACCCAGCCGCACCTCGCGAATCAGCAGAAGCCAGAGACCTTTATGCTCTCCACAGAAGCCCAGCAGTCATTACCACACGACGCTCAGGTGGCTCTGCAGCAAGTTGACAACTGTAAGCCGCCTCTGTTGTGCGTTGGTGGAGAGGGGGGGACGGAGTGGGAAAGGGGTTGGCCTCAGAGTTGCTCCGAGGCGAAGCGAGTGCGGCGCATGTTCGCGACAGCAACAACGTGCTGATGTTTCTTTGCGATAGTGAAATACTTCCTCATCTCCGCGCCTGTAGACTGGGCACCGGATCAGTACATTCGACGATTCCTGCTTCCGACCGGAGAATATGTGTCTTGCGTGTTATGGTATGCTGCCAACCCCCCGAAGAAGAATAAGAAAAAAGAACACGAAAGAAAAAGGGTCGCTGCTCCGTGGAAGCGAGCGAGCTCGGTCCACGTGAAGAGCGATGGAATGGGAGGCATCAAGTGCACGGGCTGACGACATGGTTGTATGTAGGAACAACCTTTTTCACATCTCGGGCACCGACATCGTCCGCTGCCTTTCTTTTCGCTTTCAAGCATTCGGCCGGCCAGTAAAGAACTCGAAGAAATTCGAGGAAGGAATCTTCTCGGATCTGAGAAACTTGAAGTCTGGCACCGATGCCTCGCTCGAGGAGCCTAAAAGCCCGTTCTTGGACTTTCTGTACAAGAATAACTGCATCCGAACCCAAAAGAAGCAGAAGGTTTTCTATTGGTACAGCGTACCGCACGATCGCTTGTTCCTTGACGCTCTGGAGCGCGACCTCAAGAGGGAGAAGATGGGCCAAGAGGCAACCACCGTTGCCGTTAGCGAGCCCGCGCTCTCCTTCGAATTCGACTCTTCCCAGTCGCTGTTTGAGCAGCTCACCAAAGCACAGCAAGCCAACTCTTCGTCGTTCTCTGCCCATGCTTCTTACTCGTCTTCCACTTCGCCCGTCATGCGCGCGATGGACTCGATGCCACCACCACAGCTCATCCCCGCACCGATGGCCGTCGTGCCCGAGGATATGGGTCCCGTCACTTCGTACGCCTCGCAGATGCCATTGCCCGCGCCCGTCAAGAGGGAGGATGACTATGGCGCCTACTACCCCGAACGTGGTGGAATGCCCCTTCCGCGACCCATGCACCAGCGCACCCACTCCATGCCCAGCTACCTCGAGTACTCGCCAGCCCCCTCGTTCGCCCCGTCGGAAGACTACAGCAACCGTGGACTATCGTACGAGCCCGTGACACCGCCCCAGCAGATGGTCAACCTTTCGGAGCCCCACTACCTCTCCAACGATGCGCCCGCGATGTACCAAGATCACGGACACCATCACCATATGGGCGGCATGATGGCTCTTCCCCTGCCGGCTGTTAGCGGAGCTCCCTTCTCCTCGACTCCCCGTGCGTACAGCAACAGCGTCTACTCCGTCATCGAGGGATCGCCCACATACAAGCAGCGCAGGAGACGGTCGTCGATCACGCCTGGCATCAGCGCATTGAGCAACGGGGTTCACGGGCACGTACGGAAACACAGCGACCATCAACTCAGACGGTCCGCCACGGCATCCGTCGTTCCCGAGAGCGACGGCGAGGATGGAAGTGTCCATGGCATGTCGATGCACCACAGGGAGATTGTCGACCTGTCCCGACAAGGAACGCCCATGTCGGTCATGGAGGGCAGCCCAGCACCTCAGATGGTTCACCACGAGGGTAGCCCCATGCGTGATTACGACGACCTCAAGCACGGCGGCGCCGCTGTGATCAGACGTGCCAAGAGCGCGACCGTTATGGAAGTTGGACCGTACCCCCAGAAGTCGCACTCCTGCCCGATCCCGTCTTGCGGACGCTTGTTCAAGAGACTCGAGCACCTCAAGAGGTTTGTTGCTCCCCTCCAGTTTACCGAAGAACGTATTGGCTGACACTACATTAAGACATGTTCGCACGCACACGCAAGAGCGACCATACATCTGCAACCACTGCAACAAGGCCTTCTCCCGTTCCGACAACCTTGCCCAGCACCGTCGGACCCACGACCGTGATGGCGCCAATGGCTCCAACGACAGCTACAACTACAGCGAGGAGGACCTAGAAAACGAGGACGATCAGCTGCAGAATGGTGACGACGGTTCCGATACTGTCGAGCAACACAACCCCTACCTGCCTATGGCTTCGGGGCACCACTCACTGCCGGCGCCAAGTTTAATGCACTCGGCGTTGATGCAGCAGATGAGCTGAGTGATGGGAAAAGGGTCGTGTCTGATTGTGTTTTCTTGATTTGCCTTACAGCGTATCTTTTGCAACATTTTTCTTGTGGGGTAGCGTTTATGAGGGGCTGGGCTTGGGGCTTACTTCTATGTGCAGCTCAGGAGTGGGAGAAGGGGGGCTTTGCTATTACATATTGATTTGACGGATGGACGGTTTGGGTGGCTTGACTGTATCTGGGATTTTTTCTTTCTTCGTTTATACCCACCTCCTCTACAGTGAGGGAATTTCTTATGTCATTTGTACTTGTTCCATTTTTTTTTATGTTGGCTCGAATCCTTTAACTCCTCCCTTTTGGATGTGGTGCTCCCCATCTTCTGCATCCTCTCTAGTGGCGGTGTTAGTCTTGAGATTGATGAACTGGAGTTCTTTTTGGTGTTGGATTTGGGGGATATTAAAGGGTGGTGGGAGCTATCTATTTGTTTTTTTTTCCTCGGAGAGGACGATCCTCGCAGCAGCTTGCGGATTTCTGCACTTTTCGGTTCCCTTTTTTTTCTTCTTATGTTGGGTTTCGGCAGGCAGGCGGACAGGCGGGTTAGGTTGACAGGGAAACAAAAAATTCCTTTGTTCACTTCCATTTTTTCTTTTCCTTTTCCTTTCCCGTTTCTCTCTTCGTTTCTCTTTCTGCTCTTTTCTGCTCTTTTCTTTTTCTTATATATTCCTTTTTTCGTTTTTGTGTTTCTCTACTACTATAGACTGGCTTTTCTCTTTTCTTTTCTTTTCTTGAGCTTTTCGTTCCGTTTCGATTCTGATTGATGAACATTTTCTTTTCTCTTTTGCGGTTGGTTGGTTGGTTGGTTTATGGTATCGATTGCGGATTTGGGCGGATTTTTTCTCTAGGATAGGATTGGATAGGGTAGGTACGCTGGGTAGGGTAGGGCAGGAAGGGCAGGAAGGATATGATGGCCCAATGATTGGATTGGATTGGATTGGATTGGATTGGATTGGATTGGATTGGATTGGATATTGGAATGGATACTTCTTAGGAAATGGGAACCGTTTTTCTTCACCCGCTTCCCATGATTGGGATGTTTCATTTGAGAATCGTGCAGTGCCGCCTATGTATGGTACTCTGCGCGCGCGCGGAAGGATAGGTACCTCGATACTCCAAATACATATCATGGAGAGAAATGAGGTGAGCAGACTCAGCAGAGTACCTGCCGCCGCTGCTGAGTAGAGTACGAGTTTACCGCTCGCCACGGACAGACCGAACATGGACAGAACCAGGCAGGCATCAACGCGACCAGGTTGTTCCTGGCGATTTTTTCCATTTCCTTCGCATCCCCCCGTCCACCCATCGTCGCCGGAGCCCTGAAGAATTTCCGTTTCCGTTTCCGTGCGAAGACGGCCGGTCGGCTGGATGGAGTGGAGTACCTGGGTGGAGTCGGTGGGTTGGTTGGTTGGGAGGGAGGGAGGGGAGGCGGAAGGAGGGGAGAGGGGAGGGGCTGTGCACACAGACGATACAGACGGAAGAGCTGGACTGACGGGGCGCTGGTTGCATAGCTACGGTATCTACGATACTCTTCGCACATGGTTTGTTCTCCTCAGGTTCTTCACACGCGGCGACCACTCGCCGTTTTCCCCAGCTCACTGGTTGGCTGGCTGGTTGGTTGGCACTGGATGGCTGTTGCATTCGCCATTCGTTTCGGTAGACGGGAACAACAGACCAGAGCAGAAAGAACAGAAAGAACAGAAAAAGGAACTTCGACTTTCGACTTTCCACTTCCAGGAAGGAACGCGAAAAAAAAGTTGGGGGTGTTCTGTGGTGGCACATGATGGGATTCCTACGGATGGGGGATAGGTCGCTGGGGCACTGGGGCTTGGGACTATTTCCCGATGCGGGCGTTGCAACTTGCTGCTCGTCGACGAATCATGGTGCCGTTTGGGGGGTATGCAGGGGATGCAGGGGGATCGCTGAAACAGTGGTGGGATGGGGACGGGGGGATGGGGGATGTGAGGAGTTGGTGCGGCCTGCGGCGGATAGGTGGGGTGGAGTGTCACGTTGGCGCACTCGCCACAGCTAGAGTACAGCCACCATCTGCCACCCGACGCCTGCGTATGGCGGGTGTCCGACGTCGACGTGAAGTGCCACTGAAGTACCTACGGTACTTTGTAGATGTGTGGTTATCGACGAGCGGCGGACCGGCGGCGGACGGTGTCTCCGGGCAGCAGCAGCCATGAGTCCATGACGCACGCACGCAAGCAAGGGGAGGACTCGAGGAGGAGGACTCGAGGAGGAGAGAAACCGGCGCTTTTATGAATTATCGTGCTACCAGGTAGATATCATACATCTCTACCTGCACGCAAGGCGCATACCAAACATTATGCATCATCCACACACCACACACCGCACACCACACCACGTACCACCCACCACACCCCATTACCACCACACACCACACACCACACACCATACACACGCATATAAACACCACGCATAAATCAATCAACCATGAAACAAAGTCCCAGCGCCCGCGATGTGTGCAACCAATTCGACATCCTCCAGCGAACCCCAGCATCCAATCACGTGGCCGGCACTGTCCCATTCCAGCTCGTGCACGCGGTTCCACCGATCAAGGAATAGGAATGTCCACCAGAGCCCGCCGTAGGTCTCTCGAACGTCCGACGTGGATAGACCTTTGTAGTCTGCCGCGAAGACGAGGGGGGTGACGATGCCCTTGTGATTATCGTCAGTAAGGGAGGGAGGGAGGGAGGGGGGAGGGAGAGGGGAGGGAGGGAGGGAGGAGGGAGAGGGGAGGGAGGGAGGGAGGGTACTTACGACAGACTTTCCGTACTCCTCGAGCGCCGGCGAGAGCATGTACTGCTCGTGCAGCGTCAGTCCGCGGGCGACCAGACATCGCTCCAAGTGCTCGATCTTGACGAGGTCGATCTGGGCCAACGGCGGAGAAGAGTCGCGGGCGGCCGCGAACGGGATGAGCGGGTATATTGGTCCGTCGAAGTCGCTTGGGCCGAGGCCGGCGATGTCGTATACCGCTGCCAGGTCGGACTTCGCGGGAACAGTCGCCAGGGTGTTTTGGCGACGGGTTGGCCCGAAGTTGAAGTCGTAAACCTTGTACGGCTCGACCCGGCTCACCGGCTGCCTAGGGTAGAACTCCGGTGCTGGATGGGGAGGTCTCTGAGCGGCCTGTTCGAACCGCATCGGCATATGATCCTCGCTCCTCCAGTGGGTCTCGGTCATGAGTGCTTCCTCGGACGCTTCTGATCGCTGGTCGGTTTCCTCTGGATCGGTTTCCTCTGGATCGTAATCCGAAAAATCGTCATCCGTAATATCGCAACCCGAAAAATCGCAATCCCCTGGATCGTATTCCGACGATTCGGGGTATAAGAGACCGTACTGGGAATAGTCATCGTCTCTGTTGGCGTAGGCCATCTCCCAGCGGTTCATCATGCGTTGTTCGTCGATCGGGTCCCAAATGTCTCCGGTCACCGTGTCCTCTTCGAGTCCGCGTCGGAGTGATTCCTTCGGCATCATCATGCGTTCTTTCTCGATTGGGTCCCAAGGCTCTCTGGATACCGTGTCCTCCTGGAGTCCGCGTTGGTGGGATTTCCTCTCCATCCTCATGCGTTGTTCCTCGATCGGGTCCCAGTGTCCTCTGATTGCCGTGTTCACTCGGAGTTTGGGTCGGGGGGATTCCCTCTCCATCCTCATGAGTTGTTCCTCGACCGGGTTCCAGTGACCTCTGGATACCGTGTCCTCCTGGTGTTCACGTAAGATGGATTCCCTCTCGATCCTCATGCGTTGTTCCTCGATCGGGTCCCAGTGTCCTCTGGTTGCTGTGTCCACACGGAACTTGGGTCGGATGGGTCCGTTCGACTTTGCCATGCGGTTCGCCCAAAGCTGGTAGGCGAGAACACGACTGGAAGACCTCTCGCCGACGGCGATATAGCTGATGTCCTCCTTATACTCGCGGTACATGGCCTTGTCCATGCGCTCTTGCTCGATTGGGTTCCAAGACATGATTGTCGTGTCTGTTGTTATGTTTGCTGGTAGATACCTGTGAAGGGGAAAGGGGAAAGATGAAGATTCGGTACGAACGGGGAAGATGGAGATATAGTACGAACGGGGAAGATGAAGATACCGTGGGAACGGGAAATATGAAGATTTAGTATGAACGGGGAAGATGAAGATTCAGTACGAACGGGGAAGATGAAGATTCAGAGATGAAGATTCAGAGATGAAGATACCATAGGAACAGTAAAGCCGAAGATTCAGTATGAGCCGGGAAAGATGAAGAAACAGCAGAAGCGGGGGCAAGATGAAGCATATATAATCATGAACAGTCTGGCTTTTTCCTGTTGACTGCAGCGGGGCCGAAGTATATCGCAGGATCGATCCAGAACCTTGAGCATATTCGTAGCTGTTAGTCGGAGGGGGGGAGGCATCAGCCTTCACGATCTCGAATGCACCATCTGGAGAAGTTTTTTCTGCGCATGTGCTTCCTCTTCGGCTTTGAAGAACTGTAAATGTGGGTTTTTAACTTAAGGCTTCCTAAGGCTTCTTGTCTCTTCGAACTCGCCGGATCGTGGAGAGGCATCATGGTTAATCATTCGCACTGTGAGTTCTATGGCGACGGTCTGGATCCACGATTAAGCACTATTGTCACTGTCGAGCAGAATTTGCATATGCTCTCGATGGTCAGGTGCAAGCAAGCCAGCGAAAAACTAGATATACGGAATGTATGAACCGCAAAGATCTTCGAGCCGAAAAATTGACGTCCGATGGAATTGGAACACATGACACCGCCGACTCCACCACTACCACTGCCATAGCTAACTATCCCACAAGCACTCCATTCTTGCGGCGACGTTTAAGGTCCTCTAGACTCTAGCGGGCCGACGCCGTGTAGTGCCTATTTAAGGACGACGTTGGACTCTGGAGGCCCTGCACACGCAGCAACCGTCCCGAGATCCGATCGGACTTTGGCCTAAGTACACTCACCATGCGCCCAAGCGCTCATGGACAGTGTACAGTGCACAGGGCTGTCGCTCAGCCCTGCAGCCCTGCAGGCTGCAGCGATGGAGCGCTTGCTGGGCGTCTATGTACTGTATGTACTCTACATACCGGTAGTAGCGCTTCTCTCCACTACGCCGATACCAACGACGGCTGGGCTGGGTAGAGAAAGCTCAGTTGGAAGTGATTACATAGCCTTCGCATAGCCTGCGCATGTGGCGAGGTGAGATTAAGGGATGGAAGGGAATCGATATTACATACAGGCGCTTGCTTTGATTTTTACATATGCAAGAGCTTAGAGGTCTCGTCGTTTCGTTTCGTTTCGTTGGCTGTGGATGATGCATCGGAGTGGTGTAAAATGACGGTTCGCAATGTTGGGATGCCCCCAGCTTGTTTTGGCGCCGGCGCTCAGGTGTCCTGGCCAATGATCGGACCAGTCGCCTTGTTGTTTATTCCCTGGACGTTGTGTTCACTGTCACGAGGCCGGCACTATTGATTACTATTGGTATGTATCATTCACTGGGAGCTGCGCATATACTTGCTTACCCAGCAACGTTGCTGGAGTTAAGTTTCGTCCGCTGCTGAAACTGGATCAGAAGATATCATCCCTAGGTACATACTCGCAACACCGATGTATATTTTCTATCGAATTATCTAGAGTAATTTTTGAGTTTGGAGCTCCGTTTCTGGGAAGCGGAGATGATCCTCATCCAGCGGAAAATTGATATCGGCGACGTAAGTACTCTACTTAACGGTCGGTGACATTCCGTCACGTTCGCACCCAGCACACTCAGTATTTCGCTTTCTCGCCCCAGTCCTTTCGGTACTTACTTAGCCAGCCTTTAGGCTTTACCCCAGATGCAGATCAGATAAGGCGTATTCAAGAGCTTGGATGGATACGTGGTATGAAGTAAGTGCCCACTGGGCGCTCAGCAGACCGACGTCGGCGATGAAAATTGTTTTCTCCTGGACTCATTGACATTGACATTGACATTGAAAATTTGACATTTACACATTTATACATTTACACATTTATACACTACATAGTACTCTATATAGAGTTCCACGGAGTCTCCACATGTGTCAAAACTCAAACTACAATACATATTGCCTTTGCTTCGCAGGCTATCTTCTAGACTATACATAGCACATATCTTAGGCTCGAGGCCAATCACCCAACCCCACGAAAGCCTATGGAGTCTGGACGCCGTGTCCACCCCTCTCCGGGTTGATACATAACCTACTGAACGAACCGATCCGGACCGTTCTCGCCTGCCCCATGGTCGACCTCCACGGCGAAAGTTAGAGTTGGATTACCCCGGGGGGGGAGGTGTTTAACTTCTACTTCGCTGGCTACTCAGACTACTCTCTACCGACTTAAGGCAACATATGCCTGCTCCTGTTCGGTTTCGTCTGGTATTCTGGGATTCTGGGGCAGGAAGTCGAATTGAATTCACACAGGAAATGCTGGTGATTTTCTTCTTGAGTCTAAATTAGAGTCTTCTCATGAGTGCCATTCATCACGGATTATGTACATACCACAAGCGTAAATGGCTGATGTGAAGTATGTAGGCAGCTGATCGTCTCGGCGAACAGTCTGCAGCGGCGGAGGACCTAGCTTGGCTTTCGTTTGCGATCCCTTGACAATTACGAGCTACGAGTCTAGGCTCCAACCGAGCTGAAGAAACTCTGGTAGGCATGCAGAAGTTAGCAGTGCGAATGCTAAGGGCCTCCAAAGCAAAAGGGAAGGGAAGGTAAGTAAGTGCAACATCCCAGACTTCGCAAAGCCGTTTGAGGGAATGACATTTAGTTCCTGGAGTAAAGTGCGAGTGATGGACCGTGGGCGTAGGTATCAACTCTTTCGTGCGTACCAACACCGAAAACACGATCACCAGGCTAACTACGTACAGACAGACAGACCCCAAAAAGAGTGATGGTTCAAAATCGTGATCAATTCAAGAAAAAGTCTAAGATAGATGATGATATAAGGTGATGATCTGGTGAGGACTAGGTAGTGACAACATAGACAGATAAACGTTGGATGACCGCACCGGGTCTAGATCAGGTCCCGCCTCCACAACACATAGGTCCCAATAAGGTCTCCTCTCTTCGGCGCTCACCGATGACACCAAGCCACCTCTGCCTCCACGCCCCCCAGTACCGTATTAGCAGAAGCTAAAAGTCATGTCTGTACGAATCGGCACGACGGACTATTACTACGGTATTCTCCACATCCGCTGGGTACTCCCGTACCTATCTTCGCCTTCAGCTCACCTAACCCGTCCTGCAGTCATTCCTCGTCATCATTCTTTCGATTCTTTTCCGTCCAGGGAAGGGGATTTGGTCGATCTTTACAGTATCTACGGAAAACTCAGTTGACGATAGACCTTCACCATGTGGCGGGGGCTCTCCCAGGAGTAACTACGAATCCCCTACCCTCACTTTCGAAACCCAGAGAGCGAAACCCAGAGAGCGAAACCCAGAGAGAAGAACCCAGATGTAGCCCTGCTGTCGTAAAACCAACGTACTACTTGCGTACGCGGCTCGCCCCTGAGATCGTTGGAACTGCGTTGCAGACACACGTGCATGCAGGGCTCAACACACGGTCATTGGTCATATACGGTACTGTATACCATCACATTGCCAGTGTGGCCGGTCAAAAGGTGGTTGCAAATAGCTCTCCATCCATGGGCACTGCTAGCTTGGAGTCGTAAGTGTAAGAAGCAATTCCCCGACCTCCGGGTCTTCAGCTGCTTAATTTGGAATATGTACGTACGGTAACATTTGACACAGAGGATCACAACTACCTAGTCTTTGACCATTATCATGGGCTGCTCATCTTGAATACGGTTAACGTGCCTCGCGGTGTCAAGCTCGGGGCCCGTGGCTTGCCTTCCATACAAGTAGGGTACGGGGCTGGCAACCGTGTGTGGCTTAGGCGTGGCACTGTGGCAGTGCCGTGGTCAGTGGCCGCATCACCGTTGATCTGGATTTGGGATTTTGACTCTCATCGCACGATGCTTGGCTCCGTACGCAACACGAGTCTCGTCTGGCGCTGGGCAAAAGCTTGAAAGGTGGACACCCAACTGTGTGTGTGCAAACAGACTGACTCAGCAATCTATGCACCGGACGACATCCGGTAGCGAGCTGGTAGGCGGGGATCAGCGACGGAGCCTGTACCGCCGCTAAGGCGTTCGAAAGCTTGAAATGGGAAGTGACGCGTGTCCAGGATTCGACATCCGATTCGGCTTGGCCACTTTGGAACACCCCATCCACTCGCTGCGAGCCATTACATTCTTTCCAGCCTTTCAGGTTTCACAGCGGTGAAGGGGGCAAAGAAAAAAGGGAGCATCTTAAAGGCTTTCTCTTCTCTCTATATAGCACTCTGGAATCCTCCCCCTTGACCTTCCTCTTCCACATACTTGTTCCCCCGGTCGCCGTGCTCTCATTGTTCTCTTCAGCCTATTGAACTGCCCGCATCGCCCCCTAAATCGAAGAAAGCGACATCAACAGTACTGCGCACAATGGCTCTCGTTGGCCGCCGCTTCTATGCTCGGCTCTTCATCATCTACTTCCTCGACTGGCTGGTGATTATGTATTTACCCACTGATGTCTTACATACTTCGAACAGCTCTAATACCCGAGTTATAGAGCGACCGTAGCGTTTGCCGCTTCAACGTCGATATGGGTGACGCCGAATACGCGACCCTTCAGCGCTACCGACCTTTCGATCTCCTTCCCTTTTCAAACCAATTCCAAGGTTCCAAGCTGGCTGCTCGTCCTGTGGTCGATCATCATCCCCGGTCTGGCGATCGCCTTCCTCACCCTGGCGATGCCATCGAGCACGGAGTCGTATAAGCGGTCCTTCCGCTCGGCTACCGGCTGGAAGCGCCGTCTATATTGCCTCAACACGGCGCTGCTCGGATTGGGACTTTCATATGCCACCGCGCTGCTGATCACGAACGGGCTCAAGAACCTTCTCGGTCGCCCAAGACCGGACCTGATTAGCCGCTGCGACATCGACACGGCTAGGATCGAGGATTTCACGATCGGTCCAGGTAGCCTGTTGGACTGGAGGGTTTGCAAGAACCGTGCTGTTAGCGGTGTTTCGAACGCACTGAGCGAGAGCGATGTGCGCGATGGATTCCGCAGTTTCCCCAGTGGCCACGCGAGCTGTATGTCTCATCCGAACCTGTCTTCCCGTTGAGTAGCGCTGACAGGAACCCAGTGTCGTTCGCCGGCTTGACCTACTTCGCCATCTTCCTCGCCGAGTTCGTGTTTGCACTGCCGCTGCCACACCTTTCCAGGGTGACCGCGCCAATCAGCGCCCCGCTTGTTGCCCCGGAAGCGACTTCATCCGCCGATTCCCATACTGCGGCCGCGCCTCCTGCTGCTCTTCCGTCTCGACGTGAAGACCGCGAGACGCCTTTACCGCGGTTCCCCATCATGGCGGCGATCTTGATTGTCGGCATCCCAATAATGATCGCCATGTACATCGCGAGCACCCGATACTCGGATTACCGCCACCATCCGTTCGACATCTTTGGGGGCGCAGCGCTGGGAATCGCATCGGCGGTTTTGGGGTGGAGGTGGTATGGCGCGTGGACTTGCGCTTCACAGGCCGAAGGAAGGGTCTACACGTTCATGGACAAGGCGAAGGGCAACGACGATAACGAGAAGTATGATGGCACGGTGATGGCTGAGGAGGGAGGGGCTCCCATGGGCAGGGCTGGCAGGGCGGTGTAAACCACATACGACGAGATTTAGTGCGCGTGTTTGCTGCTCATCTCTCGAAGATATCACCGCGTGTTCTGTTTCCAAAACATGTTCTGACCAGAAAATCTTGAGCTGTGGAGCAGGTGTGGGGAGGGTTTTTTTTTATAATGTACTTCTTTTGATGCAGGCAAAGCATCCCTTCTGTTGCTATGCTATGGGCTCTTCCTCGACCGGTGTTGGAGGAGTTTGGGTGTCGTTCTTTATTCCTTGCTGCTATTTGAACTTTGAACTTTGATTTGCTACATGAAAGCTCCTACCTACCTACTCTATACTTAGATCTTGAATGCTTTCCTACCTATATGCATTTACTGCACCCATAGCTGCTGCCTACATGTCTTATACGTGTCGTGGTGCTATTGAAAGCTAAGCCAACTGCCCGGCATGGAGTCCGGAGTGTGGGGTCAACACAAGCTTTCTCTGCCAAGTAGCCACGTGAGGCTTTTATCCAGATTCCACACCGTCAAAACAGCCGACCAGTAGCAGTGCGGTGGATGCCCACGCTTACTATTGTGGATCCCCCTTCTGCTCTACGGTACTCTACTCTAAGAGTAGAGTAGAGTAGAGGGGCAGGAGGTAGGACCCAGGAGCCAGGGGAATCTAGACTGTACCCCTAGGCGGGATTCCTCCAGTCTGTGATAGGCCCTGTGTCCGTCCGCAGCGCGTGGAGTGGAGTGTGGAGTGGAGTGTGCACTTCGTATCGGGCGTCGTCTGCTACCACACATACTCGAGCACACACACTCCCACAGTAAAAGGCGCACACACTCACACACACACACGGTAAAATGCTTACGCGCATCCACATTAAGCAGGTGCTTACGTACTATCGACAACGACCAAATGAATCTGGATTCTGAACTCCAGACCTCCGTCGTATTCACCTTATCGTCACTCGCATCGCATCCTGACCTGTGCGTAAACCATGTATTTGCCCTCCACAAATATTGCCATGATCTAGATAGGTCGCACGCAATCAATGAATGAACAAAAAAAATCAAATTTGCCCTCCACAGTCGAATCAGCAATTCCACCACCGTTTCTGCCACAATGATGTGTAGTGTGCATCGTAAGCTAGGTTTATTGATAGTAAGCTCAAAGCCTCGGTTTATACTCTATACGGCGAGCGATAGTCTCATGACGTTGGCCAATAATCATACATCAGGAACTCATACTCTGCGTCTATAATTTCATGCCAGACCATCACACTCCCGCCCTCAGTACGCCCGTCCCTTCCCCTTGTCTCTCCTCCCACTTCCACTCCCACTCCCGCTCGCTTTCACCTCCATCTCCTGATCCGCACCATCGTAAGCGGTATACTCCACTCTCTTCCCGTTGTCCCTCTTCCCACTTCCACTCGCTTCCACCTCCACCTCCACCTCCCGATCCTCATCATAAGCGGTATACTGCACGGCATACTCACACGCCACCGGTTCCGCCGGCTGCTCCTTCGGCAGCACCCTCTTCACGACCCTTCCGCCGCCGCCGATCCTCACCCCACCCACTGCCCTCTTGATCCCATGGCTCATAGCGCCCACACAGCCCGTCTGCGTAGCAACGCCCACAAACGGCAAGCCGAGCAAAAACACCAGGAACGGCTGTATGCCGTCAACGTTGTATTGCAGCAGGACTTCGAATCCGGAGTCGCGAGAGGTAGCGGCAGCGGCAGCAGGTGTTGTGTGTGTTGCGGGTGTTGAGTGTGTTCCCGGGAGCTGCTCGGCCACAGCTGCGTGCAGGTCCGCCGTCGATAGGGACCACTGCGGCCGCAGCACGAGGCCGTCCCCACCGCCGCCGGAGACAGAGTCCCCTCCCACGCCGGCGTCGGACGGGATGCTCAGCGAGTCTGGAAGCGAGGAGTCGAGGAACGACGAGGAGCTTGTGGTGCTCAGGATCGATGGCGGCGAGAAGTACGCTGTTGTTGTGGGCTCGGGGAAGTTGACGTGCCGCGTGTGGGAGTGGGAGGTCGTGGGGGAGGTCATCGATACGACGGCCGGCTGGGCGTGGGATTGGTTGGTTATGAAGGCGGGCGTGCGGCGGGGCATGGGGTCTGCGGCTTGAGCTGGGCGTGGGTGGGGGTGGTGCGGTGAGAGGGAGCGTGATCGTGATCGTGATGAGCTCAGACGCTGCTCGAAGAGCTCGGTGGTGGTGCGGGAGAGCCGCGGGGCCGGATCGGTCACGGCGTCTTCGGCAAGACTCTTCTTCGAGAGGCGGCGGCGGAGCCAGCCCGCGAAGCCTGTCGGAGGTGAGGGAGGAGGCGGGAAGGGGAGGAGGTCGTAGATCGGGGCAACCATTGAGATAGCTGATCGTCCGTCCGTAAACGTACTGAGTGGTGATGTGGCTGCGGTGATTGGGGTGAAGGGTCGTATTTGGGCACAATGTATCTAATGGGCGGGATCGAGTGGAGCATTTCCTTCCCCGTCTCCGCACCTACCGCTCCCGGTCATGTACATCGACCAAACCGGTCAATCGGCCAAACATGGCAGACCTTGGACGATACCCAATTTGGCCCGTTGGGGTGTTGGGACATCCCGGGGTAGAAAACACCGAGTTGCAGATTTCCAGATTACAGAAGTGCCATCGATCTTTTGATTGACTTGCCTCCAGTTATCAGATTCGGCCAGACTCAATAAGAGTTGCAGCATAACGCTGCAATTCACGCTCCCTCACTCTTGCCCAAAATTGAGCCGCTCCCCACCTACTTCTTCAAATTACTTCTGTTCTCCCACTCTTCTTCTTCTTCATACCACCACACCTTTAGTCTTCTGCTTCAAGAAACTCCCACTCTTCCACTCTTCGTCTTCAAGATACCTCAACTCCTCCACTCTTCGCTGTCAAGATACCTCGACCCCTCCGCCCCTCGTCAGAGTATCTCCGCTCCACCACTCTTCGTCGAAGATACCTCGACCCCTCCAGTCTTCGCTTTCAAGATACCTCGACCCCTCCGCTCCTCGTCAGAGTATCTCCGCTCCACCACTCTTCGTCCAAGATACCTCGACCCCCCACTCTTCGTCCAAGTACCTCCGCTCCCTCCACCACCACCACCCCACGCACAATCCACCACGCAACCAACTCATCTCTATTCCTCGGAAACAACTGCATCATCTTTTTGCATAACTACAGCGACACAATGCGCAATACTCACATCGCCAATCTGAAAGTAACCCGATGGGGTTCAACAAAAGGTAAGAAAGGGATCCTCCCGTCTCACCAGGCATGCAAACTGACGGAAATAGTAGAGGAAGTCAAGCAAATCACCCTCCAAGAATTGTTCGTTGGTCGTGATCCCAAGTCCGACATCGTCATCCCCGAGCGTACCTGCTCCTACCGCCATTTATACTTCTACGTCTCCTCCTTCGACGACAGTAGGGAACATCCGGGCCCACTCGTCTACTGTGAAGATCTCAACAGTACGAACGGTACATACGTCAATGGGAGAGTCATCAAAAGGGGCCAGAGCGTGTTGCTCTTCCACGGTGATAAAATCGAGATCAAGGAAGCTGCAACATTCGAATTTCAGAATTTATACTACGAGGGAAACCCCCTGGACGATCTGACTGCTAGAGGGCAAAGATATTTTGCCCATGGGTTCGAGATTACCACTAGAATCTTGGGAAAGGGAGCCTTCGGTAGAGTGCACCTAGCCTATGATCACCAGACTTGTGATCAGGTGGTCTGCAAAATCGTCAACATGGACAGAAACGCAACGGGCGCCCGCACTTCGGCTACAGATGATATGCGTTGGGACGTTGCAATGAAAGAAGCCAAAGTTCTAACTTCAATGAACCATCCGAATATCATAAACGTCAGAGGCGTTTGCACAACGGACGATCGGATCTACATCTTCCAGGATCTGGCATCGCACGGAGATCTGTTCAATTTTATGGAGAAGAAGGGAACTTTCAGGGAAGTGGAAATGCTTCCAATCATCTGGCAGATTTTGCTGGCCCTAGAGCACATGCACTCGAAAGGGATAGTCCATAGAGACTTAAAGGTACGTTTACACACCTGGCTATCTTATTGAAAGGTATTTCGCCCACTGACGCACCATCAGCCCGAAAACATCCTCTGTTGCACTCGGAAGATCGGTGGAAGGATCGTCTTGGCCGACTTTGGCCTGGCTGAGTACTTGGGACCAGCCGGGCGGTTGACTAGTTGTGTTGGGACCCATGAATACATGGCCCCGTAAGTCCATGATTCCATCCACTTGTACTGTCTTCGTGATTTCTGACGCATTTGATCAGAGAGGTGTATCTTCCCGGAAAGTCGGGATATGGCAAGGAAGTGGATCTTTGGGCCCTTGGGGTCATTGTCCACAACATGTTTCTTTCCGGCAGACCTTCTAATGGTCTCCGGGAGAGCATGGGCCATCATCTCCGTCGTGGCGAACTCGGGAGATTTGACGAGATCCCGATGAGCCACAAGGCCCTTGATTTTATCAGGGGCCTTCTCTGCATCGATCCTCGGGAGCGGATGACGGTACGGGAGGCTATGGAGCACCCGTGGCTCAATAGACACGGGAGAGAGCTCCGTGCGCTTTACCAACGGGCAACCCAGAACTGGGCCCCTAGGGACTATTTAGTCCCTGTTTGGAAAGTTGACGCCCCGAGAGTCCTGGACGCCCCGAGGACTTTGTTAGAGGATGGAGAAGATTGGGCCTCGGAATATACGAGGGACGAAGAAGATCGGGCCCCAGGGTATAGGGAGGACCACGGTCCATCCCCCAAGACTGCAGCCCCACCCACTGGCATCCCCCGAATTGATGGGGCCCCAAGGGAGCAGATGTTGCCGGGCCGAGACGAGGCCAGCAGAAAGAGAAAGCGTTCAGGCGAAGATCCAGAGGACCGGAAACCTGCCCGGCTAAAATACTAGCTGGGTCAACGCGGGAAAGAGGGGGGTACGACATTTAGAGCAGATTGTTTTTTCTTTTTTCTTTTTTCTTTTTTTCCTTCAGACTATTAATTCTACTTGAGTTTTGACGGGCCTTTACTCTTGAGCGTGCACTTTACTAGTATCTACTAGACGGTGTTCGTACTTTTGTCCAATTTCATAAATCTGCTGGTATTTTCGCATATGACCCATAGTGTATCACTCGGTACAAAAGCTGGCCATTGGATTCGACATAGGTGTCCAGCCATCTCAAGATGACTCCAAATCTTCCATAACATGTCAATAATCTCTTGATAACCTCACTTGCCCTCTTAAGTCTAGAATCCAGCTTTTCACTGGCACATAAAACACCTTGAAAATGGCAGACGAACCTTCAGAAAAAAAAGTTTCACCCTCGTCGGGCTCCCGCGATTCCTCAGAATCAAGTGGTTCGCCTCCTGCTTGGCTTTTTACACACTCCAGCCCCTCCATACCCCCGTCACACTCCACCCTCTCTGCAAGCTCCAACATGGTATCCTCCGCCAACCTCGCCTTCCACCCGGGCGGCAGCTCCAGCCTCAACGACGCGCACGTCCCCGGCTCCGACTGGGGCGTGTACTCGCAGCCATCTCTATCCACAGACCCGAGCGGGGACCAGATCCGCGGGGTGCTCGTGCGGCTCTCGGCGGCGGTGGAGCGCACCACGCCGCTGATCCTGCGCGCGACGTACCTGCACGGCTGCCTATCGTCGGTCACGCGGCTGGCGCGGAACCGCAGCCCGACGCAGCCGGACCAGGTCCCGCTCGAAGATCCGAAGGTCCTGCTCCCCGGCGTGTACAGGGAGACGCGCCGGCTGTTGGGCGCGCTCCGCGCCGTAAGCCGGGAGATGAAGGCGCTGCATAGAGAGTGGGGGTTGATGCATTTGCTCGGCGTGTTCGATACGGTCTATGGTGTCAAGCTCAGCTATGCGCTGGTGCAGGGCGGCGTGGATGCGTTGTCGGTGAGGACGGAGGGGGAGCGCAGGAAGGGCCTAAATAGGCAGGGCACCAGGTGGCTAGGGGAGTGGGAGGCTAATGCGTGCAGGCTGGCGGAGGCCGAGGCGACGTTGACGCTGACGCTGGGATGGGCGGGCGCGGAGCTGCGCAGGCTCGAGAAGTATGTGGTTGTTTTTCCTGGTCCCGAGAGGAGGTGGGAGTGGCGGGATCAGACGGAAGGGCAGGGGCAGAGAGGCGCTCGGTATCTCCATGATGCGGAGAGGGATCCGGATTTTGAGCTGACGGAAAACGAGGGAAAGCCGGAATTTGAGGTAGGGTGAGCTAAATCCAGGCCGAGCTCATCTGTCTGTAGGATCTCACGGGATTTTGGGTAAGTCGGGGGCTCACTGGTCACAGATCATCACCAACTCATCGGATTCAGGCACAGACGTGACTCCCCCTTCAGAGCTCAATAACGTAAATATTCCATAAGCATAGTGAGCCTAAGTCGTCTACCTTAGAAATGGCAAACAAAACCTCTATCAATATTGAAACATCAGACGTCAGCGTCAGCAAAACTTGCAAACAATAATCTATGTACTACTCGTCCACTAGAAGACTCGGCCATCCCAATCAATAACCGAGCCTGAACATTTCAAGCTCGAATGAGTATCATTGTGTGGGTATAATCTGCTCATAGACAGACTTTAATATAACTCGATGTCTCGTTGTTATGGCTTCCAGTTAACGATTTTCAGCAGGAGAGGAATGATGCTCGATGAGAAGAGAAGGTCAACGGGAAGGTCCTTATGTTTGATCCAACAGCCGTCGATGGTTCCGAAAGTAGTGGAAACAATTGAATATGGAGAGTACCAGGTACTGCGAAGAAATATAGGACCATTAGTTGAGCGGATAGCTGCATACCTATATTGGGGAGGCGTATGAAGAACAAGTTGCAAGCTGTGAGTTTGACTCAGACCTGAGCTATGTCCTAGATTGCTCATGCAATAAAATCAACATGCGTACAGTGAATCGTTGGTTCGAACTAGCCGTTGAGTGGTGGGCTCGAGTGCTCACTCAAGGAGGACGAGTCCCACTCACGTGCAGCCATTATATTATCAATGCACTTATGTAAGCGGTATTTCCATCAGTGATTTTACATGAGCAAGCTCTAACTCTTGGCAAACCAAGCCCCAAACCACAGTCACATCCATTTAGCGCGCACACTGCGCTCCCCGCGAAATTTCCCACAAACCAGCCAGAGGCCTTGTAATAGCGAAGATAACGACGCCAACGACGACCGACCAGCCGACCGACAACCCCACGCCCACGAACTTCGGTACCTAACGCCTCGACAACCCCATCTCCCCGCCGTAACCAGATTTACCAGCAAAATCCTACACAATGGGCCGCGGTACGTCCCTCCGACTTGACGATTCGCCTACACCGCGGGTCTCCCCTCTCTTGCAGAGGGTAGAAGGCTAATAACGCGGTGTTGGAATATTACAGTTAGAACCAAGACCGTCAAGAAGTCCGCCAAGGTCATCATTGAGCGGTACTACCCCCGTCTCACTCTCGACTTTGAGACCAACAAGCGCATCTGTGATGAGATCGCCATCATCGCGTCCAAGCGTCTGAGGAACAAGGTGCGTCGAAGGAGCTTTGTTGGAAGTAGTTTGGGCGCCGGGGAATGCTAACAGGACTTGTGATAGATCGCTGGTTACACTACCCACTTGATGAAGCGTATCCAGCGTGGACCCGTCCGCGGTATCTCGTTCAAGCTTCAGGAGGAGGAGCGTGAGCGCAAGGACCAGTACGTTCCTGAGATCTCGGCTCTTGACTTCTCGGAGGCTGGCACCCTTGAGGTCGACGCCGACACCAAGGACATGCTCAAGACCCTTGGAGTACGTTTCGTCCCTTTCCACACAAATTACTCGGAACAAAGGCCTAACAAACATCACAGTTCGACTCCATCTCTACCAACGTTGTTGCCGTTTCCCAGCAGCAGGACCAGCAGGTTCGCCGCGGTGGTTACCGTGGTGGTGCCCGCACTTAAAGCGCCCGTAGCCAGTGCGTTGTCATCGTGGGGACTTCTTCTTATGAGGTGGTTTCCACGGTCTCAGTGGGATATGTCGCTTGTGTGCTTAGTAAAAAAAAGTTTCACACAATATTTTTCTTCGGCTTGGGGACTCAGGAGTTGTCTGGCGTTCAAGTGGTTCAGAAAGGAATGAATTTCAACCATTGTTTTCCCAACTGAAAATGTGATGAATTATGCGATATCTATTGTGGTGAACCGTTTGTGTTGTGCATACCTATCCGAAAGTGAAGTAAGCAGGATGACGGGGCCTAAACTGCGACTTTACTGCAGGCAAGCTGGCTGGCGTCTCTTGGCCGGAGCAACCATCCACCGGTACACCGGCACTTCCGGCCGGTATCCATACATAAGCACCCGTTCAGCCCAGTCCGCGGCCCGTCCTCTCTATTTCTCCAGACCACCTGAACGCTCATCCTTTCTTCTCCAGATCGCCCCCGGCCCACGAATGCAGCGGAGTTAAGCTTCCTTGGCGGGGTTACCAGGCAATCTCACCCACCACATCCTCCCCCCCCCCCCCCCCACCAACTGTCCAACGGTAGCCCGCATTATCTGTTACCTGATGGAGACGACAACGATGGCGGCCCGTCCCCGCTCACTATCACTGTCCTCCTCTTCATCATCGAGTAAATACCATACCGCCCCGACGACGCACGGCCGGCTCGAGTACCCGCCGACCCCGTCGCCGACCACGACAGCCTCGACAGCCTCGACAACGGCCTCGAACTCCACAACGACCTCGACCACGCCGCTCCGCGCGCACCCCCGCCCCCGTCGAGACCCGTCGATGACGCCCGGCTCCTCCACGCCCGTCGAGACCACGCCGTCATCGACGTGGTGGAACTACTTCTACGCGGCGCGCGACCCGGAGGCCGCCGCCGCCGCTGCGCCGCCCGTCCCCGAAAAGCACGTTACGCGCGAGGTCTCCGTTGTAGCGGATGTGGCGCGCCTCGCCGGCGCGGGGATGTTGTGGGCTGTTGGGTGCTGTGGGCTGTGCCGGGGCGTCAGGGGAGAGGGGTAGCATAGGTAGCATAGCATAGCGCGCGCGAGGTTGGGGGCTGAGGGGCTGAGGGCTGAGGGCTGAGGGCTGAGGGCTGAGGGAGCGGTGTATTAGTACTCTACGCATATTGTGTTCTGCGGTGTTTCGGACTCGGTTTTGGGTTTTTTGACTACTTTGGGTAGACGGATCATGGTTTGGCGTATCAATAGACGGATTTATTGTTTCGATCTGGATGCGGGCTTGGGATAAGTGCGACACGCGATGGTGGGCGGTAATGGACGTGTTCACGTGACTTAGTTTGAGCTGGAGGAGGACGAGCGTTTTCTGGGTGGGTGGGAATGGATGCGTGCGGCAGGATGACGGGAATGGACCGGCAAGCTGAGCTAACAGCGGGTATAGAGTAGAGCTAATTGAAGGTGTTTTGCAAGCTTACTTTGAAATCCGATTCATCACGTCTTTAGACAGCAGCTGAGACAAGGAAACAAGAATACAGAGACCAGATACACCTGTGAAGCAACAGTAGAGACAAAGAGAAGAATCGGAGAACACCACACTTTAACCATTCACATTGCAAAGGGGGTCTGCGTAATCGACGACGACTAATCCCATCTTCACGGAGTTGCTTTAATTATCGTTGCAAAACATCAACCGTAAAGAAGTTGTTTGAACCCCTTCTCCCACACAAGAGGAGTTTATCCCAACTCACCCGCAAAGGAGAACGGAAACAAGAAAAGAAGAAGCCCCGAAAAAACAAACAGACAAAAAAGGAAATTTGATTGTTTCGCCCTTTTTATTTTTGTTTGTCCCGTTTATGCGGAGGTGGCGGGAGCAGCGGGGGCATCAGAGCCACGGGCACCCTTGGGGGTTCCGAGCTGGAAGCCGTTCTTGAAGCGCCGGGTGACGGTCTTGAGGTAACGCATGCGTCCAGTACCGGTGGTCTTTCTCCTCTTGGCCTTCTCGGACCAGTTGTCTGCGACACATACAATGTCAGAGCCATGTTTTGGAGCTGTCGCGAGCAGTGGAGGAGAATTGATAACATACACTTGCGGACCTTGGCGGCGGGGTATCCGCAGGACGAGCAAGTGCTCTTCTGGATGTGGAAAGACCGGCGTCCGCAACGACGGCAGAGCGTGTGCGACTTGTTCTATGGGATTGTCAGAATGTGGTTTCCTTTTCACATCGCCTGCTACTGATTCGAGATAGGTGTCTATCGCGATGGAGTAGGGGGGCACGAACGTGACGCTTTCCGAACGATCTATATGACACCACCTAGTCAGTTAATCTGCTTCGCGTCGATGTTTCCCAGCTTCCTGACTGCCAGTAATCCACCCAGAGTGCTTTGTGTTTTCCCAGCTTTTCCCAATTCCTCCGTGTCCTCCTATTCTTCTTCCTCCTCCTCTTGATCCCTCTCCTCCTCGCTGCAAGCTCGCATCTCCACCTCTCCTCTCGCGCACGGGAATCGGAGTTTCACGTACCCAGTTCCTTTCGTCATGATTGGCGGTCCTTGAGGTTATCGGGACTTGTCGTTGTGCGGGGGTCGGGGTCGGGGGGGTCTCGTTGGGCGTGGCGTCGGCGATTTCGGTCTGTGATGTCCTGAAGCTTGCAAACCTCCAAGTTCGAAATGTGATTTGTGTGTGTGTTGGTGCGAGAACAGTCAGCCGCCACGCCACGGTTAGGGCAACGAAGCCCTTTTGTGTGTGGGCTAGTTAATGTGTGGCGGTGCAGCAAAGCGCTAGCTGAGTAAGGCATGACAAGCGAGTATTTGCGGCTCCGCAGGGCAGAAGAGCGAAATTTCGCATTAAGCAGATACAAACGAACTACAATTTGAATTCAACACTCTGAGGTAGCGGCATGGTGATGACTTATTTAATAGACATCACAGACTTTCCTTTTGATCGTTTTTGTCTTGTAACGGATTCGACAATCACGACCCAGTAGTCCGCTACCGAGTGTCCGTTGGTGATTTGAATGTCTGCCCCACATGGCTACAGCGGTCTAACGGGTCTGTCGTTCCCAGCCAGCACTACAATTCTCACCACTATCGCACCATCCCTCTTCGGTTACCTCCCTCATCTCCACCGTCTCCAACATCTTCAATCCCCACTTCGCAATGTCGCACCCCCGCCGCGCCGCTGTTCCCAACTCCTGGGATGACGACGACTGGATCTCCCCCTCCGCATCTACATCTATTTCAAACGCGCCGATAGTCCTCGCCGCTCCCTCTACCATTGTCGAGGTTCCCGTCATAATCGCAAACCAGCAGCCAAAAACATTATACAAACCCGAGATCAGACTTCTGAAGCGCGCATCACCATCCGCGTCCCCCGCACCTGCGCCCTCGAGGACGAGCACCCGCTCTGAGGAAAAGGAACGCAAGGAGAAGGAACGCAAGGAGAAGGAACGTAGATATCAGGAAGCCAAGGATCGAATATTTGCTGCCTCGTCGCCTTCTACGACTACCGCTTCCTCACCCGTTCCGTCGGAGAATGAAAGTGGGAAGGGGAAGGGGAAAGGGAAGCAGTCTGGGGGGAATTCACCCAGAAAGAACTCGCCATCTGGAACTGCTACCAATACCACCACCACTGGGACTACAAGTTCTTCTGCGCGGAGGCCGCAACCACAGCAGCCACAGAGTACAGGCGCAATCACGGGGTTCTCACTAAACTCTGGTTCCTTTTCTTCGGCGCCCATCAAGGCGCGGGAACGACAGGAATGGCAGCTGCGACAGGTCGCGCTGGACGGAAAGATGCTGGAGAGCCAGGCGCAGAAGTACGGATTCGGCCGGAACGATGAACTGCTGGGAGACAAGGAGCGCGGTTTAGATTGGGATGAGTTCAGGAGGGATCGGTGGGAGGGCGGGGTTGAAGAAGAGGTGGAGGGGAGGTTGGAGCGGTTGGACTTCGTTGAGGTTGGGGAGAGCGCTGACGAACCGATGCTCAAACCACCCAGGAAGAGTGTGGCAGGTACGGTGACTCCGGTGAGGGAGCCTAGAGGTCCTGATAGTGAGGGAAGGGGGTTCAGTGGGCGCGGCAGAGGCGGTGGGAAGCGCGGCGGCGCTTCATGAGTTCGTCCTTCATTGTGACCTGTTGAGCATATGAAGAGGTTCTGTTATTTCTTTGATTGGTTTGATTATCATTGGCTGGGATTTCATAGAGGCGTGGGGGAAGCGTGGGATTTGTACTTTTACTATTATGTTACTCTGCCAGAATTTTGGGCATGATGGAGGTGATTTGCTACCTTTTTTCTCGTAATGACACAAGCGCATAACTTGCTTCATTAACGATCTACCGTCAAGAGCTTTTCCGATGAGCATCTCCGCGAAAACCTGATTCCATAGTATTTCCTTTGGCGTCCAGCAGCTTTAAAACAGAGCCATTCGCCTTCGATCCGTGCCGGAGAGAGCTATTCCCGCCGCGCGTCGCGCATAAGATGCAGGTTGGTTGTGTAAGCCAAGCCCGTCGCCAGTAGAGAACATCTGGCGCTTCAGCACAGCCATCCCTGAGACCATCTCTATCTTCTATCTTTACGCACCCACCTCCCACCACTCTAAACTTCACTACCCCCCAACACATACTCACGACGCATTCACCATGGCGATATCACTCCAAGACCGCACCTCGGAATTCCACACGCTCACATCGGCAGTCAACAAGCGACTCGCGCGGTCCGGTCCCTCCGCTGCGCACCAACGGCTCCTCGCCTCCTCGCCCTCGCAAGATGGCTCTTCCACCCGAAAATCCAAGAACCCCCGCGGGGAGTTCGCGCGCCGTGCTGCCAACATCGGCAAGAGCATTACAGACACGATGGGGAAGCTCGAGAGGCTAGCGATCCGTATGTCCCCGTCCCCCCTTGTGTGAGCGGCGGGTCGGCCGTGATGCTGCTGCTGCTGTTGGTGATGATGATGGCTGGCTGACGTTACAAACCCGATAGTCGCGAAACGCAAAACCCTCTTCGACGACAAGCCCGTCGAAATCGCCGAGCTCACCTACGTGATCAAGCAGGACCTATCGGCGATCAACGCGCAGATCAGCGGGCTACAGTCATTCGTGCGGAGCCAAGCGTCGCCCAGCAGCTCGTCGGCGGAACACAGCAAGAACGTCGTCGTGATGCTGCAGGGGAAGCTTGCGGATGTGTCCGTGGGCTTCAAGGAGGTGCTGGAAGTCCGCACGAAGAATATCCAGGCGTCGAGAGCGCGCACGGAGAAATTCGTGAGCGGCGTGCGCCCGGCGAGCCCGTCGAATATTCTGAATGGTGGCGGTGCGAGTCATTCCCCGCTGTATGCTACGCCATCGAGTACGCCGAGGCCGCAGGGGGATGCGGGGCTGTTGATTCTGGAACCGATGGGCGCGCAGAGTGCGCAGCAGCTTGCGTTGATGGAGGAGGGAGGGCAGGGGACGTATATTCAGGCTCGTGGGGAGGCTATCGAGGCTATCGAGCGGACGATCACGGAGCTCGGCGGGATCTTTGGACAGCTGGCGCAGATGGTTAGTGAGCAGAAAGACATGATCCAGAGGATTGACCACGAGACCGAAGATGTGGTGGCGAATGTCGAGGGCGGGCAGAGGGAGCTCCTAAAGTACTTCGCCAGGGTTTCGAGTAATCGCTGGCTCATGGTCAAGATGTTTGGTGTTTTGATGATCTTCTTCTTGCTTTGGGTGTTGGTTTCATAAAGGGTTACTTGTTTTCATTTTGTATCATCAATAGCCGGCTGGTCTGTACGCTGTTTACTTCTTTCGACTTTCTCTTCTGTATGGGGGCTCTAGATTTTTATCTCTTCGTTTAACTACATTTTTTTGTTCGTCTGGGTTTGCGTATGGTTTGGTTTTCGTCTGGGTTTGGGGAACTTTTTGTACAATCTAGCGGGACGTGCCTCCGAGTTCGTTTTTGCTTCTCTTTCTTCTGCTTCCTCTCCGCCGGGGTTTATTCATCGTAATAGAAATGGTAGGTGTCTGTACTCTATTCTCCGAGCAAGTGGAAGGATGGGTGGGTGATCATCTATGGATCTGGAATGACATCGTGAGGGCGCCGGATTTACATCACTCTTCACGGTGAACGATGGGATCGATGTGGCTAGGAGGTACGGTATGTGCCTCGTTCATGTGCTCAATACGGTAAACGCCATCTACCAGTTAAACACACAAAATCATCCAGCATGCAAACAGATGAACCAACATGCAAACAAGCACAGCCAGCGACTCCATAAACCGAACTGGATTCACACGCACAGACACATGCATTGTTCGTATTAACGAACACGTTTCGAGGGATTAGGCCGGCTCAAACGCGAGCTCTACTCGTCGTCTATGATCATCTCCTTAATCACCTCCTTGCGTCCCCCTCTGGCAGCCAAACTCTTCGTGCCGCCCCGCTCATCATCGGTCAACACAGGCGCGAACAGCAGATCAACCTCGTCAACCAGATCGTACAGCACGTCTTCGGCGATCTGCTCATCGTAACGCTCCCACACGCCTCTGACATTGTCCGGAAGGTCCTTTGGTTTCGCAAGCCATTCGGGCCCGAAGTTCATCTCTGCTGCTCCGCCTTTGAAAACGCTAACTGCGGGATAGTAACCTAGTGCGCCATCGTCGAGTTCTCTACCGCCAAGGGCGGGGAGCGGCTTAGATGCCGGTGGGAGGAAGGCGTAGAGCCCTTCGAAAGGAGTGCCGATCAGTTCGCCGTTGCGGTAGACACGGATGAAGCTCCCGGGGAGCGTCTTTGGTGCTGATGAGGGCTTGCTGTTGGTAGCCGGGTTCATGAGGTCTTCGTATTCCTTTGTAGGTTGGTACTCGAAGTGTTCGAACCACAGCTGATTCTTGAAGCGGATCGGGAGACGGTCACGTATGACATCGCCGCTCTTGACGGTAGGATCCCCACTAATCTCCCGCTGCACCGATAGCGGCGGGAGCGAGATATGCAGACCTATCACGTCGCCGGTCACAAATGACCGATCCTGCACGAATGCCTTCGGCCGCGACATGTGCACCTTCTCGAAACACTGATCTCGCAGACCATACGAGTATGCATCGAAACCGACCGGCGCATCCAGCGGCGCCTCGCGCCTCGCCCAGCCCACACGAACATGTCCATCTGCCGCCCCGCCTTCTGTGATCCCATTGACCACTTTACACTCATAGTACCAGTCTCCCTCTCGCACGCCGACGTTTGCCCGTGCCATTCGCCAGCCCTTGGCTGTTGTGACACCCGTGCCGGCGTCGTTAATGCAGACTTGCGGATTCATGTCTTCGTAGTTTATTCGTGCGTTGAAGGGCTCATATTCGGTTCCGCGGTATGACAATGCCGTGAGAAGGTGTGAGGCTTTGCAGGGACTGTATCTGAACCCTCGGCGATTCATGGGACTGTTTCCCTCGTCAATTACCACCACCCTCTATAATCCAACAGGAGCACATACTGATCGTTAACAACAAACCAATCCCCCTCCGTAGACGGCGTCTCCTCCAGCGCCAGCGGTGGAGCACGATGGGCATGGTAGTCGAGGAACTGCGGCGGCGGCAGCTGATACCTCACCAACCCCGGACTCTCGGTCTCGACTCCCTTCGGTGTAGTATTTCCCGTCTGCTTTCCGGAATGCGTTCCATTGCCACCGCCGGCAGCTTCCCTGCTGGCTCCGCCCCCTCCCAAACTACCAGCTGCTGTTCCCTCCTTCTTGCGCCAGGTCTCTTTCTTTTCGCGGGGCTCGCGGTGGCCGCTCGACTTGACGGTTGGACGGGAACGTGGAGCGTCATCCGTGGCGGTGGAGGGACGCTTGGAAGGAATTGAGGAGGGCGGCGGTGGTGGTGGTGGTGGTGCGGAGTCTGTCATTGTATTCGTCGTTGGAATGGATTCGAGGACTTTTGGCTGAGGAACACGCGAGCCTGCAGACGCGCACTCGAGCTTGAGATGTTGCAGGGTATCACTAGCTGACTTGGCGCGACGATGATGTAAATCTCGAGTAATTACATATGAGGCACTTGTTGGACGAGCGACGCGCCGACGCCAAGGCTCGCGCCGGTGAATGGTCGCTAGAAAAGTGCTTATTGTCTGGAAGAATCATGGCTGAGTCAAGTAGCCATCCGCGAATCTGAAGAAAAAGGGTCGAGTGATTCCTAATAAGCCACCGCTGTTTGGGGATTTTGGAAGCAGGAGATTCCCGACAGCCGAAAAACGGTCGGAGATATCACTATGGCGATGGCCTACCCTACTGCCCACGAAGATGTTAAGCCCTACCTCCGGCCGTTGTTTTCGGCCAGTAAGGTGTCTCTAGAACGTACGGCTCTCGGACTCTTTCGATCCTCATATCTAAAGTAAAGAGTAACCAACCCTACTTTCCGTACACATAAAATGATCGAGTCAAGAGTTTATGGGAAGGAACCAAAAATCTGACGAGAGTCGAGACTCTCACTGGATGGCGCGGCTGGTTGACAGACGCCAGCCATCGTCATTGTCGGTCGAAATCTTCGTGAAATCAATGCTGCTATTTCGAACGCGACGCGATCATCAACGCGACTTCGTTTGATGCGCTCTAACCTGGCACACTCACCAACACAATGGGATCAAGCAAGAGGAAACCGTTATTTGGTTTGTCTACACTGCTCGTCCGCTTCGTTACAGGAGCACCAAGGAAAAAGGCGAAACGATTCCCCAACCGAAAAAGCACAAGCAAACAAGCCAGAACCAACCCAGATTAATAAGAAAGAGGCCATGACGAAAACCAGACGCACCAGAACTGAAATTGCTGAAGACAAGCCAACCACATAACGATGGACCCTGCTCCGAGTGATGTAACAATATTGGTGGAGGTTGTTTAACGGCTGCGCAGTACAACTGATTAGTGATGGCAATTGGAAGGTACGGCAGGAAGATCAACTCACTCCTCGGCCCACTCGTTCTCGCGACGGATCTGCTCCTCCTCCTCGGGAGTGAAATCGTTCTGGATGTTGAAAGTCTTTCTAATCTCCTCGGGGCTCTTTCCCTTGATCATGTTGGCAACGGTCTTGCATCCAACATCAAGAAGAGGCTTGATATCCAAGTAGTTGGCAGCCTGAGCACGATCTGCGTTAGATTTATTTTGCGGGCCGGGGGGGCGTCGTTCGGAACTTACCAAGATGATCTCGAAGAGCATCTCCTGGTCGACCTGCATGAACTTCTGATCCCACTCCTCGATATCGGTCGACCTCTTGCGAGAGTCCGACTCGTCGTCGTTGGTAGCAGGCGAGTCGCCCTGGTGGTGCTCGCACCACTCGATGACCTTCTTCAGAACGGCTTCGTTGACCTGGATGATGGCGTTAGTGAGATGCGCTGCCGGTAGGTGACGTGGCGGGCCGAGCTTGATCGACGCACGGAATGAAGAGGGTCATACGTTAGGAATCGGGATAGCATCCTCAACCTCGCCAACATCCTCGAGCATGTTCTTGATGAGGACGGAACGCTCAGCGACCTCCTTGTCTGTTTGCCACGGTCGCGTCAGTTCATGAGGACTTGAGAGCGCTGGTTGTGGTGCTGGCAGTCGTGATGGGAATGGACAAACGTACCGACAGCAATGATGGCACCGTCAGAGCTCATAAGCTTGATTTGGGCAATCATCTTGATGTATCGGTGTTGTTTGCGTAAAGTCGTAAAGTTGATGTGGGGGGGGGGGGGGGTACGGGAGGGAGTCGAGGAGGTTGAGGTTTGTGGAGTGGTCGTGGTTGGTGTGTAAGGTTGAGCTGTGGTAGTTGGACAGAGGACAGAGAAGGCGGTTGTAGAGAGAGAGAGAAGATGGGGTTGGTGGTAGTGGTGGTAACTTAAGTGGGTGCAGGCACGCTGAGGCTCAGCTCAGATTGAAGGAAGCTTGGCTCTTTTGAAGTGGCAGCGGGGTATGAGTAATGCGGCAGCACCCTTGACACATCGGGGAAGAACAAAGCATACGAGCAACATGGGCCGTCACCGCGCACAAAGAAACCCTTATTTCGCATCGTCTACAGCTTATACACCGGCGAGGCCGAGTAGAGAGTGACTTCCCCCCATGGGGACTGCAAAGGCTGTTCAAGTGCGCGCAGTTTGGACTTGGACGTCTGAACCCGGCGGACACAGCAAGCAGACCGGGCGTCAGCACATCTGCCGCGCGCCGCTGCGAAGCAAAACGCCAAGTGCCGGCACAGCGAGATCCGTATCGACGTCGATTGGGAATAAATCTTTGGGTCAAACTGCGGTGGACCTAGGAAAAAAGGCAAAGGGACCGCTCTTTGATCGGGAACCTAAAACGCAAGTTGCCTCTCGAGGCCCCTCGTTATTTGGTTTGCATGCTGAGTCATTGTGATCCTGGGTTCTTGCATGCTCTGCTCTTCCTGGCCGGGGATGGCCTGGCGATGAACAAGGGGCTTGGTGGGGCTGTACACAGTGACTTGTGAGTAGTCAACAAATAGATGACTTGAGTCAATAAATAGAAGGCTCGAGTCAATAAACAGAGTGGCTCGAGTTAATAAACAGAATGACTCGATTCAACAAGTCCCAGCACTCGAATCACCCGATATTGACGACATAACTCAAGCCCATTCCGGTCGCCCTTCGGTCCGAGCGACTCAAATGTATGGCCCTATCCATATAACCATACACAAAGCCCCACATTGAGATGTATTATCAGAAACCAATCCGATACCTAGTTCATGGTGCTTGTTGTTGGAGGAATTTATGAGACATCCAGCTGACGCTGTTCGTTGTATGCATAGGTACCTCGAAATCCGTCCCTGTTCCCCTTTCGTACCCATAGTCCGATAGTCGAGTGCTTATTTTTTCTGCTTCACCCTATAATCATCATCTTAATGCACTATGTATCGTGTCCTCCCCACTACCAGCATATGGTTCTATGATGTGTATGGGGGACTCATCTTCTGTCGCTAAGAGCTGAGTTCCATCTCATAAAGAGGTCCTGATTGGCTGGTGGATGGACCAAAGTTTGTAACCATGGCCGTGAATTCATGCCGCCTCGCCGAGAGCGAACCATAACATTTCTGACGGATGGGCCATTGTAGGGCAGTCGGCGGTCCTTTGCCTCTCGTCCGGCTCTGCTTTCGTAGTCGGCCTTTTACTATCGCGATACATACACCGCATTCAGAAATCTCCAGATACGACAATTGTCTCCGCCAGTGTTCTCTACCTGAGGAGTGGATAAAAATGTATCTGGGTGTATGTAGGTTGTATGTAGGTGAGGGCGGCCAATGGCTGTTGTCGTTGGCCGAGATCTCGCTGACTGATTATAGACTGACAGAACACTTGGTGGTGAAAGTACATGAATGGGCGGCACCATCAACTGTCAATCGTGGAGGAGAAATGGGCAGCCTGGATGCACGAACGGGAACCTTTATGCATGTCCGAGAGACTCTTGGCTGTATAAACGACAAAGTAGCCAGAGAGATTTTGATATTGGCCACTGGTCAATTTCAAGAGCCGGGAAAAGAAGGGTTTTACGAGAGTACTATCAGCTCGCTTCTCCCATCGCTGTGCTCTCGGAAGCAGAGTTTATTTAGGGTGGGGTCACATCCCACAGCTCCTAACTATCCGAATGTGATGAGCACCCCGATGCCCTTCGCTACTCTCACTCGATATCACATGATTCACTGCTATTCTACCCCTAGCGGCATTTTCTGCACAGTCATCTCACGTCTTGACACTTCTCCACAAGGTCACCCAAACCAACCCAACAAACCCGCCCGCCCCAAGAACTCAAAAGCAGGACTCCAGATCCCTAAGACTAAGCTCCACAGCACCGCCTCGCCTCGCCATACAATCATGTGGAGACGCATATATATGCTGTTATTGGCAGTGAGACTGTACTTTTCTCTCGCGCCGTCTTATATCCATCCCGATGAGCATTTTCAAGGCCCAGAAGTTATTGCTGGTATGTGATTGTCCCTGCATATCGTCCCGAGAACTACCATACATACACTGTCCACCTTCCCCCCTGCCTCTTGGCTCTCCCCACTACTCTCCACACCTGTCGAGGCCGCGATCCGCACATATATGGACGCGCGCGCGGGACTCCGTACTTACATTCAGCCCTAACCGCCATGCAGGTCATATCTTCAACTGGCCAACTGTCAGGACATGGGAGTTTACAGTTGAAGCTCCCATTCGGAGCTTCTTTCCCTTATGGCTCGTTTACGGCTTTCCAATGAAATTCTTGGACTGGGTCTATCCAGGTGCTGAGCCACCGGAGCCGATTGTTATCTTTTACTTCCTACGGACAATGTTCTTCTTGGCGTCCTTTGTTCTCGGTATGTCCAGCGATTCCGAATGGCTCGTGAAGGGGCATTGCCCGGTGCTGCATCTTGGAGTGAAGATCTAGTAGAGTCAACGCTGATACTCGTTCAGAGGACTGGGCCCTTCAAGAGCTCCTGGCGACTCCCCGCCAACGTCGCATCAGTCTGTCGCTGCTGGCCAGCAGCTATGTGACGTGGACGTATCAGACGCACACATTTTCCAACTCCGTCGAAACCATCGCGGTGCTGTGGTCGTTGGTGCTTATGGAACGGATCTCAAAGTCTAAGAGCTGGGTCTTCCTTTCACCTGCAGCCCTCGGCTTCACCGTCGTCTTCGGCGTGTTTAACCGCATCACGTTCCCCGCTTTCCTTATCCTGCCGGCGTATCGGGTCATTCCTCACTTCCTTCGCAGACCCGTTTCCGTCCTCCCTCTAATCGTCGCCGCCGGGCTCACTGCCGCCCTTGCCATCTCGGTCGACACTTTCCACTACGCACCAACATCCACTTCCCCCATAATCACCCCTCTGAACAACCTCCTCTACAATAGCAAGACTGAGAACTTGGCACACCACGGTATCCATCCATACTACACACATCTGGTCGCAAACCTTCCGCAACTGTTGGGTCCGGCACTTCTCCTTCTCCGTGCGCCGCTCAGCAGCCCCGTGCTCTCGGCAATCGGTGGAGTCCTCACCCTCTCAGCACTACCCCACCAAGAGGCGCGCTTCCTGCTTCCCGTGATTCCACTCCTGCTCACCTCAGTGACCCTTCCACAAGGCCTCCTCAGAAAACGCGTCTGGATTGCCTCATGGATGATCTTTAACGCAGCCTATGGCACGCTCCAGGGGATCTACCACCAGGCCGGGATCGTGCCCGCGCAGACATTTCTAGCAACCACCAACGTCACCGACGTCCTCTACTGGAAAACCTACAATGCGCCGACCTGGCTGCTGGGGCCGCTCAGCGCACGCACAAATACGACCAACCTCATGGGTGCACCCGTGAGCACGTTGCTGTCGGAGCTAGCCAGCAAGTCCAACTGCACCGGTGAAGCATACCTTGCGGCCCCATTGTCAGCCACAAAATTGGACCCGCTGCTCGACGCGCCAGAGTTGCCATTTCGCCTCGAGATGGCGTGGAATACCCGCGTTCATCTTAACATGGACGACCTCGACTTTGGAGAGGATGGTGTAGTCCCTACGCTGCAGAGGGTGGTGGGGAGGAGAGGACTGGGCGTGTGGAGGATACGGAGGAGGGAGTGTGAGGAGGTGTGATTTTCCCTTTAGATACCCTTTTGTCGTAATGGATTTCTGCGGACTGTGGGCGTTTCCTAGGCTGGGATGGTGATGCCAGTAAGTTGGCTGTAGGATCGGGAATGCATGCAGGTTTTCTTCATACTACACGTCGTGATCCTGAAAGTAGAAAGGATCCTTTTGTGCCTTTGGTGTCCACGGTACAGAAATGCGACCTAGCGGGCCGACGCCGGAAACAAGCATGAGATGCGTAGGGCTATCTAATCGAGCCGTAGACAGCCTTTAAGGTCCAGGCCACTGCTCCAGATGGTCCGAATCAAGGAGATAGATATAGGCTCACGATCTATTATTTCGAAACCCAAGCACGCAGTTGAATTCTACGAATTGACTCGGAATATGAACGATTTGTAACTCCACCGCCTTCTCGTAAACCTGTAGAGCCGCTTCGCGAGAAGTTTGTCGCTGGTTGTATTTCCTATCACTCGTACCCCACACCCACCCCGTGACCGCGAATTCCCACACTAGGGCGCAGCCCTACCCAGCTTTAGCGCGCACACACACAAATCCCCGACGCTCCAACAACAACGACCAAAAATACCGCCACGACACGCACCCTCACGACCAACGACCCGAAACGAGACTCCATCACACACGTCGCAGCTATGCCGGTAAGGATCCCCGCCACGAGAAGAAATGCTAGAGAAGGGGAGGATTGACAGGAGCTGACGGAACGCGAATACAGTCCCAGAAGTCTTTCCGCACCAAGGTGAAGCTTGCCAAAGCTCAGAAGCAGAACCGCCCCATTCCCCAGTGGATCCGTCTGAGGACCGGTAACACCATCCGGTAAGCAACCTCCACACCACTCTACATAGACACTGCCTCTAATGATGAGGAAACAGCTACAACGCCAAGAGACGTCACTGGCGCAAGACCCGTCTCGGTATCTAAGCGACTCGCCAACGACCAGCCCTGTTCATTCCTTCCTTTCGACACGATGGATTTTTTTCTCTGGAGGATGTGAGGGAGCGATGTGGGGATGGGCGATGGGAGGGATTAAAGACCAAAAATAAAATGGGCTTTCATCTGGTGATCTTGTTCGGTGCGGCGACGGCGTTTGCTTTTCAGTTAAGGGAATGGGATTGCTTTTCACCTACATACGACGGAACGCGCGGCGGGGTGGTGGGAGATAAATGCTTCGTGCGCGACGTGATTGCTCAGCACTCCTTCTCCCTCGGCGTCACCCTTATTCGAACCAGCGAATCCACTCTCCGGCCATTCGACAACTGGAACCCGCTTCTACGACCGTGTAACTATTAGGCGCCCGCCATCGTGACTTCCATGACCTCCATATCGGTATATTGAGAGCGGAGAGCGAGTGACTATCCCGAACTTATCGACAGTTCCAGGCGGTCATAATCAGTAATGATGATATCCTGAAGTATATACTGCACAGTCTACGGCCCGGACACACGCTCGACGATTTTACGACTCCCAGTAGCTCCCATTCACCTTCCCCATACATACATAGACCTCATTTTTACTTCGCACGATATTGTGTAGCTCACAACCATGCGATGCATGATGCGGAGCTATTGATCTAGGTGCTTGGGGATTAGTTCGTGCATGTGAAGGGGTTCAGTCCAGGTCCAGAAACAGTTGAAAGCACAGGAATCTCAGCGGCGGTGGGTCTAAGTGGGGGCGGCAGCTTAGGAGTTTGCGCTGGAGGACGGACATAGAGTGGACGGATGTGTCTTCCATGAGTTGAACCCTTACAATGATAACGAGAGCCATTCTCCTTCCACTACACTCTCCACGTAGAGTACCTTCCCTCTCGAAGCCCTCGATGGCATGCATTTGTTTCTGTCTGGAGTAGCTTCCACGTGTGCTGCTTACAGTGGGAAGGAGCCCTACTCCAATGGATGTTGCACTGATATTTCCACACCTTGAAAGTTGACCTCCCGCTTTCAACTGTGGCTGACGATACCTACAATACGGTAGATATGGGCAAGGCTTTTCTTTACGGGGCCATTGGCTTCACGATATATGCCACAAACATGTCTCCTTGATGTTGAAACCCAGAGTCGACGACCGTGATTCGACATAGATACTTCGCCGTACCCCCCTCCCCCGGACGTCCAGAGCTATCGTAGAGCACGCAGCGGCCATGCCTACCCTTCTTACAAGAAGCCCATTCTATTGCACGCATGTCAATGGGTCCTGAATCCTGCCATTCAGTAACCAGAGGCCTTCACGGAGCCCCAGAAAGCGCAAACACGATGTGAGTATCGGAAGCATGGGCTACCTAACTATCTCGGCCCAGCTGAGAGCCGGAAGCTAACTGGCAAGAAACGTTTCCGGCCCCGGCCGAGGAGTTTTTTGGCCGGATAGTTGTGCCGGCTAGTCGCAATGTTTGTGGGGGAGGCTGCTGGGGGGTTTGGGGGGCAGCGGGGCAGTGGGGCAGTGGGGCAGTGGGGCGACGGGGACGACGGCGGGGGGTGGAAGGGCTAGGGGTACTGGCGGGTATGCGGGTTTCTGTTCAATGTGCTTTGATCGAAGGGTGTCGAGTCTCCAGATACACAGCTCTTTTCTCCAATGAATAAGTTTACTTTTGAAACGAAGGATTCCTCCGGAAGGTCGGCGGATACGGTGGTTGTCGGGAAGCGCCAGTCCGCTAGCCAGCAATATCTGAGGCCCGACAGATCACGACGTGACACATGGGGATGGCGAGCTCGAGTGCATATGTGTGAAGAGCAAGGTCATTGATATCGATGACGAGGTTTCAATGCGAAAATTGGCATTTCAAGGAAGCTTAGCTCCTCCCCATGCCCGTGTGATCCGTTTGTATGCTAGAGAATATCGCATTGTTGCCTGGCTGAGATAGTGCCCGCATAGCTTACCGGTGGGCAACAAGTCTTTCGAATCGCGGCTACTCCAGAGGCGGGCAGACGCGATCGGTTTGACCGTGGGAACGCAGGCATGTGATTCGGTGAAATCGGCGCGTCCCCCCCCCTGTCGCGCTGGGGGGAGCGCTGGTGGGAGCGCTGGTGTGACGTCATTTGTATGTCATGGCTGCACTCCACAGATCTACAAACTTGGTGTGACCCCTTCCGCAATGGGAATTGAGCTTCAGGAACGTCGTAGAGCAGGACGGACGTCATTGATGAGGGGCAGAGAGTGGGAGGGCGAGAGAGGACCCTGATGGCCACTGAATTCTTATAAAACCATTCGTCTTTCCCGCTTCTCATCTGCTTTTTCTTCTCCATCCTCACAAAACAAGACAATCAACCAACATCCTCACATCCATCCAAACAACTTTCCACAACCAAAACCACCCCTCAAACAACATCTTCACCATGTCTGACACTTTCCGCAAGTCTTTCTCCGACCGCGCCGGCGAGAAGATTCAGCCCGATTCCTCCAAGTCCACCCTCGACAAGGCCACCGAGAACGTCACCACCGCTGCCGACAGTATGTTTCCTTCTTCTCCATCCTCTATCCTGCTCGAACAGATACTAATGCATTGAACAGAGGTTGCTGGTGAGCTCCAGACCGACTCCTCCAAGTCCAACACCCAGTCGGGCTTCGACAAGTCTCGCCGCGAGAAGGACACCATAGTCGACAAGGTGAGCCCAACTACTTTTCCGTCCCTCCTCCTACTATCCTCAGTCTACTAACATCCTCAAAAGGTCAAGAACGTCGTCGGACTCGGCAACAACAACCAGGTCTAAATACCACAATGATTTGACGATTTGAGCGGGATGGGGCACAATTACGGAGTTTGATTTTGTCTTTTTTTCCTCGTTCTTCTTCATCTGTTGTATGCTAGTTCTGGCTGTTTGATCATGGGAATTTGATTCTACTACACACAAACGAGCGGGTCCGAAACTGTTGTGACATCTACCTGGACTGCTTGACTCTCTAACAGGATTTGGTGATCCACCACCACCTGTTTCTATTTGAGACACCGGCATGCCTCATCGCGGGACCACGTTTAAAAGCCCTGTCCTTCACTGGGGCCCGTACCACCAGAGCTGCACTGTTTCCGTTGGCTTTGCTGTCACTTTCTCGCGTTCATTCTCGGAAATATCATGTCACCCCTGCCGCCTCTCCGCCGTCCGTCAACCTTACACCGTTCAGCTTGCGATTGCCAGACCGTTCATCGTAACACAATCTGCAATTCTCTTAATCTACTCCCGCGCCCCACTTCTGGAACCCGATCCTTCTTCGCCGATTGAACACACCGTCAGTCATAAGATCGATGGTGAAGAAGAACACGTCCGTGTCGGATTCCTTCGCTGCAAGCAACCGACCGGTCCAATCGGAATTGCTTCCTTGCCCTAGGAAGTTCCATATGTCGCACAATTCATCACACGGGTGATTCTCCGTGACATAGGCACTTCCAGCCCTATCACACGAGCATATCTTATCTTATCTGCATACTCCCAAAAGGCTTACTCCCATCCGCGGACGTCTGATTCGCTCATTCCAACGACGTCAGGGGTAGAGTACATAAGTTCCCACTTGTATGTACTCTAGATCTCTCTCGGGCAGAAACAAGCTCCAGGCTCCAGCAGTACGGTTCAACCGCCCCGCTGTGTGAGACTTCGAGTTCGCTTTGTCTCCCTTCAAACGGAGACTGCTGCAGGACGGACAACTAAAATAGAGGTTTCACAATCGCCTTCCTACCTATCAACATCATCGACAATAAGAACAGCATCATCATCACCGCATCGACTGACCCCATCCCGCGACTAGCCGCTGAAAGTCCCCAGCGAAGTGCCGCAGCCAAGCCCTCACCCCCGGTGGAGTGCACATGCCCCCAGTATTCTTAATGCCAGCAAGCAGACGGCAGCAGTGAGACTCAACAGACTTCGAACCCGTACCGTATCTTCTGATTCTGCAAAAGCATACTCGAGCGAGTAACCTCTCACTTCTTATTTCTTTCTTTCTCTTCCTCTCTTTCTCTTCTGGCCCTTCGTCCGCCCGTCCGTCTGTCCGCCACACTACACATCGAAATACAGGCGACATGGAGAACTATGAACACCACAACATCGATGTCGCCACAATGGATCGTGAAGAGCTTCAGGTAGGGCTACATGTGATGGCAATGCATTGCGCCACTTCGATTATTTGCTGACATGATTCATACTCGAAGGAAGCAGTAACAAGAGCCTACCTCCGCCTATGTCGCAAGGAGATGATCCTCCTTCTGAGCTTGCGATCTCTTCCAGTGTACGGCGACGCCCATCAACTCGCCTTCCGCCTAGCCGTCCACGACCTCTCGCATCGCACCGACCTCAATGCCGCGCCTAGAATCCATACACCGCCGCCGACCAATGATTCCTTCCTCTCAACTACCAACTTCCCACCCTCCAGCGACACCCTCGCTTCCTCAGCCCCATCTAGCGAGTCCTTACTGGACCCAACCTATCAGCTCGACACCCTCTCGGAAACATCTCTCCTATCTCACCACCTACCCACACTTCCCCCAGAGCTATGGGCGGACATCTTCGAGATCGTAGCAGACTGGGAGCTCGCTACCGCCCTCGGCGTTCACTCCAACCTGCGCCCAACAGCCGACTGGACACGCTGCGCTTCCTCCTTGGACCAGGCGCTCCTCTCCGGCTCGGTCTCGCACGTCACCAATCACATCATGCGCCACCCAGCTTCAAAGCTCACTAAATTCGGCGCCAAGGCGATGATCCGCTTCAGCTACACCCACCTGCTTACCTTCCTGCGCACCACTCGGGCAAGTGAGTTCACCGCCATCTTCTCCGAGCCCTCCTGTCAAATTCCCGTTCTCGCCAGCCGCTTCGGACAAACCAAGGTTTTAAGCTGGTGGCTCGACGCCTCCGACGCCGCCTCACCCAATGCTCTCCCGCGCGATTACGACGAGGAGCCGTTGGACGAAGCCTCACGCAAGGGTCACATCCACGTCCTCCAGTGGTGGAAGACATCCAAGCTGTCTCTCCGGTACGGGCTGGTAATGGACGTGGCCTCGGCGTCTGGCCAGCTGCCCGTGCTGGAATGGTGGAAGAACTCGGGACTGCCCCTGGAATACGACCGCCACGCCCTCCGCTCCGCCAGCTATCGCGGCGAGGTTGAGGTCCTCGAGTGGTGGAAGCGCTCCGGTCTGCGTCTCATCTACGACAAGGAGGTCCTCGTCGAAGCTACGAAATTCAACCGCGTCGAAGTCTTGGAATGGTGGAAGCGCTCGGGACTGACCGTGCAGTACCTACTCATCGAGATCGAGGCGGCGCTGGAAGACGCCATCGGCGGCGGGAAGGAGGCGATGGCTTGGTGGGCTGCGCAGGGGATCCGCTTCGATGTTACCGTCCGCGAGTGGATGGAGTATAAAGTGTTGTGATGATCATCGATGGATGGAATGAGAAGGGATTTTCGTAAACTTTTTCTTTGCTTTTGTGCTTTTGGCTTTGGGATCGAGGTCGAGGTCGGATCAAATGGTGTTGGGTGTTGGGGAGTTTATAACTTTTCTTCTGCTTCTTGATGATTACTTTTTTTCTTTGCTCCTACTTCTTTCTCCTTTTCTTTCTTTGGCACGGCACAGCGACACACACACACATCACATCGCACATGGTTGGCTTAGCCCATGACGGGCGGACAGGCAGACAGGCAGGCAGGCAATTTATATAGATGATAGGATATGGAGTTACTTCTTGCATATGATATGCACTCTAATATCGATCCCGTATGCCCGTCGCCCGGCAATATGATATCAATATCTACATCTACATTATGTAGCCAGGCCCAGCAATGCTTTCAACCTTCACTTCATTTCGATCCCGCACACCTTCACGGTCTATCCACACTCCCTCTATCCTATCCTATCCTTACAGACCAGACCATCTCGCGGAAGCAAGCAAGCAAGCAATACGAAAGAAAAAAACAAACCTGACCAAAGAGAAAAAGAAAGAAAAGAAAAGCAAAACACCCAGGACTTCAACCCATCCCCATCCCACCCAGCCCCACCGACCGACCGACCGAACGACTCCCCAAATGATATAAGAACACGGACATGAATGAGCAAGCAAGCAAGTACGTAGGAAAGTTATCTGCTTCCTCACTGCTCACTTGCCAGCCCCGTCCAGCCAGTGGGCGGGAATAATCCAGATGGGGGTATGGACTGCAGTGGCCTCAGGATCCAGGCCCCGGATCTTGGGTCGAGGCAAAAAAAACGCGATGATCCGCCCGACTCCGCAAAAGCACACAATCTCCGATATCACTCGCCACGTTGAGAAAATCATGGGGAAGGACGTCTTTCTCCCAACCTGTAAGGCTTGAGGCAAAGGCAAGACTTGAGCCTACAACATCAGTGGTCCGATTGAGAAGGATGTAGCTAGTCGACTCCTTCGATACCACTGGGCCGCACATAACTGGGAGTGGTTCTTGGAATCTTCACTTCGTGAGTGTTTCCGTCACTGACAAATCATCCGTAGCCATACTTTTTACTCGCGATTTTGCTTCAGCCCCCTTATTCATTCCATCCAACAATGCAAATCACTTGTCGATTGGCCATATGCTTGCCTCACTGCTGGACATATTTACGTTGTATCTCGCCATCATTCGTGCTTGTTCCGCATCATCAACCCTAGGCAACACCCTCCCTCACCGCGTCGATTATACTTCGAACCTATGGTTGTGCCTATCTATTCTCGGCCACTTTCAACATATCAGGGGTTCGTGGATTGTTTCCTGCAACCTCTGCTCCACTTGATAGCCCACAGCAAGCACGGAGGAGAGTTGTCTGGGGCGAGGAGGCCGAGTGGGCATGGCCGAGGAGACAGTGGGCAACATAGTTTTGGGTATAGAAGTGAGGGTGTAGAGGCCGGCTTTCATACGCACCCGTTTCTTAATAATTAGCTTGAGCCGAAGCGCAAACTGCAGCTGGAGCGAAACAAAATGGAAAGTTTCAAGCTGGTAATGTCAAGCGTCTGTAAGTTCTCACTGCTTTATCATATTGTTACTCCAATGAAGTACTCATGTATATGTCTCATCCTACTCAAACTACCATAGACTGCAGGTATAGGACCTACGTGGATCCACTGGTGGCACCAAAATGGCTGTGATGGGTAGAGTGATGATCTGTGAAGCGATGAAGATTAGATCGCGCACAATCGATAACGGTAAATCCCACGCTAGTCACGCTAAGGGTTTTGCCCCTCCCACACCCACAACGGAATTTGACTGTTAGTCGGTGCGCCGTGCTGTTTGATTTACCTCAGCTTCGAGCTCCATTTCCACTTTCCTTCCACACTCCAACCACAACAGCGAAAATGTGAGTACTATCTACCCCCACCTTCAGCAATCAGCAACATTTCATTGCGAACATGTCTGCCGAATCCCCCCTGCTGCTGGTGCTGCTTCCCGCGACGAACAATTTACTGATTATGTGATTACAGGAGAGCCAAGTGGAGAAAGAAGCGTGTTCGCAGACTCAAGCGCAAGAGAAGAAAGACTAGAGCCAGATCGTATGCATCCCACCATTAGGATCCGTGTCGATGTGCAGTTACTGACAACCATTACAGCAAGTAAACGCCTCGCCTTTTCCACAATCTAGCGGACGCAACCTTTCCAAACATCATCCTACTATCATGAGCCAACTTTCGAATCGGTAACAAACGGCGCGGAACGACAACAATCTTTTCTTCTTGTCCATTTTCAAGCGACAACTTATGACGAGCGACGACAATGGAACAAGTGGGGAGGATACTTTGTGGTGGAAGGATGGATGCGTTATGAGATGGCTTGATGATTGCTTTTGTTTTCATGTCATTTTGGGAGGAGTTTGCGGGGTTGGGATTGCTGGGAGGGACTTTGAGGGTTTACGAGCATCTGTTTTCTTGTTCTTGTCTCACAAGAAGCCTACTACAACAAATCAAAAAAGTAGAAGGTACACTCTGATGAAATTTGTGTGATCGCGTGCTCTCAAACCTCCATTGCGGTTGAAATCTCCGTTGCGGTTGTTACCGCTGTAGTGCGTACGTATGACGCTCGGCCTCTGCCCGCAAGCCCCCCACCATCGTCGACCCCGCCATCGAAGGGCCTGAACACAAAACGCACCTTTGCGCTTCCTGATGACGCCGCAACCTTGTCTTTAGGACAATTCCCTAACTGCGGGATCACGTTGGAGCGCTGGGACTAGTCAATTTACGGCAATAGTGGCTGCTGGCGTCCTGGGGGGAGGCTCCGCCAAAAATTTCTCGGGCTAAAGAATAATCACGTTCAACAACCACCACCAGCTCTCCAGGTCCATACCTCTTCACCGCAACACCACAGCACCATGGCCACTCCCGATAAGAAACGCAAGCGGGACTCCGCTGCTGCGGAATCAACTCACCAGATTAAACTTGTCAATGCTGAGGCATCCGACCTTCCTCCCATCGCTGGTTCACCCCCCGCCCTCCTCCGTCGCCCGCCGTAGCTAACTACCGTCCGGATCCTTAGCCACCACGGTCGGCGTAGCGCTCCCTCCCTTACCATTCGAGCCCTATACTCGTCCTTCTCCCTACGATACCACCAAAAAGAAGCGCGCGCGCCCCGAATACCTCCTCCACGGATCCAACCCGCGGCTCGACTACGAAGGCCGCGAAGTGCCCGAAGACTCGCAGTACCACCGCTACTACGTCGGCATCTTCGACCCGGCCACAAACAGCGTGTCCCTGCACCTCGCGCCCAAAGTCCACGTCACATCTGCGATCCGTGCCCACCGCCAGCGCGATGTTGAAGTCCTCGCGAAGGGCTCGCAGTTCACCTACGCCGAGAGCAAGGTTGCGCTTGGAAAGGCCTTCGGAACGCGAAAGGCACAGAGCGCCCTCACCAGTAGGGAGATAAATAAGGTCGATGCGACGGATATGGATCAGTCCGTTAGCAATGCGATCATCGAGCAGGTCGAGGAGAATACCATGAATATGCCCACCACCGAGGAGCTGGGCAGGAGCATGCAGGATGAGAGACCCGTTCCGAAGCATAATGCGGCTGCTAGCAGGGTAGACGAGGTTTATGCGCGTGAGGATATCATCTCTGAGGAGGAGTGGAACAGTATCTGGGTTAGCGACTGGGTCAAGAATGGGGCTGTCAATACGTATGTCGCTCCTCTTCTTGTTTGGGTCGATGGGAGAGAGAGAGGGCTAATCGATCGACAGGAAATCGACGCATGTCAACAAGCGTGCTATGCAGTTGATACAGGGTTCGGCGAAGGGCAACACCCGCGAGCTGAAGATGTTGAAGTACATTGCATCTTTGATCGACTTCTACCTTTTCCAGCAGAAGGGCCGTGGACGAGTACCTCCTCCGTCACGGGCGAAGACCGCGTTCAGCGCTGGCAATCCCACACTCGTTGAGAGCTTCTACAACAAGTTCACGGAAACCACGAGCGGGCAGGTTAAGAAGGATGAGCAGGGAAAGGTCAGGGACAATGGCGACAGGTGGGTTCTTCTTTGCGTTCTTCGCCCCGGGGACTGAGAGCGAAAGCTAATGGTCATGCAGATATGTGGTATCGCCGCGATTGGAGCAGAAGGTCCTTTACTATCTGGCTGTACTATGCTTGATGGTGGATAAGTTCGACGTGGACATCTACGACCTGAAGCACGATCTGAATATCCTGCCCAAGGAGTGCGTATTCCTCGTCCTGGAAGTATGAGCGGAACACTGACAAGAGAAACAGATTGGCCCAAGCCTTCAAGGAGGTTGGATGTTCCATTAGAGACATCGGAAAGTCCCAGTTGGCGACAAGCAAGATGACCAAGGCCGAGGCAGCACAACATAAGAGGGCAGTTCTCAAGATTCCCCTGGAGTTCCCTCCACCACCAAGAAAGAGGACTGCTGCTGGCGGTAGAAGGTGAGGGGGAGGCTAGAGAAGTGTGATTTCAGCCAGGGTTTGGGGCAATCACGCTTGCTGTATATAACGACGGACGGGACGATCAGAAAATAATATGGAACAAGCATTTACTAGAAACGCTCCAGAAAAAAACACCACGCATCGCATGTACCCAGCGTAACCTAGCGTAACCCAGTAAAAGTAAAGTAAAAGAGTACATAAACGTCAAGGAAATCAGAACTGTCCGGCCTTTATAAAAATATGCCGCCAATCACAACCCTCCGATCCCATCATACACACATTAGAGGTGTCCAACACCGGGGAGGCAACCCTATTTTCTCTCCAGCATAGCTTCAACCTCCTTGAGCAAATTCCTCAGATCTCCATCATCTCCAAACTCCAATCCAAATGCCAACGCCTGCTTCGCCTCTTCGAGCCGTCCCATCTCCTTCAGCGCCCTCGCCTTCCTCCAATGTGCCTTCGGGTTCTGCGCGCGCTTGAAGTCGACACTCAGATTCGCATCCGCCAGGGCCTCAGGCCAGTTATTGGCGCTCATATGTGCCTGGGCCCTGTTTGCGAACAAGACCTGAGCCTCCTCCTTCAGCAGCGGCGCGGGTTCCCACGACGGACGGGACATCGCCATGGAGATGGCGTGGCTGTAGAGGTGGATCGCCTCCTGGTAGTTGCCCTTGCGGAAGGCCAGGTTGCCGCTGTTGCGCATTTTCTCGATTGCGGCGGAGCGCTGGGGCGGGACCGGCACCGGCGGCGGAGGTACGCCCCCGGGTGGCGCCTGCGTCGCCAAAGTCCGGTGCAGGTTGTTGAGCGCTTCGAGGTGCGCGTGCAGCTCTGCGTTGTGCTTCATCGGCGTGCTGATCGTTTGCGTCTCGTTGTCGACGGTCAGAGGGAGCTGCGTGTAGACGTCGATTGCGGAGGCCATGGTTGCGGCTGTGCGGGACGTGTATATGGGTAGATGAGTGAACGTGGTGGTGGTGGTGGTGATGTGCGGGAGAAGGTTAAAAGAACGGAAAGAGAGACTTGAGAGCTTCAGCTTGGGAGAAGTTGAGGACAGGTGGTTGACACAAGTGCCAACCCCCTGTCGGTTGTGTGGCGCTAGAAGTGCTAATAGCCACAGATCTATGATATGTAGCACAGCAAGTCGGCCTTTTAACGATTCAGGTCCGGAACCTTACCCTGGATACCTTGGATCTCTAACAACACCGTCGGCTCGAGATCACCATACACTCTACGATACACACACTATGGCTTCACCAGTCCCAACCTCGTCAAATGCGCTTATTAGGCGCTCCACGGAGACAGACCTCATGCCACCACCACCTCCACTGAAGCGGATCAAGCGGCCGGCGCAGGTGCTCGACGAAGATAGCTACACTGAGGCGCTTGTATGCTCCCTCCCACCCCTCTTCCTCCGCCCCGCCCCTCGGGCACCGGCTAACAGCTCTATAGTCCGAGATCATAGCTCGCGACTTCTTCCCGGGCCTCCTAGAAACCAAGCACCAGCAAGAGTACCTCGACGCGCTCGACTCGCACGATCAAGCGTGGATCGCCGAAGCGTCGCGTAGGCTCACCGAGGTGATGAACACACCGCAGCACCGACGACGAGGGACGTCCTTCGCTACTCCACGGTTCCGGGAGCGGTCAGCTACGCCGGCAATGGTCGCGACACCGCGGACAGGCGGCGAGGAGGAGGAAGTGGAGGAGAGGAAGAAGCCGAAGATGGATACTACGCTCTCGTTGGACGCCTTCCAGAGCAAGTATACGTCAGAGGACAACGCGTCGTTCAATACCCTTTTGGATAAGCAAAACGAGAAGCGGCGGAATGCGTATTCATTCCTGTGGAACGGGAATCATATGGTGGGATTTAGGACAAAGGCGCATCAGAAGCGGCTGAAGGCGCAGGAGGAGGAGAGAGAAAGGACTGGCGAGCAGAAACTTATCGTTGCGCCAGATGAGCGCCCGGCGGTCCCGAATACGTGGAAGGCGGAACCGCGGAATGGGCTCATGTTCACTCCGGACCAGTCCCCTCCCCCGCCGGAGAAGAGTGAGCGCGAGAGGGAGCTCCCACCAAAATCAGTGGTGTATGCGAACACACGGATGCCGCCGCCCGGCGCAGCGCCCCAGGAACGTGCATCATCTCCAACGCCATCCGCAATCTCAGATGCGATCGCGGGAAGACCCCGTCCTCTGGAATCGGAAGCGGACTTTGGTTTCCGGAGTGTAGAGACACCCCGTGTAAACGGCTACAGCTTTGTCGACTCAGCGCCATCACCCTCACCAGCCTCCCTGGGCGCGCCACCTCTCACGTGGGGTGCCGTCGCCGCCATCTCCGACACCACGCCCGCACCCTCTCCATTCAAGATCGCCGCCACCCCGAAACGGGAACTACTCCACCACCGCATGGTCGAAAAGGTCGCCAAGGGCAAGCGCGTCGCGAATCCATCCACAACCATTCCCGCAGCGTCGCCGAGGATGACGCCGCTGGGCGGTGCGGGCAGGGGGAGAGAGATCCCGAAATTCGGCAGTAGTCCTGCTATGACGCCTGCGGGACAGAGGCTGTGGGGGAATCTTACGGAGCGGAAGGGAACGGGGTTGAGGGAGAGTATTCTGGGGAAGGGCGGGAGAGCGGCTGCGACGCCGGCGATGGGCGGGAGTGCAAAGCCATTCCGGTGGGATCCCACGCCTAGAGCTTCGAAGTAGCGTTGTCGTTTGCGTGTGATTTGGTATATGCGATGTGGTTTTTGGATGGCGTTAATTTGTATTTTACTGGAGATGGCATTACGGTACTTGCCTCGTTTGCGGCGGATAAGGCTGTAGATAATTTGATAGAGACCTTCAAGGGTGGTCACTAGAAGTTTAACTAGAGCGGTAGACTAGGTATATAGCGGCGAATTCCGCTGCAGGGTGTCCAACATGACGCACGACCTTAACTTCACCTCTTTTCCCCCACGCCTCCCACCACGCCTCCCACCACGCCTCCCACCACGCCTCCGTGCACTACAACCACTATACATCGCAATGAACATCCCCGGCGAACGCTTCTCAATCGAGGACCTCCTCGCCTCCGACGACGAGGACCACGACCTCCCGCCCGCGCCACCACTAGAAAACTTCATCAAAGACATTATCGAGCAGCCGACGACCAGCGCACCCACGGCACCCGTCGCGCCCTCTCTCTCCAACAAGACCGGGTTCCCGGAGCACAGAAAGCGGATCCCAAAGAACGCATCGCGGTTCCGGCAGCAGCGCGAGCAAACCCAGCAGCCACAGCAGCCGCAGCAGAAAACGGAGAGGCAGCAGATCAGTGATGATAATGAGGCGCGGCTGGCTCGGATGAAGCCTGAGGAGATCGAGGAGGAGCGTAGGGAGTTGCTGGAGAAATATAGTCCGGGCCTGATAGAGACGCTGTTGAAGAGGGCTAGGGTGGAGGATCCGGGGTTTGAAATCAAACGGAAGGGGAGGACAGAGGTTACTAGGGACGTAGTGAAGGAGGAGGAGGAGAATGTGGTAGAGGAGGAGACGCTGGGGAAAGAGGAAGAGCCACGGAAGGTGGTGGGTATCCGTCCAGATCCCATACCGAAGCCGTACAAGCGACCTACAGTCACCGAGGATGACGCCAACGAGACCTACCGCGACCCAACGTACGATCCCGACGACGCTGCACCTCCCGTCTACGACCCAGCTCTCTTCCCCCCAAAGGGGTCTTACCACTTCCCTCGCGCGCCCCAGGCCGACACAGAAACGTTGGACCCAACCTCCCCCGACTTCCTGCAATCCCTCCACACCAAATACTTCCCGGACCTCCCCTCAGATCCCAGTAAGCTCGCATGGATGGCGCCTCCCTCGGAGAACGAGGATCTCACCTACCACCCATCGCAGAACGAGCTCGTGCCCTCGGCCCTCCGGTTCGATTTCAAAGGCGAGCTGTTGCCACCACGGAAGGCGCGGGAGCTACCTGGACACCTCGGACTGCACCACCACGCGGACGCACCGAATGCTGCGGGCTACACCATTCCCGAGCTTGCGAGGCTGGCTAGGAGTACCTTCCCGACGCAGCGCTGTGTCGCGATGCAGACCCTCGGAAGAGTCATGTTTAAACTTGGCACTGGCGTGTACAAGAACTCGGAGATCGAGAATGGTCTCTGGAGGTGTATTGAGGAGGGTAGGGTGCTGGCGGGACTGGAGGAGGCGGTGAATATGAAGGGGGGCCATTTGAGTGTCAAGGCGCATGCGACAGATGCGTTGTGGCTTTGGCAGAAAGGAGGGGGAAAGAGGATGAAGGCCGAGTAGTGGGGAGATGCTTGGGGGGTTTCTGTTTGATCATCAAGTGCATGTGACTCGTTTAGATCATAGCAATGTACACAGATGCTCGAGGTTTAAGCTCATACGAAACAATGACACTCTAAGCCGAGTGATGAATCGATGTTGCCGCATCAGTTGCTACTTAGTAGATAACGAAGAATTCTCCAAATTTTCCGTGATTCCAAGTCCCCAAAGAAGCTGTAGAATCACTTGGAATGACCCTGCACGACGTCTGATCCCACATCCCATCACGCATACGACGATAACCCAATGCTTTTCATACTGTACAACACTAGTACCAACTACACCAAGTATCCTACACCGCCCGGGCACGCCAACACAAATGTCTGATTGAAGGGCATCCCTTTACTCCACCCGAATCCACCCCTTCCAAGCGTTCATCTTAGTGCCTAACCAGCTCCTTTCAGGAGCTGCATCGAGCTCCCGCATGAGCTTGTCGTAGTAGTCCGGATTCCCCTTCGGCTTCAGCATATTCTCAGCGAGCGGGTACTATATTTCCATGTTGTATCATCAGCGCAATCCCACTCCCCCCTCCCCCCTCCCCCCTCCCCCTGTGTTTTCGCATCAACTCACCTGCTTCATAAACCGATCCTCGAGCAATCCCGCAAGGGCGTTTATCTCGCGCTTTACGGTGACGGCATCGAACTTCTCCGCTTGCGGGTGCGGAGTTGACGGCGCAGTGACCGCATTGGTATTCTGCGACGGCAGGGTGGAGTCCGGGTCCGCGTGCGTGCCGAAGTAGTGCGTGACGCGGGCGCGCAGCGCTGTTGAGAAGTTCAGGCTGGGACGCAATGGGTCGATCGGCCACCGCGCGATGATCGCACAGTATTGCTTGTAGAGGAGGGGTTGGAGGGACATTGTGAGTGGGTGTTGGGTGCGGGGAGAGGGAGGGAGGTGGTGGTGATGAAGGTGGGACTGGGGACGGTGGGGTGGTGGGGGAATGCAATGGTGAGGTCATCCTGGGAAAGTTTGGCGAGCGGTTCGCTACCATTCATTTGCCCTACTGGCTGGATCACTCGGAGTTGGGTACTGGTTGTACTACACCAAAATTCATCAGATGGCGCTGCAGATTCAATCGCAACTACGCAACCTATTGGCTGTACGGCATTTGTTCCCTGGAAAAAATAATGTTGTGATATTTAAGGGATGAAGAACTCGGTAGTCCTGCAACTTCGGTATCATTTAGATAAGGCCCAGGTACTTGTCACTTTTCGCTGATCGACAGCTGGACAATGGTTCGCGTGATGGGCGGAGGGGAGGGATCACCATAAAGCGATTGTGTCAGTTGAGTTGAGTAGAGAGAATTGAACGAGCAGAAACAAAGTACATACAACCGAACCCATCCCACCCACAATTGCAAATTGCAATGTCCGCAAGTACATACGCAACAAAACGAACCAGATCCCAGAGAGTACCGTAGATATGCCCAAGTGAAAAGCTCGCAAGAAAAAAAGGTATAGACAACAGAACAGTGAAACCAAACTCCCCCACAAATACCGAAACAAGCCCATCCATCCATCACATCCTCACAATCCCCGCCGCTCCACTACGGAAGCTGAAGATCCAACACAGCCTATGTCCCTCCGCCTTAATAGTCGCCAACAGCTCCTGAATCTCATGAACATACTTCTTCTCCTGCACAGGGACGCTCTGGACGAGCTTCTTCCAGCCCTCGCCATCATCCGGGCCCGCGAGCCTCAAAATCTCCTCCAGCATCTCTGACCTAACGTCGACGGCAGCGATGGGACACTTGAGGTACACGGCGGAGGTCTCCGCGGCAGTGCGAAGCGCCGCATCAATGATCGATTTGCGGTTGATTTTGCGCTGTGTCATGTCGTTGACGGTGCGATTCGCCTTGCGGCCCTTGCGGTCGGAGGCGAGAATGCGGACGTCGACGTCGACGTGCGTTTCTGCGCCGCCCTGGGTGCCGGGGACGGCAAGGTCCGACGAGAAGTGGCTTGACAGGTGGCGGGAGAGACGTGCGGGGCCGCCGTGGAGGCTGCGCCGCTCCTGTTCCGCAAGCTCGGTTTTGAGCCAGGAGATGAGCTCCGAGTTGCGGAGTTCCACGTCTTGCTTCGTGTGCAGGTTTTTCACCTTGAGTGAGCGCTCGCCCGACACGAGGCCTTGCTTCACAGTGACAATCCAGCTGGCCCCGTCGTGCTTGTATTGGTGCACTAGACTGTCCATTCCCGTGATGTTTTTGCCGAGCTCGGCGCGGATGCCGTTGGCCCACAGTTCTTGCAGGAGCGAGATGCCGAAGCTGCGGAGCGCGGTGCTGTCGAATGCGGATACGATCACGTCGCAGCGACGGGTGGCCCATGCACCGGTGAGATGGTGCTCGTCTTCGGCGCCATGCTTGGTTGTGGTCTTGGTTATGCGCTTGTTGTAGGTGCTCATCGAATCTGCGAGTTGCTCCCAGCCTAGGTTTACGCCGACCACGTGGGTTTCCTGAGCATGGTCGTGGACTTTGGACCGGTGCTCTTGGATGAGATTGTCGTACCTTCACCTCGATTAGCAGTGTCCCATCGCACAAACAACCGTAGCAGTACGAACCTTCCACCAGCTGCGAAAACCTCCCTCTTCTTGCTGTCGTAGATGCACTGGAAGACAAGTCCGCCCTTATAGAACTTGTCGTTATATGTGCCGAGCGGGCTGACATAGACCTTTCGGTGGACAGCAAACAGCTTGAGGTATGCAATGACTGATTTCAGATGCTCAAACACCGGCTTAAGTTTCTCGACATTTTTGAAGCCATGGAATATCTCATGGAGACGTTCAAACGCCTTCTCCGGATCATCTCTCCAGTCGAACTTCGCCAAATCATCGAGGGACGTAGGCAGGATCCCCAGCTTCGAAGTAGCCAGCTCATTGCGGATCTTCGACCAGTTCCACTGTCCATGGCCCAATTTACTCACAATGTCCTTTGCAGAGGCTCTCACCGGCGCAGGAATCCGGCAGAAGTCCATTACTGCATCGAGTAGGTTCGAATGGTTGAGGTGGTAGGCCATCTGCACGCCCTTCAAGCTCGGGAATGCATCGATCACCTCGTCGATCACTTTGATGACCTCGGCCTCCTTGAGCGTAAGATCCTGCGAGTCATTGGAAATGATGTCGAAATCCACCTCGACGTGGCTTCGTGGTTGGCCGCCGCTAGTATTCTCCCTGTAGACCGTGCCGAAGGTGAAAGTCTTGGGCGCGGGCGATGTCGACCGGGCAAGGAGCCGGGCGTGCGGAAGCGTCAGATCATGCGGTAGCTGTATAAGATTTCCATTGTGGTCCATGAGTTGGACAACACCTTTGCCTCCTGTAACACCACCGGGGTAGTATTTACTCCTGGGCATCAGTAGGGGCCGTGTAGTCTCGACGGCGCCATGGCTTCGGAAGATGTCGGTCAGACGCTCCTTCACAAGGCTGTGCATCAGGAGGTCCTGTGCGGAGTGCTCCTTCTCCCCGATGTCGTAGGTGTGGTTCTTATATTCCTTTGTATTCTGCGAGAACAACGCCTGCATAACCTGCTGATGATAGGGAGTAGTGGGGTCGGAGAGACTCTGAAGTGCGTGTTTGATCGTTTTATCCTCAATCATGAAGGGGAGCTTCCCAGAATTCAGAAGTTCAACGCTGGTTGGTCGTTCACTCGGAGCATGGCTCAACAGCGTCTTGATGATGTTTCCCTGAACAGTCCTCTTCTCGGTCCAGAAGTCCAACGGGAATGCAACATCTGGTTCGCGAAGTTTGCTCAAGACTTCAGCTCTCTCCATGCCAGAACCTAGAGGGTAAACCATCTCGAAGAAGATGACACCCAGAGAGTACATCTGTATCCGTCAGCACGACAATGCACATAAGCCAGTGAAGAGGTGACTTACGTCGACTTTCTCATCGTAATTGCCCAGACTCTTCCCTATGAGCTCCGGCGCAACATACAGTGCAGTGCCGACGTTTGTCGTGAGGTCGCCTTCTCCATCCGGTTCGCCATTACTAGGCTTTTCCATCTCGCTCTTGACGACTAGAGCCGCCAAACCGAAATCTCCGATCTGGGGATCCCCGGAAAGATCGATGAAGATATTCTCAGGCTTCAGGTCTCGATGAATTATACCGAGACCGTGGATGTGAGAGAGACCCTCAAGGATCTGCCGGAAAAGCTTCCAGCCTTCTTCGAAGCCGAGGCCTTGGCGGATACGATCCCGCAGTGTCTAGAATTGTCAGCAATACAATCAGTTATATCTGCTTAAAAGTCGACATACCAAACGCTCGGCGAGTGACATCTGGATGTACAGCGTGACTTTCCCCCTTTTCTTCTCATTGCTTGTAGTCCTTTTCAGCGCATTGCCTTTAGCACTCGTCTTGGAAGCCGTTGAGTCTTCATCGTCGGAGTCACTCTCATCTTCTTCCTCGGTATCCTCATCCTCATCCGATTCACCGCTATCATAAACGTATCCAGCACTGTTGGAAATAAAGTCCAAACCGCCAGTAGTACTATGTGCGAATTCGACCCCAGAAATAGACTCCTCCTCGTCATCGGAGCTGATAGTATCGTCCTCGTCGTCCTCATCGTCCTCGGCGATCGCCGAGCCACCCACATGCGAAGAGTCCAAATCTTCCAACCACGCCGTAAAGTAGCGTACGACATATCTGTGGTTCAACCGACTCAGCAGCACGACTTCCGACAAGATCTCGGTGAGTTTCGCTCCCGAAGTTTGCTGGATCTGCTTTATGGCATACTCGCGGCCATCAAGCCTGTTTCTAGCCTTGACGACCTGTCCGTAGCCACCTTTCCCGAGCCGGCCCAGCTCCACAAAGTCGCTGGCGTAGCGGCTCATTCCGGGACCGCCGGCCATCGATCCGTGTCTGCCACGGCTGTGGTTGCGTACGTGGTGGTTATTCGACATTCCCCACGAGATCCCCGAGTTGCTCAGAGGAGAAGCGCGTGATTCTGGCTGCGTGATTGGGTCATCGTTTCGGAGGAATTCGGACGGAAGCAACTCAAACGCGGTTGGCCGCTTCTTGATATCCGTGCGGAAGATACTCTCGAGGAAGTCGAAGAGAGATTCAGATAGTGTGATCGAGTCGATCAGCTTCTGCGGAGAATCGTAGTTCTCCACTACATTGAGACCGAATATCATCTGCAAAAATACAACCCCAAGGTTCCAGATATCCGCCTTTCGTGTGGCTTTGTGATTCGGCGCAGTGCCATATGGAGACATCTCGGGAGGGGACCAGTGCCCAAGCTTCACCACGGTGCGCGAAAGAAAGGTATCTCGAATGGCGATTGCGTAACTGATATCGGCGAGCTTGGGTGCAGCATGCGGTCCTGATCTTCCGCGGAAGAGAAGAATATTGCCGGCATGGATATCTCCATGGATAGCGCCATTGCGATGCACATAATCCAGACCCTCCAGAAGAGAAATCATCCAAGAGCGAGCAACATCGGCAGTCACACAGTCCACAATCTCCAACAAGTCGCGTAAAGATCCCTTGTTCGAGTATTCGGTGAGGATTGAAACCCTCCACCCGGTGGAGCCGGACCTGGTGATCTTGGATTCATAAAGCGCAACAACATTTGGATGCCTCAGATTTCTCAGAGAGTCGATCTCCCGTTCGAGATTCTGGATCTTGTGCTTGCCCTCGGAGGAATCACCGAAACTATCTGGTAGCTCTACTTGCTTCAGGATGAGTGGGAGATTCTTGCTCTCGTGTGCCGGGAAAGCGGGGCGCACGGTGAAGACCGTCATCAGCGGACCCTGGGCAATCTTCACCATTCCGCACACCTTGCGGAAGACAAATGGTAAATCCCCATCGTTCAGATGGATCTTGACGGTTCTATCAAAGAGGATACAATCCTCGGCGTCGGCGGCCGCATTTCCTTCCTCCTCCTCAGCCAGCAAGGTGGACTTCCGACGCCTTTGGTGAGTTTCTTTAGCATTTTCCCGCTGGCGTCGCAGCTCATCCTCGATCTCTTTCTCCAGCTTCAACTGCTCGGCCTTCGCCTCGTCTTCGCGCCTCTTGCGCTCTTTCTCCTCCTGCTGCTCCGCCAGCTTCTGTTGCGAGATGACTTTCAGCGCCCGCTCCTGGTCTAGCGACGGCTTTTCCTGATCAACTAGCCGGTTCTGCACAATATTTTCGAGCGCATCTTGCAGGGCGACGGCAATCTCGTAGATCATTTCTTGGCCGAGCAGTTTTCCCGGCATCTGCCTGATGATCCCGCGCAATCGCTCGAGATGGTGTGGTCGGATCTGGTTCGAAGCGGTCAGGGACAAATCCGGAGCTGGTTCGCAACGTCAGCCAAACAATTCCGCAGCAGCAGCACCACCAGCCAATCCGACTGACCCGTCTTTGGATATGTCGCCGACATCAACACCGAAAGCACACAGAAATATTCGTCGTCCGAGGGCGCCTTGAGACGCAGTTTGAACTCATGTTCGGATTTCTACAAGTGCGCCGAGAGATATTAACACATGCCCGGCGAGTTATATCCACGCAGGGATATCCATCAATAGAGGTAGAGCTGCGGACTCACATTCCACGCACCAGGTCTCTCAATGCGCTTGTAGTCTTCCATGAACACCGACTGCAAGACCTCAATCTCATCTTTCTGGATCTGCTGGTATTCCAGCACGGCTTTCCCGGGCGTTACGGCAGGTAGCGGCGCGGCCACCGGCTTGATGGGTGATTTAGCATTGCTGGGCTTCTTGGAGGGAGTCCGATTTGTATGCGTAGGCATGCTGTGATGGTAGGAGCGTTGGTCGCTATGGAAGAGGAGGAGAGTGGGTAGATAGGTAGTGTTGTCGGTCTTCACGAAGAATGCGGCAGTGGCGTCGGTCTCTACGGAGAAAGAGATGGAACGAGATGGCAAAGATAATTCTCTTCTGCTATCTGATACGCTTTCGCGGTCCTTGCCTTTAGTGTGTCGCGATACGTGGTACGAGGTAGGTACGAGCGTGGTCCTGATACGTGCGAGGGTTCAAGGGTTCAAAGTGTCGTGCGGATTTCTTGATAGCTATGATGACAGAGAAGGTGAATCTTTGGTAGGCGCAATAGCAGCATCTCAAGCCGCAGCTTCAGAAGCGGCGGACGGACATGTGGACTGGAGATTGGTTCGGGTGTTTTTGGTGTTGAGGAGGAGGAGGCGATATGACTCCTCTGTGGTTGGTGGTGAAGATAGGGTGGGTTATCAAGTGATGGGGGGTGGTTAGGGATTGGCCGTTTGGCTTTTGGGCGCTGGGCCGTTGGGCGTTGGGCTGGGGGTGGCACGCCTAGCGGGATACGAGCATCGAGGGGCATCTCACGTGCTTTTGTGCCACGGTTGGTGGGAGGGCAGTCTTCAGGCTGCATCTGGGCCGGATCTAGTCGTGAAGAAGCTTAGTTTGCGCCGAACAAGCAAAATATTACGCGCGGGCTCACGCTGCCCGCTGTGCTGCAGAATGCGGTTGCCGCCAAGACCCGGTCGTGTTGACAAGGTAAACAACAGCCATCCAGTCTTGAACATTGTTGTGTGTCCGGCTGTACCATCAGGCGTGAATCAACTTCGTTGTCGCGTCGCCACAACTCCAGCAAATCCAGAGAACCATACCGATCCTACCACCGTCGAACAGTCCCGCTGAGAACAAAGACACCACCGAGCAACAGACGGAACGGATCTCTACTTCTGATACCCCGTGTCTTTTTGTCCCCCGAAACGACAATCGCCATGCTCAACTGGCTCACCGGAGGAGTCGTTGGAGCACCCGGGGGATATGCAGCTGCTACGGGAAACCAGAATCAGGCGCTGGAGCACGAACGGCCACAGACACCGCCGCCTGTGGCGTTCGAAGGTAATCCGCGTCCTACGCCCCCTTACGACTCGACTGACGTCCTTGCAGAATATGACGACCCTATGCAACCCCCCCAGACTCCCGCTGCTTTGTTCGCCGTCAAGGCCTTCCGAACAGCAATCTTTGGCACGCCGGCTCCAAAGCCCCCCCGGTTCGTACGAGCACCCCAGCCCACGGAGCCAGAACAGCCACACTTCACTCCGGTAGAGGATAACCCCACAACCGACAACAATCTGCCCGTTCCTGAGCCGACGAAAGCGGACAGGAAGGTGGAAGATAAGCCTTTTCTACCGCGGAGACGAGAGTCTAAGAGACCGGACAAACGCTCGGAAGAGAAGGAGGAACCCAGACCAACGCGGAGGCAAAAGCTTACATTCCAGGACGATGCTGAGACAATATTCGATGCTCCCGCATCAGGCCCGTTCAAGGTGGCAGCTCATAATGTCAACATATTCGACTCTGATTCTTCGAAACCCGCTGAGCTCCCCACATATCTGGCACAGGGGACCCCCGCACGTTCTGCCTCGCCCACCAAAGGCATCCTGATGACTCCCGGGATTGCCGTCCGCCAGCGGAAGGCCGTGACCTTCGATCCCGCGACAAAAGCTGAGGATGTCAAGTCCAAGAACACTCGTGTCAGATCCGGTCTTCCGCTTGACTTTCCCGGAAAGTTCCCGAGTCCCTGGACCCCTAAGAGTGGTGCGCCTCGTCACTCCGGTTCTCTGGAGGAAACGTCGCTTCCGATAGGATCGGTGCCCAAGAAACGCGGGGTCCAGTTCGAAGTCACCGAGTCCTCGCGGATCGAAGACCTCCTCAACGAATCCGACGACGACCACGAGATGGCGATTCTGCACGACCGCGATCTCACCACGGACATGAGTGCGCCCAAGTCCGCATCCGGCCAGTACTGGAAGGAGCATGCCGAGCACCTCGAAGGGATGGCGTTGACAAAGGTCGACAAGCTCCGAGAGCGTTGTGGCCTTGCGATCGACTATGCCAAACGCAAGGACGAGTACTGCGTTAACCTCGGCGAGAAGCTGCGCGAATATGTCGACAAAAATAAACTCTTGAAGGCCGAAGTCAAGCGTCTCCAGGGGGTTTCGCAGTTCTCTTCCACACCCGAGGGCGCTGCACTGGCCGATGCCATGCACCTGCTCGCCGAAAAAGAGGCCGTCATCTCGGCTCGCGAATCCGATCTGGCGCGGATGCAGACACTCAACGAGCAGTACGAAGCTAGACTGAAGACATTTGAGGATCTGCTCGACAATCGCGAAGACAAGATTACAGAGCTATCAATGACTTTGCTTTCTGGCGAGAGCGCCTTCGACGAGGAAGACTCGGAGCAGGTCAAGGAATTGAAGCAGAAGCTCCGCAAGGCCAGATTCGAAGTCAAGGAACTCGGACCTCTCCGGATCGAGTGCAGGAACTTCAAGTCGCGCATCTCGATCCTCGAGAGAGAGAAGGAGAACCTCGAGGCACAGCTGGAGAGAATGAAGTCCATCGGTGACGAGTCGGTTGCCAACCGCTCTACGGCCGCTCGGACCAGCAATGAGGCACGCATGCGGGCTCGCATCGACGAGCTCGAGAAGGATAAGCGCGACATCAAGGCCGAGATGAGGAGCAAGGCTGCCGAACAGTCTAAGGAGCGTCGCGAGGCCGAGAAGGCTCTGCGTGCGGAAATCACCGAACTCAGGTCCAAAGTGATGAGCGAGGAACTGGACAAGAAGGAGCTCGTCCACGAAGCCGAGCGGCTACGCGACATGGTCAGTTCGCTGGAACGGGAGCTGGTCAAGGCAAAAGCCCGCAAGGCATCCGACGCCCAGTTCAGCGTCACCGGCTCCGACCACGACGAGTGGCAGAAGAAGCACCGCGCCACGACCCAGGAGCTCCGACAGGCAAAGGAGGAGATCGCCACGTTGCTCCAGCAGCTCGACCACCCTTCCAAGAAGGAAGACGAAGCGCCCCTACGTCTCCGCCGCCCCTCCGCCCAGCTCCGCTCCGAAGCCAAGGAGCACCAGCAGAAGTCTACGACACCGCCACAGAAGCACGGCGAGATGGTCACCAGCAAAGAAGCCTCCCCCAGCGACGACTCCGCCGTCGACCGCAGCTACGATCGCAAGCCGTCGACGGCCAGCCACGCATCGCCGCGCACTCACGCCTCGCCGCGCAAGTCCGCGCCGCCACTCTTCGACCTCGACGCGATCATCTCCCGCTCCCACGAGCCCACTGCCGCCGCCGACTCAGCGCTGTTCCCGACGACGCCCAGCAAGCCCGCCGACTCGCGCCCGGCCGACTTCGCCGACAACTTCGCGAGCCAGCGACGACAGCACGCCAGTCCCCGCCCCAGCGTTGTCAACTTCGAAATGACCCCGCCCACTGCTAGGAGACGCGCCTTCGCCGTCACTAAGAAGTCGGCTAAGACGGAGGGAATGGACCCTGCCCGTCGTGCGGCTGCTGAGCGAAGGATTGCGGAGAGGAAGGCCAAGAGGGTCGCGGAACGGATGGGTGCTAAGGCGTAGTTTTTTTTAATTTTTTTTTCGCTGTAGGATATTGACTGGCTTTGGCATTCGTTTCTGTCCTACTCGTTTTGTTTTGTTTTGTGCTCTGTTCGGGGCGTAACATTGTCTGCTTTACACATACCGTTTGTTTTTTCTTCTTTTTCTTTCTTGTTTTTTTACTTGTAAATTTTGGGAGCATTTCGGCGCGTGGGGTGGGTTTCTTTTGGTATGCTCTTTTTCTCTTCTTTTTCTTTTGGTTCACTCCACTTAAGTTTCGCCCCATTCGTTTATACTATATATCGCAGCGGCATCGGCCAGCGGCAGCGGAAAGCAGATTGCTGTGGGGGTTGATATAATTACTTCCCCCATTTACTATTTTCGTTCGTTCACTGTGCATTGTACCATTGAGTTGATTGATTGAGTTGAGTGATGTATGTCCTCTATCGTAGGAAGTATCCGAAGAATCAACAGCAGAGCAGAGCCATGTGATATCACTCATCCCCCCCTCTTATCCCCAATCCCCCCCCCCCTCCTTATCCCCCATATCCCCATTTCCCCATAATCCCTCGTCCCCCTTCAGTCATCCCCATCCCCCACCCCCAGTTCCTTTTTAACAACCCCGACCGCCACCCCCCTGGCCTCAGCGACCAAGCTTAGAAGCCCCATAGCAACATCCTTCACCTCGTTATACTCGTGCAGCAGGTGGATGTGCCGCTTCACCGTGTCCTCGCCGTTGAGGGCGGGGTTACGGAGTTGCGCGCGCGAGGTGGTCAGGGTAGTCTGGAGGGTGGCGAGGGTCGTGGTGAGGTGGGAGTTTTGGGAGGTTAGTGCTGCCTACGGGGGGGTTAATGGATGGGGACTGGGGGGGTATTGAGGGGGAGGGGGATTGAGAAGGGGGGGGGGGGATAACGAAGGGGGTGGGGAAGAGGTACCAGTTTTTTGTCGCGTGGTGTTAACGGTGCTGGTGGGGGTGGTGCTGCTTCTGCTGGTGGTGGGGAGTGGGAGCGGGTGGGGGAGGCCGGGGATGGGGATTTGGCGGGGAGCGAGGGGGTGGACATTGGCGTTGTTGTGATGGTAGTGGTTTTGGTGGTGGTTGTGGTGGTTGTGGTGGTTGTGGTTGTGGTTGTGGTTGTGGTTGTTGTTGTCTGGTGGTGGTTGTGTTATGGTGCTGCTGCGATTCAAGTGCAGGTTGACATCATGTCACAGTCCCCAGTTCCGAGCTGGAGCTCTCGCTTATATAGACTATCCGGTCGATCCCCTAGGTGCCTACATGTGCATATCAGATGCATACATGTGCATACACCATACACCACACGTATCCCTTGACCTCTCGAGCATCTCAAGACTCAAACATTGAACTGCTTCATTCAAAAATTACATCCATATCTCTATATCTTCCTCTCGTCTTCACAGCATCTAACTAAGTACATGAGTAACTACAGCAACCAAAAGCCCGTTAGAAAAACAAAACAGCCCATCAAAAACAAATCCCAAACTCCAGGTATAGGTATATCGATCCCGCGTTGTCATCCTCCCGTCGTTCTCCCGTCGTCTATCCATTATTTTATTTTTTTACACTCCCCCCATTCCCTTCCACATTCCCTTCCTTCTATTAACACCCCCCCCCCCCCACTATGCCGTCTTCTCAAGACTCTGCATCTTGACGAGCTCGTAGTACTTCTTCTTGAGCGCGAGCAGTTCAAAGTGCGTACCGCTCTCGACCACGCGTCCACCGTCGAACACATAGATGACGTCCGCCTTCTGGATCGTCGACAGCCTATTCGTATTCCGTTAGCATTCATAGAAATCAAAACACCAAAAAGGTATGGAAAGTAAGTGAGTAAGTAAGTACCTATGAGCCACCGCGACCGTGGTCCGTCCCTTCGCCGCAGCATCCAGAGCCGCCTGGACAACCTTCTCGCTCTCCGAATCAAGCGCGGAGGTAGCCTCATCGAGGAGGAGGACCTTGGGGTTCCTGATGAGCGCGCGGGCGATCGCGATACGCTGTTTCTGACCGCCGGAGAGCAGGGCGCCCTTGGAGCCACAGAGGGTATTGAAGCCCTCGGGGAGGGACATGATGAAGTCGTAGATATTGGCGTCTTTGCAGGCCTTCTCGACCTCGGCGTCCGAGACGTTCTTGCGGTCGCCGCCGAGGAGGATGTTTTCCTTGATGGTGCCCTGGTACAGCGTGGGTTCCTGCGAGACGAGCGCGATGTGGCTGCGGTACTCGTTGAGCCGGAGCGTCGAGATCTCCTTGCCGTCGACGAAGACGCCACCCGCGAGCGGGTTGTAGAAGCGCTCGATCAGTGAGATGGTCGTGGATTTGCCGCAGCCGGACGGCCCGACGAGCGCTACGTATTGCCCGGGCTTGACGGTCAGGTCGAGGCCGCGGAGAACGGGCTGCTCGGGACGCGTGGGGTAGCGGAAGTGCACGTCGCGGAACTCGATGGCGCCTTCCATCTCGGGCACGGCCTCTCCCTCGGAGCTCCACGAGTCGATCTCCGGCTTGCGGTCGAAGAGGATCTTGAGATTGTTGGCAGCCTGGCGGGACTTGGCAGCGTCCTGGGTGAAGGAGATGACGGTTCCAGCAGACTGCGCACCGAAGATGATGGCGGTGAAGACCAGGAAGAACTTCATCATGTCGTACTCGCCGGAGCGGATCAAGCTACCTCCGTACCAAAAGCCGAGGGCCATGCAGAGGAACATGAGAGACTGCGAGGCGGCATAGAGGCTGCTGCTCTTGAGGATGCTGATGAGACTAACTTTGGCCTGTTCCGTGAGTTGGCCGTGGTAGGTGTTCCAGACATCACGCTCGCGGGCCAAACTAGCCACAGTCCTGATGGCGGCGGTGGCCTCGCAGGCGTAACTGGCGGATTTCTCGTAGGCGGCTTTCGAGCGGCGCTGGAACTGGGCAAGCATCCAGAATCGGAGGAATCCACAAGCGAGCAGGATCGGAATGGTCGCCGTGCAAACCAAAGCCAGCTTCCATCCGATAGCGAGACCCACAACCATAGCCGAAACGAGAGTCGTGATGACCGCGAGGATTGTGCCGAGGGTGACACCAGACATGCCGGCAAGATGAGTAGCCTCTGTGCTCAGGAAACTAGTCAGAGCACCAGTGCTGTTCTCCTCCTTATCGAAGAAAGCAATGTCCTGTCGGAGCATGGTCCTGAACGCCTGGTCCCTGACTCGGTGCACCAACTTCTCGGCGCACAAAGCAAAGCAGTAGCCTTGGCCCATGTATGCAATCAACTGCACGAACGCAAGCATGAGGTACATTCCGGACCAGAAGTTTGCATCCTTGCGGACCTGATCGAACTCGGACGGGGGTCTGGACAGAGCCGTGATAGCCTTAGCGAAGATGACTGCCTGGGTCGGGTATCCTCCACCACAGATGACGGACATTCCGAGTCCGACAAGCATGTAGCCCTTCTCTGATTTGTTGAATCCAGCTGTCATCTTGACCAAAGTCCAGAACGGGTACTCGGTCTTGTCGTCCTGGGACCTGTTCTCAAGAGCCACGGACGACTTAGACTTGGTGGTTGTGGTGCGGTTGAGCTTGTCGTGGATGGCCTCATCGTCGGGATCGATTGGGACCATTCCGCGTCCGGAAGCACGGCTGCGAGTGACCTTGAGCTTGAGTTCCTCATCATCGTCGGTGGTTTCGGTGAGCGTGTTCTCGCTGGAGGCGGCGATGCGTTGGGCCTCGACCAGCTGGAAATATGCGCCCCTCTTCTCCAAAAGTTCGTCGTGCCTTCCCTGTTCGACGATACGACCTGCAGTCATGACGACGATGTTGTGTGCGGATTTGATGGTACTGAGACGGTGAGCGATCACGATGGTAGTTCTTCCCTGGGCGGCGGCATCAAGAGCAGCCTGGACAACACCCTCGGATCGGGTATCCAACGCGGAGGTGGCCTCGTCCAAGAGCAGGATCTTCGGGTCGCTAACAATCGCACGGGCAATGGCAATTCTCTGCTTCTGTCCACCGCTCATCAAGAATCCTCGCTCTCCAACGTTGGTCTCGTATCCCTCGGGAAGGGACCGAATGAAGCCGTCCGCGTTACTCATGATGCAAGCCTTGACCACGAGATCGCGTTTGGCCTCTTCGGATGCATTCTCGTGCTTGGTTCCGATCAGACCGTGGCAGACGTTTCCGTAGATGGTGGTTCCGAACAGAACGGGCTCCTGAGACACGAGCGAGATCTGCTCTCTCAACCAGCGCAGGTTCAAGGTGCTGACATCGTGGCCGTCAAGGAAGACCTGGCCAGCGACAGGAGTGTAGAAACGCTCGACCAATCCCACGATGGTCGATTTTCCGGATCCGGACGCTCCGACGAGTGCGGTAACCTTTCCAGCGGGGATCAAGAGGTTCATGTTGTTGATGACCTCGACAGAGGGTCGGCTAGGATAGATATGCTTGACGCCCCGGAGCTCGATGGTACCCTCGACATGCTCGAGCTTGTCTCCTTCCTCAGAATCGGGGTTCAGCGGGGAAACACGGTCAATGGTGTTGTAGATCTTGGCGGCGGCAGAGACGGCGGTGGTGAATGCTTGGATGTTAGGCGCAACATTGCCCAGGGAAAATGCACCGATCATGACAGCGAGCAGGACGGTTAAAATCGCACTAAGATTGGCGTCGCCACTGACCAAAAACCGAGAGCCTTGCCAGAATGCGAGGCCTAGTATCATTGGTTAGCAAAAATTCAAAAAAAAAGAAGCACTCGAGCGGACAGTCAAGACAGAGATCATACCATAGTTGAGGTAAACAACACACATCATTCCACCGATCATAGCGCCCATCAGCGCACGTTGCTTGAATCCCCAACCCTCGGCAACGGCCAGGTATCCGTCGTACTGCCTAGCGAGCTTATCCTGGGTATTGAAGGCCTGAGCGTTACGGATAGAGGATAGGACCTCCTCCGCAACCGTGCCTCCTTCAGCATACGAATTGAGCGAATTCTTCGAGAACTTGATCATGAATCCCGAAGCACCACCGGTGATCATTACAATAGCCACGACGGTGGACATAAGGATCAGAGTCAGTTTCCATGACTTGATGAAAGCGATGACGAAGGCAGCGACGAAAGTGGCCAGGGCGGTCAGGGTGAGTCCGATCTTCTCCGAGATTCCCTCCTGCACCACGTTGGTGTCCGCCGTGATGCGCGTGGTGATCTCGCCGGCTCCGAGCTTGTCGAAGAAGCCAATGTTTTGCCGCAGGATCGCCTTCAGGTACGACTCCCGCACCTTGGACGCGATGTGCTCGCCCGTGTAGATGAAGGAGACCGTGCAGATGTACACCATCACGAACTCGCCGATGCCCAAGTAAAGAAAGTACCTAAGAGAATCCAGTCAGTTTCCTGCGTTCAATCAAAGGGGGAGGCCACAGGGGGCCACGAAGACGCGTACAGGGTAAACCGATTGATCTCGCTCTGCATGAAGCCGCTCGTAATCTTTCCCAGGGCAAAGTCCTGAAACGTCTGTGCCAACTGTCCAAACAGAATAGTCATAGTAGGAAGGATGGCACCACCGATGACGGCGGTGACACATCCGATGGCAATAAATATCAGATCATTAGTGCTAGAAAACCTAAACAGACTCCAGTACGACAGGTCGACGACAGGGACGTCGATCTGTCTGCGGATGATTTCGCGCTCGTTTTCCGGCAGGTGCGAGAGCTCGTCTTCCTGCTGGCCCTCGGACTTCTTGACCTGGATGTGCGAGTCCAGCCGTTGCAAGGAGGAGTCCGCCGACGAGGACGACGACGACGCTGGCGCTATCGCTTGTTTCTCGTTGTCCTCGGCTTGTGGCCGTGCTGGTGCTGGTGTATCCACCGCTGGGCTTCCGCCCTTCTCTAGGTCCGCCATGGCTGGGCCTATCTAGGTGTGTGCCGAAAACGTATCTCGAACTGGTGTCCGATTCTTGAGTATTTTGTATTTGAGTGGGAGTTCCCTGCAAGAGAAAAAAAAACAAATACAAGACGTCAGCGAACTGCCATGATGAATTCCGGCTGTTGCAACCGGGAATTTTTTTGTGTAGATCCTCCACCCGTGTCTCGCCACTCAACATTCGGGGACCGTTGACTTTGACTTGACTGACCTGAGATGCAAACTGCCTGTGGTGGTGAACGTTGGGCGGTTTCTGGTGTGAGTGTGGGGTGGGATTTGCCTCCTGTGATACGGCGGGAGGGACGTAAAGGTTTATGTAGGCAGGGCAAAAACGGGCAAAGCTGAAGGCGCCGGAATTGCGGGGTCGTGTGTATGCGGTACGGGATCGAGAGGCGAATGTCCAAGAGGCGGAAGGATATCCAGCTACCTATATGTAGGACCGGTACGGACTAGCTCCCGAGTGGGACACGGCGGCACAGCTGCGGTAGACCAAGTACCGTATGTACCAGTAACTTCGGTAGTAGCAGATCTCCAGCGTCCGGACTCTGCAGAGAAGAAGTCAATTCACAGGCAGGAGCAGCAGTTAACTCCGGTAGAGCACGTATAGAAAGGGGAGAATCAATTCTACATTTCCAGGACAGGAAAGCGGAAGGGCCTGTCGTCTGCGTAACCAGAATAGAGTAGAGTATCTACCAGTGATGCTCTACTAGTCGGTTATTCTAGATTAGAGTAGAAAGTAGGCTCGCCTGCCCAGCACCCATGGCGGGACTTTTATTCGGCTTACACGCTACTGTGACACTGCGCAACTTGCATCTTTCCGTCCGTCAGCCACGTAACCGAGCTGGCGGACGGGGCTGCAAATGATTCTTCCAGAGCACGCAAACAAAGCCTCGTTGGGGCAATGGTCTGAGTGGGTGGATGAGTGAGTGGGTGTGGGGGGGTGTGCAGCATCGACGCGCAAGAAGAGCAGTCATATCTACCTGCACACCCTCAAAGGGGGTTTCGATGCCGGTCGACTCATGCCATGAGTCTTCCTGATTGCGAGCAGCAAACAGGTAGCAGGTACATACGGTAGATAATAATGATGGATCGGGTCCATCGCGGTGGATGCCCGCCTGGGTGGTTATCGGTTGCGCCGGTCGGCGTCGAATGCCCCCGAGTGCCACTGCCAAACCGCATACTGCTGAGTGATCCAGATCGGTCCGTGCAACCCGGGCCCCTGCCCTGGGAGTTAGGGTTCTTCTACGGAGATATCGGACATTCATCACGCCGCGTGAGTCATGGTGAGTTACCGGAGGACCGTAGAGGTCGCGGGATAGTATGTGTGTGTATGTTCATAGGTGAGAATCTATATACTACCTGTTTGCAGATGGTGTGTCCGTAGAATAGAGTAGAGCTCTGCTTTGCTTTGCTTTGGTGATTGATAATTCGTACATGGAGTTGCAGATTGGCCAGGAGCCAGGAAAGGAGATTCTCGTACGGTGGAGGGGGGGGGGGGGGGTGCGCGGCAGACTCTATCCCCCCTCCCGAATACGAGCGCCCGGAACGATTACGGCGACTGTGGGTCAGCGAGTGGAGAAAACAAGCTTTCATGATCTCACCACTCCACCTGGGTATCTCCATACCACGATAGGTGTGCACATACTCTACACACACTCTACCCGTGCCCATCGGAGTCCCTTACCGCCCACCCGCCCGCCCTCGTCCCACGAACCAAAAAGGCCGACCAGAGTGAGCAAAAAAGGATCATGACGGTTCGCGATATTCTAGACAGTCTGCAAGCGAAATAAATAGAAGATCCCTCTCGCTCCCATGAATCAGACCCGTTTCGCCGCGTTCCGAAACAGCCAGGATCGAAGCTGTCAAGTCAAGAGAAGCCAAGTCAGCTCTCGTCGACTCTCGTCGTCGCGTGCTCCAGATGTGCTCTAGATGTGGTGCGCCACGCGCTTGACTCTAGCTCGCGATCGGGAGCGAGAGCGAGAGCTCGCTGCTCGACAGATGAGACTCCAGTTAGCACCTGCACCTCATTAGCCGCCAATACATGTGCCAATACCGTATGTACCATGCACATCTTCGGATCTCGGGTCTCGGCTTCGGAGAATGTGCCACTATCATCCCCCCCCCTCAGACTCCCAGAGAGCGAGGGAGTGAGGGAACCACGCCGTAGTTTTCATGGCAAAGTGAGATTCGAGCGTGCGTGCACAGGGGAGTACGTTTCCGGGAGGGCGAGAGGGCGCGAGGGGTTAATACGAACGAACATCGGCTTACCGGCACCACCACCACCACCAACCCCCACGGTGAGTACTCTAGGTAGCCGGACGAACATCTCGCCGCACAGGCCAGAAAAAACCAGAATCCCCGTATGTATAGGGTACTCGTATGTACCATATCTACTCTACATACTACCTACTAGTAGTAAAGCATCTACGCCAGCCTTCCTCTCCTCTCCGAACTGGCGCATACGAGTCCGCACGGAACGGCATCTAGGAATCCCCCCCCTCCTCCCCATCGCGCAATCGCATTAAGCATAACATGAGTACATACCTTCCATCCGACTCCCGAGTTGCAGGGACTGCACGAAGTTCGAACAAGCTTTGCCTGCGTTGCCATCCGCGCGGGCAGCACTTTTAAGCACCGCCTTTTAGCCACCCGCCGAAACCGAGATATGCATCCGTGACCCTATCTCTATCTCCATCTCTATCTCGTGAAGTCAAAGCATCGAGTCCTCGCCTATCTTGCCTTCTCACGGCGGGGAAGGGGGGGAACGAAGAAGGAAAGGATTGGTGCTGAGGTGCATGGATGCCAGAGCTCGAGGGGGAGGGACGGAATGACTGATCCTCCGTCTCCGCCTCCGCCTCCGCCTCCGCCTTTGCATCCGCGCGCGCTCGCCGCCGCTCGGGCCATATGGTGGTGTCGAGTCGAGCTTTCGATTGAACGGCAAGAAGAAAATCATTTGTGGATATCGCATCCCATTCGTTCAGCGATGTGCAGTGATCATCTGTAGATTGGCTCGTAACGGCCTATCATAGTAGGTAGTTAAACGCGATCCCCGAATCGAACCTTGTATGTGTGTAGGTGGTCGCGTCGCTGTATGGATGGATGGCCCTCCATATGGTACATAACAGACCAGTCTAGAGTACAGTACTCTATATAACTACTACATTATGTAGGTTCCTAGTACTAGTAGATATCTCCAGCGTCGTCAGCTTTTGACTGGAGACTGGCTCCAGGGCCGGTGGAAGTTTATGTAGGTATACGAACAGCTCTGCGATCATATGTAAAGTACTCACAACTTCCTAGCGCTTCTGCCCAGTGCCCTGCCCTGCTCTAGTAGGTAAACATCACTTTCTTTGCTTTTCTCCCGCAAAGTTAAATCCAAACCCAAACCGCCCCGCCCCCGCCCCCCACTGCCCACTGCCCACCCGGGCCACCCACGCACGCCCCTTTTATTCCAATCGCACCCCTGACTCGGATTTCCGGATCTCAGACTCCCCCCCAGACTCCCACTAAAGGAATGTCTCAGGGATGCTCGGGTTCCGCCAAACTCCATGCTTCCGGACGGGTTCCAGGAACGTGGGTGGATGTTGCTAGTGGTAGTGGTTGGCCTAGCCCAGCTTATGTGTGACATGCAAGCGAGTAAACGAAGGCTGAAGCTTGAGGCCGCAACCACCACCACCACCACCATCGCCACGATGTAAACATCCGACGAATGGATTGATGGTTGAGGTTGGATGGGCGGGTGGGTTTGGATTTCGGGCATGTTACCGATAGAAGGTACTTTTCAGGCGTGTCGCACCCGGCACGAACCGTGGGGTCGTGTGGTCGTGTAGTCGGGTGGTGGGCTGTGAAGGCTGTGAAGGCTGAAGTGAAGGCCGAAGCCTGAGGACCAATGGACGGACGGGCGAGGTTGGATGGGATGGAAGAAAGGGTTGGAATTTTGGTCATGTTACCGATAGACGGTGCTTTGCAGGCGTGTGGCGCCCGGCGCGGGCCGCGAGGTCGTCTGGTCGTGTGGTGGGCCGCCGCCGCTGCCGCCTCCCGGCGTCACGGTGGGAGTCACCGAGTCCGTTACGGACTCACGGGTGCCTAGAGTACTCTATTGTGCCGTAGGCCCGTAGGTATAATAGCAGTCCGAGTACTACCCAACACTCCGCCGCCCGGCGAGCACTCAGCACTCTGACTCCGCACTCTGACATCTCACATGCCGGATCCATCATCCACGGGGTATATATGCCAACCATACGCAATCACGACCGTTTCGGGTAAGCAAGCCTCACCCCCGTAAAAAAAAAAGGCTGACGTGGAGGCTGATGAGGAGGCCGCAACCACCATGACAATGCGGGCACAAAACAACTGATGAATGGACGGGCGGTCGAGGATGGATGGGTTTAGGTATTTTACCTATGGTAGGTACTTTTTAGGCCTGTGGCATCCTGCGCGGGCCGCGAAGTCGTGTAGTCGTGTGGTCGGGTGGTGGGCTGCACTGGGCCGTACGGTATAATGTATTAGCCGCCGCCGCCATCATTGCTGTCACGGTGGGAGTCACCGAGCCCGTTGCGGACTCACGGGTGCCTAGATTAACTACGGGTACCGTATCTTACGGCACAATACCGTGCCGTAGGCCCGTAGGTATAATTGTAGTCCGAGTACAACCACCCGACAATTCGCCGGCCAGTGAGCACTCTGACTCCGCACTCTGACATGTCACATGACGGATCCACGGGCGTCCACGGGGTATGCCAACCATACGCGATCACGACCGTTTCGGGTAAGCAAGCAAGCACAACTCGTCACTTGCTTAACTACGTCCGGAGTCCGGACGCATCCTCGACAGGTGGCCGCGACACCACTACACCACTGTACGAGTGATCACAAGCGATCACTCACCTCGCACGGCGCCGAACCGAGACGAGCGGGCCGGACGGGCTGAACGGCGCCGGGAGGAGTGGGAGGTGTGAGGGGAGAGCAGTACTCTACTCTACTCTAACTCTACATACTCTACATAACTGCCATGATCCTTCGATAAGGCCGAGTACGATGACGATTAACCAAACCCGAAACCGAAAACCAAAAAAAGCAAAAAGCAAAACGAACTCCGAGCTGAACGACTCTAGAGCCGCAGGATCGATTGCGCGGAAGTCAAGGAACCCGCAATCCCGGCCGCGGTTTAACTGCACGAGTGATGACTCACAAGACAGACAGACAGACAGGCACCAACCGGGTCCGTCGTGCTTCCGGTTTCCGGCATCAGCATCAGCATCAGCATCGGCATGTTCACCGGACGAGATAGCATATTAGATATTGGATATTGGAGACCCATCCGCCCCATACGCCCCATACGCCCCACACGTCTGGACCGACGGACTCGGATTGACCCGATCTTGTTGGGGGTTGGGGGTTGACCTTGAATGTATGATACTAACCGGTAGGTATACCCACCTATGTCTATTTCTATGTCTATGTTCATTTCCATGTTTTGCTCCTTCGTCGTGATCCACTGATCAGCAACCATCTACCGGATTTCCCGTTTCAGCCCTCTGTCGCAGACTTCACCGTTCCTTGCGATCTCGATTGGCACCCAATGGGATCCCAATCACCTCCTCCGGCAGTTCGCGGAGGTACATAGGAGAGGATCGAGGACTGGTGAGATCAACATCGATTGTCCATGGGTCGCAGAGGTTCAATGGAAGAGTATCTACATACTCGAGAGGAGAACAGGGCCCTGATTCGCTATTGAAAAAGACAAGGGAGATAATTCGTCATTCGTGCGCGCCGACGTTTTACGCACGATACGCTCACAGTCCGGATTCACGTGCACAGAAAAAGGCCCGTGAAGGGAAATCTCTCCACAAACAGTTGATGAAAATGATGGCTTTTATCATTACCCAACCGGTGCCCTGGAAACAAGATATCAAAAGTCTATCCGCGACCGCTTGCCCCACCTCCCAGCTCGTAACAAACGCGCATTCCCCACCAGCACACAAACAGCGCTTAGTAGAAAGTCTCCACCATAGCGTCTCTAAGCGGTCCTTCGACGTTTCCTGCCCTCATTCCCTCGCCCAGCCTGAACACGTTCTCAATAACACTCAGTTCCGTCGCGGTGGTGTCCAGCCCAGTGACGGCCATCCAGTCGTTCACCACCATACCCGCGCCGACCACCGACGACCCACGGTTGATGGAGCCGGCCACCAGCGGCACCTGGAGCAGCGAGCTCAGCTCGTCCTGGTCCTGTATCGTCGTCTTGGGGTGCACGATTCCTCCCTGGTTGCTTAGCGAGCAGTACGAGCCCACCAGGACGTTCTCGGAAATCGTCTGGCGGAAAACCTCAACGCCGAGGATGTCGGCAATGATCTCCTCCGTCTCGCGCTCGATATCCGGGTGCACCAGCGCCACGTGGTCGTTGCAACAGATCACGTTGCCCAGCGCCGACAAACGCTCCTCTACACGCTGTATCTTAACCGAATCGGGGATCGTATTCCGGATGTGCTGCAGCTCTTGGTCGGTGGCGGAGGTAGGGAGGAGGAGACCACGACGGTTTCTGGCGATTGAAGTCAGTACTGGACCAGTATGTGACGCTCCCCCAATCACGCAGAGGTGCCTTACCCAGCTGACAAACGTCCCACGATTCTGGTGCCGGCAATGGTGGTGTGGCATATGGGGATGATGTCTGCTAATTCTGCCTCGAAGACGCTATTTTCACCTGCAATCAGCTAGATTCTCCACCGCCAATTTCTGTTGCAACTCACCTGTAGAAGTTCATGCTTCCTCCGGGAGCAACCAGAGCATACGAATTTGTAAGGTTCGCAAACACTCCGACCCTAACGCGCCGTTAGAACCATACTAAAAAATCCTCAAGTATCCAATCCGGCGGTTTTTGCGCTTATCCGCACGCGCAAAACGACGCTCCGGTGGCGAACGCGCTAGTAGCGGAGGATGCGACGGGGGACTGCGAAAACTAACTCATTGGAATTCTCGAACTGTGGTGAATTGTCAGCATGCGCTTAATCAAACGTCGCATCACCGTCTGCAGAAAGACCCGGGTCGGGGGAAACCGTACCTGCGCTCTAACGGCCATTGTTGCGGTGTTGTGTGGTTTTTGTGTGGATGAAAGAAGTATAAATTGACGATCGGCAAATTTCGATCCTATGAGGGAAGCCGGCGTTCGGTGTTGCCTTGGGGCGGTGTGAGGGAGAGGATTCGGGGAGGGATCCGGGTTGGTTGCTGGTATATGTAGGAATTCAATTCAAGGTACGTGACGAAAGATTGGGGCGGTGGTGATGTAAAGGAAGAAACGATGGCGATGTGGTGGGGCCGAAAGAGAAGGAGGGGTTAGTTGCAGATTGTTCGCCAAGCAGCAAACGAGCGAATCAGGTCATTGAATGATGGTCATTGTGGGTCACTCGTGCATGAGTCATCGACATCTACAAGCGATGAGCAGTGATGAGTGATAGAGTGCATAACCCCCACTATGTAGCGGATAGCCGCGCGTGGCTCAGCAGCGATTTGAATGAGAGTGCGAAACTCACCAAGAGATGTAGTTGGCCCGCATAGAAAGACCTGCAAACGGAAATCTAGGCGGATACTTTAAATCTTGTCTACCCCAGCTTTGCAACTTTGTACGACTTTTAGGTAGCCACTCACGCTTTCTGGGCCGTTATATAAGGCCCAACCTTGCATGAACCCTGGATTGCAATTGTGGGTCTGATTGGGCAATGGAATACCATGCTCCGCCGTTTAATACCCACTCTACTAGGTACTTCCCGCGGGTACCAACTCTGCGCCTATTCCCACCGACATGCACTTCAGATATGCTCGTAGGTTTTGTTGAGCCGGGATAGGGCACCAGAGCCCCCATCCAGACCCGCTGCAACTGCAGAACTGACGCGCGCTCCTGGGGACCTTTGCCGTGATCTCGGGGGTTTTGGTGGTTCGCTTCGTTGTCGGGCGGCAGGGCAGCCACCGGGGGTTAAGATGGCGGCAGCTAGGGTCACCCACGAGTGGTGAGGGGGCGGATCTCGCTGCTTGCTTGCGCTCTCCAAGCAGCCAGGTGCCTCTCACTATTACATATCCTGATCCGGTTCACGACTTCATGCGTCGAGTGATTTTGCGTGAAGTTGGTGGCACCTCACCGCCGTCGTAGAATCGTACGGTTTTGTGGTGCATGCAAATGTTGATCCTGGCCCATCGCGTAGCCAATAGCTATACGTACAGCTGGGAAAGAGGGGCCACGCACCACATTCGTCCGCAGGGACTGTGTGGGCGAGTCACATTCGTCCAGTTCCACTTTTAGGGTTCCATCAATATGTATATAGAAAGTGCTCAGGTTGCTGATTTTTACCGATAACCAAACACGGTTTCGAATACGAACATCACCACTACCCCACAATATCACCCGAAGAACACGCTTTTCGACCGACGAATATATCACTTCTTGGATCCACGCCTTTGAAAGGACCAAGAGCAGGAGGAACGAGCGATGGAGGGACGGCGGACAGCTCTTCGGTGATAGGTGAGAGAAAGAAGTTTCATTATACTGGAGAAATGTATGGGGTAGAGGTACTTGGGACTGGATAAATATATCACCGAGACGGTAGCGATACATACGACTGTACTATGGTATACGTCCGATGTACGGGGTGGAGCAGAGGGACCAATCGAGGAGGAAGAGGGACCTCAGCGATCCCAAAGAAATTCCCTTGGAGTCGTTTGGGGCGGCGAAAGATGCAAATATCAAAGGACAACAAGATAGTGATTCTGACTATTCTTTTGTGGTAGGTGCATGTACTCGTGGAGGTGCTGCGGAAGTTGGGAGACTGAGGGAGGAAATCACTCGGGTCACTGCGGAGGCTGTTAGGTTAACGGCGGAGAACACGAGCCTGGCCCAAGAGATGGCGAAACTTCGGACTGCTACTGCTACTATTGCGGTACTGCTGAGTGGGACTGGAAGTGGGACTGGAAGTGGGACGACAGTCGCGAGCAGTGCAGGCAACAGCCCAGCCCAAACAAAGCCAGCCCGGCCTTTAGTGAGTTATTATGATGCGTCTCACTGCTACTTTTCGTGGACCAACGTTTTTCCTATCTATTGTCGTGAAGTTACCCTACCAACTCTAGGATCCAGCCCGCCCAGCCCAACTGATAGCCCGGGCTGGGCTGTCAGCCCATCGGCGGAAATGGTTGTGTATATTTCCTAAATGATATAGAGGGGCGGCAGTATTAAGATCAAGAGAGACACATGCTTCTTGGAATCATGCCCGAGAGCAGCTGTGATGAAGTTCCAGTTTACACGGTCACAGAATGCACATACATTGTAAGTACCTAAATACATAAATATACAACCTTCAAATGTGAAATCAAACAGAAGGACGTCAAATCCAAAGCAAGAATCAGAGTCTCTGGATGTCGTCCAACCAACTAACGCTATAAAACCCGAGTTTCTATCAGGAAGTGATTAATAAGCTATTAGTAGTAGTAGATTGACGGCGATAGGTACGGGAACAACGTACGTCTGCTCCACAGCCGGTCGACCGTCGAACAACTCCCAGAACGAGGCAGTTTCGCTTGGGCCTTATGAGGGAACGTCTCTTGGTTGTATATTGAGAGGGCGGGTTTCTCGGTAAGCTTGGATGGAGAATCTCGTTGGTTGTGAAAACGGTAAATAAAGTTGCGGAGGGAGCGGAATTTCATGCTAGATCGGGCTCGACATCACCGATCCGCGAGGGTTTGCCTTCCGGAACGCCAAAATGAATATGACCCGTCGTTTTCAGGAGCGTATGGGCGGCTTAGCAAGGCGATAGCCGCAATAATCCGAGTGAGAAGCTAACTGCGTGATGTCGAGGCCGATATGATGAAGTCACGAAGGAAAGAGTAGTTGAAGATGAAGCTCTGTGGAGAGATAGAGTAGTGCCCAATTCTTACTTGCTTACATACACCACATAGTGCTTACCTAAAACCACTGCACCATCAACAACGCATGCAGCTTAATCCGGTGTTCGGTGTTTCCCGCCCAAGACACTCGCAGCTTCATGTAGCACAGATTTGGATTGCGGGGTTGCTGAGCCGGGGCTGAGTGAACTCAGGCTCGACATATGTTCAGCTGCGTTCTGCCAATCTATTGTGCTCTACTTCAACCGCACAGCAGCAGGCCGGCGTTAGATATCGAGCGACCCATAAAACCGATATTTGCGGATATGGCGACTCTCCGCAAACTTCTCCTGCCGACGAAACGTCCCACCATGGCCCATCTCCTCGTACTCCCTATGGAACTCCTGCTGCTCATCGTCGAGGGCCTCCCTGCCGTCGCCATTGTCTCTCTACGACGCACTTGCAAGCTACTCTCCTCGCGGCTTGCACCAGTACTCGTATCGCTGGCCTTCACCCAGTATCGGCGAAAATACAGCGGGTCCCCAACCCTCGGCTGGGCCTGCTACACTGGCAACCATCCGATCGCGCAGTCGCTGCTCTCGGAGGAGAGTAGCAGTCACAGCACCAACACGCTGACCAGCCTCCTCTACGTCTGCACCAGACTCAATAAGGTAGCGATAGCACGCCTACTCCTCGAGCACGGCGCCGACATCAATGGGCCTCTAACATGCGAGCATTCGCTGCTGCATCGTGCCGCTCTTGGGATCGATCAGCGCGGTTATCCGGAGATGGCGAAGTTACTCCTCGACTGGGGGGCCGACATTTCCTCCGTCGATGCTCGGCACCGTACCCCGCTTCACCTCGCCTGCCAGGCCGTTTCCACCGAAGCGGACAAGGAGGTGGATAATCTGGAGGTTTTTCGGGTGCTCATGGTGCATGGCGGTGCGGATGTGAGCCTGAAGGACGATCAGGGGCAGACACCATTGGATCTAATGCGTGCTGCTAGGCCAATGTCGCTAGTTGCGGCATCGTACTGGGCGGTGGTGTATCGGTGCTGGGTGGTGCGGCAGTGGCGGCAGTGGCGGCCAAAGCGATCTGCTTCGGATGAGGATCATGTAGAGTACGTATAGTATGTAGCACAGCCTAGAACGAGCGAAGGAATGATGTAGCTTCCATCCCCCGTCGGCTTGGTCCTCTTATTTTCGAGAACTCAAACCAGGCATTGCGCCGACACAATCCGACGTGCCTTTCCTTTCTCTCGAGATGGAGAGTCCACAGTGCTTTCATTCCAGACTCTTCCTAAAGGTCCCCTCCTAACATCTGGGGCTGACATTCAAACTGTGCCCATTCGCACATGCGAGTGATATTGAGTGTTCAACCCAGCCCATCTGCACTGCAAAATACTAGCGAATCTCTGCGGATCGAAAATCCCAACACGATCCAAAGATTTCTAACCGCAGGAAGCTTCTATGCTCTCTTAGATGGCTGCCAAGTGATGGATTGCGATCATCCTACGATACGAAAAACTTGCGACCGAAATTTCGCTTTTCTAAATATCTTGCGCGACACAGAGTCTTTGAAGGCCTACGGGCACATGATTATTCGAAAGACGTCCATACTATGATACATCTCGACTTGAGACCCTGTGCCAAGCGATAAATGGAATGGTGGACTCTTCCTTAAGATTCTATACTGTGTTGGGACTAGCGTCTATAATTAGGCTCAAATCAGTTACCCTCCGGAACACTGGTTCGCCACCAATCAACCCAACACCGCTGACAAGACATCCCCAACTTCTTCTTCTTGTTCACCTTGTCCCTTCACCACCTCCCATCAACCTCCATCAGCTCGCTACCCTAATCCTTCAGCAAAAGCTCCTTCCCACCTCTGGGACCCTTTACGAACCCATAACTACCATCGTCTGTGCGCTACATTGTCAAGATGAAGCTTACCTTCAAGGTACTGTCGCGAACCCCACCATGGCTTCAAAAATCACATCAAACATCACAACAAGACACAATAACAAGCAACCGTGACCGCTGACATTTATCACGCTATCAGGATCTCAAACAGCAGAAGTTTACTCTAGATGCCGAGCCGTCAGACACGGTTCGATACCACCCCACTACCCCACCATTGCTCGGCCTCCGCGTACTGACTCAGACTCAGATCGCGCAAGTGAAGGAGAAGATCTTCAAGCACAAGACTGAGGAGAAGGAATGGGACCCTTCGCTTCAGAAGCTCATTTACTCTGGTAAGTGGATGGATGCCGCATCGCCAGGCCGAGCGCTTTATTGACTATCGCGCAGGAAAGATTCTCGCGGATGACAAGACCGTTGAGTTCTACAAGGTAGAGGAGAAGGGCTTCATTGTCTGCATGCTTGCCAAGGTGCGCTTGTCCCCTCGATCTCGCCGGGTTCCGCCGGTTTTTGACGCAGCATAGCCCAAGGTTACCGTCGCAGCGAGTGCTTCGACTTCGGCGAAGCCACCGTCGACCCCAGTAAAGCCCTCCAATGCTCCCGCTACGCCTGCCGCTCCGGCGCCAGCTGCTCCCGCCCCGGCTTCGAGCGCTCCAGTCCCCGCTACCCCCACTCCCGCCGCTGCGCCTGTCACCGCCAGCTTCAATGACCCCTCTGCCCTCGCTATGGGCGCTCAGCGTGACGCAGCTATCACCAACATGATGGAGATGGGATTTCCCCGCGACGAGATTGACAGGGCTATGAGGGCGGCCTTCAACAACCCCGATCGAGCTGTCGAGTATCTGATGATGGTGCGTGTTTGGACTGTCTTAGGAACACGGGTAATACTGGACTAACGTTTGCTTGTTAGGGTATTCCGGAACATCTACTTCATGCCCGCCCGCCTCCGCCCGCCGCCGCAGCCCAGCCAGCCGCTTCGCAACCCGCTGCCGCTGTTACTGCCGCTACCGGTGGAGAACAAGCTGCCGACCCTGAGAACATTAACCTGTTCGAAGCTGCAGCGGCTGCAGCTGCCAACAGGGATGTTGGTGGAGCTGGCCGCGCCGGTGCCGGTGCCGGCGCTGGAGGTGCTGCTGGTATCGCGGGACTGGACTTTCTCCGCAACAATACGCAGTTCCAGCAGCTTCGCCGTCTTGTGCAGGAGTCCCCGCAGATGCTCGAGCCCATCTTGCAACAGGTCGGACAGGGAAACCCACAGCTTGCCTCTTTAATCTCCCAGAATCCCGAAGCGTTCCTACAGCTCCTTGCCGAGGGTGTTGATGGCGACGACGATGCCGAAGGCGGATACCCAGGCATGCAGACAATCTCTGTTACTCCCGAAGAAGCCCAGGCCATTGATAGGGTATGCTTGTACCCTCATCCCGTGATCTCGATTTCATACTGACCCAGCCAATAGCTTTGCGCCCTCGGGTTCCAGCGTGATATGGTCATCCAGGCCTACATCGCTTGCGACAAAAACGAGGAGCTGACCGCCAACTACCTCTTCGACAATCCGGCTGATGACGATGAGATGGGAGGAGCCTAAACAATTTGATGCAAAGAATGCGAAGACACATGTGACGGTGTTTGTAATGGCTTCATCTGGTGTTTCTTTCTTTCTTTCACTTCTTTAGCGTCCCCCGGACTAGTTTTTTTTTCGGTGGCCGTCTTTTCGGGTTTGCATATGCTCTTCTTCTGGGGTAGTTTTGTACTATGGGAGATTGGGGAATTGGGTTTTCTTTCACCTGCTTGTTTCCGGTTCCGTTTTTTTCTTTGTTTCCGGCTTTTAGTTTTCCTTGGTTGCTAACGGGCGAATGCAATACGATGGGTATGAGTATCCGTATGATAAGTCGGTCATGAATGAATGGTGTCTCATATCTAAGCACTTGACCTACCTATCTATGCGCCTTTGGTTGTTACCTACCAGATGGACCAGCATGTGTACGGGACTCCTCGGAGACGAGTGATGATTGCAACGGGGACGGGCCATGCGAGCTCACGCGGCTACCTAGGTTACTTCCCTTGTATGTAACACCATCATTAGTACACTTAGGAGTCTGGACTCGTCCTCGACGAGTAGGTAAACCAGCTCTCGCACCGATGCGGTTTGTTGGTGCACGTAACTGACTATATAACGGAGCGACACGGAACCGCGGGACCGTGCCGTGCATCGTGCAGTCGAGTGAGATACTGTAGGTAGAGGACATTGATGGGCTCCGTACCGTACCGTGGGGTTGGAACAGCCGTAGGGCGCGGGAATAACCGTGGTTTAAGCGCCATCGACCTAGGTAGTTAAGCGCGGTTGGTCGACGAGTGGAGTGCAGTGGAGTGCTAGCGGTTGGGTCGGCGGGAAATGGATCTACAGTATGGTACATACAGGTACCTGGATAGAGTACCAATGTATGTACTAGATGTAGCTACGTCCTCTCTACATTACTGGCGGAATCCGTGGAACGTGCGCAAGATTTGATGGATATGATAGGTGCCAGCCGACACCATGCATGATGTGCGCTTAGTCACACTACAAGTCGCACATCACGGACCCCGCGATCGCCAGACGAACACGCTCTGCCCAGCGGACCACGAGGAGTGTCAACCGGCCACCACTTCCAAAATGGACCCTCTTTCAGTTGCCGCAGCGGTAGCAGGGTTGTTGCAGGTCTGAGCCAAGGTCATCGGCTTTCTTTCAACGGCGATCGATGCCCCCAGCACTGCCCGCAACGCTCTCGCAGAAGTCCAAGCGCTACACGGGATGTTTCGCCAGTTGGACGACTTCATCGCCGATTTCGCCCAGCAGAGCGTGGCTCGCAAATCCAGGATTGAAATCGACGACCTGGTTGTCGTCCTGGCGGGCTGCGTGTGTACCCTCTCGGAGCTGGATAGGGAGCTCGAAGGTCTCAAGACGGACTACGCCAACACCACCAAGTATCAGTTTGGGCCCTGGGACAGCGTCAAGTGGGCAGCAAAAGACCAGGATATCGCCAAGATACTACGGGACCTATAGATGCATAGGACTTCGCTGAATCTATTGCTGGCAGTTTATACATGGTTAGTTCACGGTTCTTCTCGATCAATGTGTATCGATAGCTTCCCAGGGCTGCACCCAGCTCACCCAAAGACTGATGATCTCTTTCGCATCCGGCCAACGCGTGCGTACGAATAGCTGCTGATACAGAGCTTACCTAGTGCATCAACTCAGCAACTGTAAAGCGACATGGACGAACTGACGCAGTTCATGGCGACACTCAAGCAGACGATTCCGGACCTAACGGAGCTCATCACAGCAGCCACTTCCTCTGCGAGCAACGCCATTGAGACCAAAGTCAGCACTGGCTGGACACCGCTTCACCGGGCGGCCTGGTGTGCTCATACGGATACAGTGCAACTACTGCTCGACCGCGGAGCCGAAATCGACGCTAAGGACAGCATTGGCTGGACGGCGCTTTACCGGGCGGCCTGGAAAGGGCACACGGATACACTGCAACTACTGCTCGACCGCGGCACCAAAATCGAGGCCAAGGCGACGCACGGCCGGACGCCGTTTCACCTGTCGGTGCAGAATGGAAACGAAGCTTCGGTGCAGCTGCTGCTCGGCCGGCGTGCTGACGTCGAGGCCAAAGATCGAAACGGTAGGACGCCGCGACAACTGGTCGTGCAGAAACGCTACGAGCACGTTGCACGTCGGCTCTTTTATCGAGAGGCCGCAGACGCGGCCGAGCGCAATAATCCCGAAATCCCCCCAGCCAGTGCGGGAAATAGCCCAGCACAATCAAAGCCGGGCCGCAGCCCGGCGCGTGTAGCCCAGCTTTGAGCAGCCCGGGCTGGTGGGCCGTCGTTTCACTGCTAGTAGTTATCGTCGAGGATGATCCAGCAAGGCCACCTCCTGTACGTATCCCAACGACAACCGCAACAGAATCACCTCACACATCACCCTCAAAGAGATAGGTAGTAGACACAACTGAGAGCGCCAATCTCGCACCAAATATCAATCCCAGGTATGACGGCCGATATGGTTGAAGCCGGAGACCATTGAGACCCGTGAATGTTTGCGGCATTGGCGTGTTTCCATCACATATATGTGGACCTGTTTTCCTAGTAGATTTACATTTATTTACTGTTTTTTTACCTTCTGTTTTCTTCTGTCTTTCTTGAGGGCGCTGCCGGCGTGCGCCTGTTTCCTACTTGAGCATCTACGTGCATTCTCTACTCTTGCTTTCGTCCTTCGTCTCGCTGTCATAGGGTTACCCTATGTACAAAATTTAGGATCCAGCCCGCCCAACTCCGTCTGATACATAGCCCGGGCTGGGCTATCGGCCCATCAGCTCCAGCCCGGACTATATATCAGATCAGCCCATCAGCCCTAGCCCAGCCCATGGGCCATTCGGGCTGTTGCCTGCACTACACAGCACACATCAGCAAGCGAGTGACATCGTGTATCTCCGCGTGGCCGACGTCCTTTACCGTGGCGGCTTGAATCCTTCAACCCTATACCTAGTAGCCGCAGCATATGCCCAGGCCGCAGGCGGCAAGTCACGGCCCGATACATCAATCCCGCACCACAAGCAGTCGGCTTGATTATATCCCAAAAAACCATTTATATAAGAATCATGCTTCATGTCCGTGACTCCGTGGCTTCGGAGTACCAGCTTCGGATCCGGAGTACCGGCTGACCAACGAACGATCGGAATACCGACTCCCGAGTCCGGACCCGGATCCAGGACATTGGGGGATTGGCTAGTATCTACCGTCCGACGTACGCACGGCCCGGTGGTTGTAGATTTAGGGGGTAAGGGATTCGGCTGATATTCTACATAGCCGTGGAACTTGGGACTTGGAAGAAGAAGCGGCCATGGCTGGAATATCTACGTACGTAGCCCGATTGTAGGGCGAGAATATATGTATATAGTCTGTACCCATCGAAATAAATACCGGTGGAAATGGATTATGGGTGTGCTGCGGCCTGCGTCCTGCGGATTCGCATGTGTCTTGCGAACGAGACATATTCTGTTTTTGGAGGGCTTTGTCACGAGATACCTACCGTAGATGTTTGCCGGATCGGCTTCTTCCAACTGGCAATTGGTGCGGTACAGTACATGTATTGATACAGCTACGACACAAACACAAAAACACAAACCAAACACAAAGGACTCGTACGTAAAATACATAGGTAAGTAAGTAAGTACATCTGCGACTCGTACATAAAAATACACAATCCTACAACACCCCATTCTTTCTCGCACTCGCTCCCCTTCACCTTGCACCCTCTAGGCGAAGGAGATAATAGCGGTAACATTGTTCGCCACAGTCCTGGGCCAGAATTCGAACGTGAGGGTGACGGCCTGACCAGTGGCTTGGATAGTGCTCAGCAGGGCGGCGTAGAGGACGATGTTAGTGCCGGAAACGTCAAAGTCGCCCCAGTTGATGCGGGCCTTCTGCAGATCGCCCAGGTACTGCGTCCAGTCCTCCTTCAGGTAGGTTCCGTCGGCGCGGAGCGCCTTGACCGTGGCGAGCGTGCTGCCCTTGCCGTCGAACGGGATCGAGAGGTCTGTAGTGGAGGATAGCGTGTACGATGTCTGCCCAAGGGTGGGGGTGGTGTATAGGCGCAGCTCGAAGGGGAGCGAGATGCCCGCTGAGAACTTTATCGTCAGGGTGTCGCGCACGCCGAGGGTACTGCCGGAGAGCGCGGTGGTCAGGTATGCCTTTGAGATGGTGATGCCGGCGGTGGTGACGGTGTAGTCGGTGCCCTTCTTCATGGTCATGCCGGAGGCGTTGACGACGGAGCTGATGGTGTTACCGTTGAACACCAGGTTGATGTTTGTTGCCGCGAGGGTGGCTCCCGACTTGAAGTACAGCGCCGCAGTCTGGTCGTACGCCGGGAGAGAGTTGGAGATGCCCTTGACAGCCTTCTGGATGATGTCCGCCTTGACGGGGTCGCGCCACGTCAGCGTGGTGCGGTCGAAGTGGTCGAGGCCATTGTCCCACAGCTGCGCGGTCAGGTTGTAGGCTCGGCTGGTGCGGACGAAGAAGTCGAAGTAGACCCAGCCAGCCGCATTCTCGACGGATTTGCCGGTCAGTCCCCACTCGCCGATCAGTGCGGGTGCGTGGAAGCGGTTCTGAAGGGCGATGAAGGTGTCCTCGATCGCCTGCTTGTCGGCGGCCGTTCCCCAGAAGGTACGTCCCCAGGAGGTCGAGACGAAATCCCACGGGTCGTACTGGAATATGTTAGCTGGATGGATGTGCGAGAGGCAGGAAGAGGCTCACATCGTGCACGTGCAAGATGTACGGCGCCGCATTGGTCGGGACCGTGAACCAGTCCACAGTCTTCTGAATGTTTGTGGCCAGACCCGGCAGGGTGAGGAGTCTCTTGCCGTTGTTGCCGCCGGACGCGCGGACGATGTTGACGAATCTCTGATTGAGATCGTTGTACCTTTCGGCATGGGCCTGGGTCGATCCTGGGGGCTCGTTCAGCGACTCCAGGATCAGCTTCTCGCTCTTGTCCTTGAACCTAGCCGCGATCTGTTTCCACAGCGCCTCGAACTTGGCGATCTTGAGGTCAAGATCGGTGTCGGATGACATGTCGGCCCATTGCCAGCTGTCGTGGTGGACGTTGAGGACCACCCAGAACCCGCGCTCGAGAGACCAGTTGGTTATTTGTTCGACGCGGTCCATCCAGGCGGTGGTGACTAGGTAGTCGGGGGCCTGCGAGGAGAAGTGGTCGGTCCAGGTTACGGGGAGACGGATAGAGTTGATTCCGGCGGCTTTGATGGAGTCGAGGAGGGTCGCGGTAACTTGACTTCATCAGCCAATTGCCCCATCCAATCCACGCTCGCTCTATTGATGGAGCAAACTCACCCAGAGGGTTTCCCCACGACGTCTCATCCGGAATGGCATCGAGCGTATTGCCCAACTGATCGATCCCGCTGTCAGCCACCACTCCACTCGGCACTCAAATCAGCACTCGGATATATAAGACATACGTTCCAGCCCGGGTTCATAGCAGCCCAAGCCGACTCGGCCGTGACATTAGTCCACGCCGCAGCGGCAAACTGTATAACACACGTCAGCTCTTACACATTCCGCACACCCTCGCCGATGGAAGCACGTACCTCCGCGCCAACAGCGACAAAGATCGCAAGACTCCGTAGATTCAGAAACATGGTGATATCTGTCCGTGATGTCGGGAGCAATAGCGGGGAGAGGGGAGGCGTACTGTCCATTAAATACCACATCACCCCCCTCGCCATGATCCCATCACGGCCACCATATCTCGAGCCGCAATCCTTCAAATCTCGCGTGGAAGAAGATGAACAGTGCTAGGACTGGGATATCGGACTTCAATTGCGTGGCTCCATATTGCGAGTCGATAATGATACATGCATCTACGGCGGATGCAAGACGCAGGAACATCCCATCTCGGGGTTTCGTGGTATTTTGTTTCGAGCGATAGATTGATTGCGCCATGTCAGGTACATACGTACGGGATAACCACCTGGCGCCATAGTGGAGTTGCGAAGATGCGTAGGGGGAGCGGAGTTCTCCAGTGTCAGCCCCGGATTTACCCCGCAGGCTGCAGAGTAGGGGCGACGTAGGCGCGCCGGTGGATGTAGGTACACATGTGCGTGTATGTAGGCACGACAGTTCGCTTCGTCAAAGCCTAAGCAACGTTCCTGCATGGCGTGTGGGGAAACTCTAGGGACGAACCGGAGATGGCGGAGAATGAGGCGGAGGAGCGGTAACCACCCCCGTCGGCCCTCGTAGCCGTGCTCCCCCTTGAATACATACTAAAAATCCCGGAACATTGTCTGTTCCTCCTCCGACCCGTGGCGAATTCCACTCTATTCCCCTTCAACATATTGAGCAATTCCGGCTGAAGACACCCCACCTGGTATGTGCTTAGAGTATAGTACATAGAGTAGAGACCCATCGTGACACCCTAGCGGCCAGCATCTCGCAACGTGCCCTCGGAAGGCAAGGAAGAGCAGATCCGACCTCAGAACCTTCACCACGATTGCTTCCACCACTCGTCCCCTCCGGTGCTGTAGCGCGAGTGCCCGACGATAATCAACAGCCTTGCCTGTGGCTAGTGTGACTGACGGCGCCGACCGGAAGAATACCCTTTCACGAGCGCATCTGGGCCCATGGAATTCTCCAGGCAGACCTTCAAGACGAACGGAGCCGGAGTGGAACAAATCCTATTGTTCCGCAACGCCTCGTGGATAAATTCCTTCGATAAGATAAGAGAGAACGGGAATATCAACCCCCCTCGCCCTCAAACAACGCGCTCGTCGAGATGCAGGATAACTATCGCCCAAGATGTGGGAAACCTCAGCGCGTCGCATGGACGGACGAACACATGTATGTACCGTATGTATGCACCCCCGGAATGCAGCACGTGCGAATACCGACATATGTACCTGTCTATCGCACGTGTGCATGCAGAGCCGCACCGTCTTGATGATGCTTCTGCCGCCAGTTGTGCGGAGTTTTGCGTGGATAGTCCGGCGCCTGGAGGAGGAAGACTATATAGAGCAGGTATATAGAGTACTCTAGCGACGCCGCGAGGTGGGGATGATCGGTACGCCAACGCCACCCGAGTCGGCGTGACGAATGATTTTGTTGATGCGGACACGGAGTACTTGTGGCTAGGTCTAGATCATCAAAGGGCGATAGCGAAGCAATTGGTGTAGGTATCATACATATGATTACCCATAACTACTAGTTATAATAGGCTCCGGTACAGCTCGGACGGGCAGTTCATCCAACGGTGGTGGTGGTGGTGGTGGTGGTGGTGGTGGGTGGGCCAGCGACGGCATATGCGTTTTCTGTCACTCGCCAATCACGTTAAGCGTGAGAGTGCCGCGACTTTTGCGGAGTCGAATCGTGTAGAGTTCATATATATGTATACTACAAATCCAATTCCCACAGCCCCCGCCTATCCGGCCTTCTAATAAAAATCGCATGTACAAGAATTCCAGGTCCGCCATCCAATTGGCAATAATCGACTCTGTTGGACGTTTGCACATAATCTCACTCATCCGCGCTGAGGCGTTGAAACACGGCGTTTATTTGTTGATTTCTGTCATGGGATCAAGGGGGACTATCCGTCGAACCAACAGCTCCGAATATTCTCAGCGCAGCGAGCTTACTGCAAGTACATGGCCTCAGAAGGATGCCTATAGTCTACAGACCAACCAGATCAGATGCGGCCCCACCGAGCTGGCACGTACGGAAACATTCCTCGTAGTTGAGAATCCAGTCCCTCTCGAAAATCCGGACTTCTCGGCTATACAAAAAATCCAAAAATCCAAAAACCTTCATCTACCTACTCTAGTTAATAGCGGACACTTAGTTCTGGGACCATTGAAGCAATGAAGCCTGCAGACGTCCAGACTCCAGGCAGCACTGCTCTACCAAATATATAGTACTCTACCGTTTCCTCATGTATGTACCATACATTTGGAGACTGGAATTGACCCGGAATTCCAGCTTCACCCCCCACCTCCCAGAGCTCAGTTTGCCCCTCCACGATTATCCGCAGCCGCATTTACTCCAGAGTCCCCACCGGCCACGAACCGGCCACGAACCGGCCACGAACAGGTCCGACGGGCTCTAGTATACTATACTCTACTATACTCAGTATATTTGGGAAGGCCCAAGTAGGCAGGCAGGCAAGTAGACAGGCAGGCAATACTTCAAGCCTCCGCCACGGGATGCTGCGGTATCGGCTACGCCTGGACGACGAAAAATCCGAACTTCGAGAACCCCACGGTCTTGACTCTTTTGCGGCAGATGTAGCTACATACCATCCACCAGCCACCAGATGTAGCCTCCAGTCCCTAGCCACCCACAATCCACAAGTCACCAGCCATAGACACTAGCCAACAGCCACTCTCCGCAACACCCAGGTCCCAGGTCCCAACTCGCGGCCTGCGGGTTGAACAATGAACCGTCCGGAGAATTCCTGTTTTTTTCTGGAGCATTCCTCCGTGTGGGGGAGGCGGAGGCCTGGTCTGATCACGTGAAAATGAAAGCATCTGGATCTGAAAATCGTAAGCGTTGCGCGAGATCCGCACCAGTACATAGACCATTGCCATTGTCATTGCTATTGTCAGAGCTGCATACCCCGACCCGGAGGCGGCTGCTCTGTCGGCGTATGAATGTCGCCACCGCCCTCCGTCCTCCGGAGCTATCGTTCCTTGTTGGCCTGCTCTGCTGCATATTCCATATTGTTTAGCCTGAGGTTTGTCGGGATTGTCTTGCGGGTGTGTGGGTGCTGTGGTTGTGGAGCTGTGGGTGTTCTACTCTAGTTACCATCCAAGCTGGTGGGGGGGATCCACGATAGTATGTACCTACTACCGTAGTAACACCGGCCATCGTGAAAACGTGTGCACAGCGGAATATCAGAGGATGATAGCTCTTGGTTCTTAGTTTTTTGGCTCTTGGTTCATGGTTCGCTCAGCCTGTTTGGTGGCGCAAAGACTGGTATGATACAAGGTAGATACCTACCGTATTCGCGGATAGTGAACTCGTCTCGCATGCTGTGGGATTCGGGGGCAGAGGCGGCTTTGTGTTGCGGCGAAGGGCGATCGGCGAGCAGCGAGTAGCGGTATGGAGCGACCTACCATGTATTGTGGCAGACAGACCCCGTTTTCTGTTATTGGTTTTCTGTTCGTTTAGTCGGTCGGTCGGTCTCTTGTTCAACACATCAGACATTATCAACACCACAGATAGGTATTCCCAAAAGTCATAGACCTGCTTTTTCCTGTTGCTTTGCTTCCTAGTCAATCGAACCAGGTCATCAGTTACTCGTACCCGTCGAGGGCCTCTCAATACCGTATTCACGGATGGCGAACTCGTCTCGCACACCTAGGGCCCATTCGGATGCCAGCTACATTTCCAACCTTGGGTTTCTGACGACTTGAAGGTTCCCAAACCTGCAGCTGCAAACTCTCATCTCCCCCGATGCCCCGGAACCCGTTCGGCAACCTGGATATTCGACAGCATACAACTCTCTTTGTTTGCATTGTGGCTCAGTCAACAATATTTAGTGTCGCAAATTGTCGACTTGGGGTGGTGTGCCGAATGCCCACCCATCGTCCGGGAACTGAGGGTTTCAAACTGCATCGAAATTTTGTGTGGTAGATTCAAAATGCTGATGGCATCCAAACACACACCTATGAAGTAACTGTGGCTCAGCCACCATCCATCCATCCATCCACCCACCCATCCCGCGTTATGTATGACGTATGCATCGCAAAAACCGCCCTCAAAGTGGAACCACGTTCACCGGTCACCAGAGCACTCATCTCCAATTGCGATTGTGATGATTAACTGCACGCTCAACCCGAGAGACAGAAATCTATATACAGTACCTACAGCACCTACAGTACAGAAGCTTCTTCACACTCGGAACATACTCTACCATGTAAATATCCAAAACGCTCGGGCCCGACGTACCTCGAGTGTGTAGAGTATTAACCGCGCGCGCCACATGCACTGGAAGTATATAGTACTCTCTGTAGTACACCGTAGTACATACCCGCCGAAACCCCGGATAATCAAGAACCCCCGTTGATGCAGATATGTAAAAACAACATGGCACACCTATATACAGAAGACATCCATGAACCATCCATCCAGATTCCACAATACCCGCCCCCAAAAATACAACCGTTAGATATGTTAGATGTACGCCCCCAAATCCCCCAAAATTCAAATCCCCGATTATGTCCTGTCCTGTCCTGTCCAGATACGTCATTAGCTAAATAGTATGTAAATGTTACTTACATACACAGCCCTCCCATCCCATCCACATCCCATCCACATCCCATCCACATCCCATCCACACACACGCGCGCGCGCGCGGAGGGTGCGGAGGCGGAATTAGATCGCCCCGATGCGCAATCTAAACGTCGAGAACCCCCGGCCGCGCCCCGCCCGGTGCCGCCCCGCGCCGTCCCGCCGAGCCGGATCTCGATATAATCCCGCCCCCAAAGAGCCCAAAAAGAAAAGCCCAAAAAGAAAGTCCAAAGAAAGGCCAAATAAAATCCCAGAAAATCCGTAGTCTACCCCATTGAAACCCCCCCCCCCCCCTCCAATCGATTGTTGGTCGTATGTATGTATGTATGTATGTATGATATGTCGTAAGTGTCCGTGTCGTATCGTAAGTGAGCGTGTGCGTGTGAACCGCAAGGTCGTGATCGTCAGATCGTGTCATCGTAAATAAACCCCCCCCCCCCCCCCCCCCCCCCCAAAAAAAAAAAAATTACAGCGAGCGGAGGACGAGGCCGTATTATCCCATCTCCATGGTAGCCTGGTTCCCTGATTCCTGCCGTGTGTCGCCAACCCTCTCCCCCTCACAGCGCGGGGAGAGAGACCCATGAAACCCGCCACCTGCAGCCTGCCCACCATCATATTACTCGATGGTCCTACTCCTAGCCAACCACTTCCCCGTCCCGCCCGTCCCGCCTCCCGCCTCCCCCTCCCCCTTCGCCCGCGCCCCCTCCCGCACCTCCCGCACCTCCCGCACCTCCCGCACCTCCCGCACCTCCCGCACCTCCCGCACCTCCCCCACCCCGTCGGATGACGAATCTCGGCGTAGTCGGACTCGCCATTCCCAATCCCATTCCCATCCCCATTCCCATTCCCATTCCCATCCCCATTCCGCCCATTCCGCCGACACCCAGGGGCCACGGCGGAAACGCCGGCGTTCTCGGGGAAACGACGACGACGTCGTTTTCCGGCAGGGGGGGACTATTCCCCCTCTCCGGCACGGAGATCTCGCTGTCGCAGACGGAGGAGACGGGGCGTTGTTCCAGCGCCAGCGATAACTTTTTTGGCGGGGTGTGCATCGTAGTCGTCGGGGCCTTAGCCTCCTGCAGCAGAGTTTCTCGCTCGACGACAGCGAGCGAGGCCGCTACGCGCTCCGTCGCGGAGACGTCGGAGGTCTCCCAGTCATCGAAGTGGTTTACCTCTGACGGCGAGCGGTGGGTGGACATGGTGACCAGACTGCTGGTCTGCACGTCTTTACCCTTGATGGTGTACATGGGCGAGAACGGGCTCACGCCTATGCTCAGGCTGCGAGAGGACTTCTTCGCCGGTGGACCCCCCGTCGACTGGTATAGTTGCGCCACGAATGACCGGTGCTTCGACGCGCGGAGCGAGGAGTCGAGCGAGGGTTTGCGCGCTGAGAAGGTGGGCGATGGGAGTGGCAGGTGAAGGTTCTCCCGCGCGGCGCAGAGACAGCGGTGCGGGGGGTGGTGCGGCGAGGGGGTGTTGGCCTCGTGGTCATCGTGCGGTGATGCGGAAGCAGATGGGGAGGAGAACGAGGAGGCCAGGAGCATGGTCCAGAACACCGAGTGCATTACCACTGTGACGATGTAAACAGCGGATCCGGCCAACACCACATGCACCGGATTACGGCCGAGGATGTTTCGTGGCAGGGCTTGCTGCCTCAGGCCCATCCACCCCAAGGCGCACGCCGACACCACCGCGGCGAGGGCAGACGCCGCTGCTCCCAATTGCCGGTACAATCGTCGTCGACGGCATGAGGGATAAACGGTAAACAGTATGATGGGAATACAAGTGCACAAGACGGCCGCTGCGGACACGACGCTGACAACGGCCAGTGCCGAATGGCGTATGGATGAGGACACGGTGTAGACGATGAAGAAAGCCGCCGTGACTATGGTTGGAAGCAGGGCTGTTGTTCCCACTGCTTGCAATATTCGCAGTCGAGGGGCGGCCATTTGGAGGCGAGGGGTGGAGAGAGGGTAGGGATAATTTGCTCTCGAGGCAGGAGGCGGGGGGAATTCAAGGGATTCGGTGGTCCCTGCCCGGCGAGGGGGGATTGTTTTGGGCGTGCCGCGACTTAAGAACTCAGTAGAGTAGGCAGCCCGGCTCGTGTGGCTCGCTGAGCTGTGGAGGAGGAGAAGTGAGCTGGCGGAGGTGTGTGTGAAGTGTGAAGTTCAGCACAGCATGTGGGTGGTGGAACATGGCACTGACCGGGGGGTGAGTGGAGGGGCAGCTGCTACTTTTTGGGCGGGCGGTTCAGAGCGAGAGGGAGGAGGAGTCGGAGGAGGAGATCATGACGCGCGACGGGAAGCAAGACGCCACGAGGCAAGGAGAGCAGCAGCAGTGCGGACAGAGTTCCAATAAATGGTGGTTAGAGTAGAGTAGCGCAGGCCCGGGTAGGACACATAGCTTGACTCTAGCTAGAGTAGAGAGAGCCCTTTGTTGTCGGTGGGTGCACATCATACTCCGGTGTCACAGTGTAAGACATTTTCTGGTGCGTCTGTAGGCAGTAGTTTCTATACCCAGTACTTTGAAGTTTGGGGGGGCAGATGTCTAGCCGAGTTTTATTCCCATGGGGGGTGGGGTGGGGTGGGGTGGGGTGGGGTGGCTGCTGGGGTTGCTTCAAGCTTGCTTGCTTGCGTGTGTCTTGTCTTGTCTTTCCCGTCTTGTCATGTCAACGTGTGGTTGGTGGAAAGCCAAGCTAGGGTTGGTGGTGGTGGTGATGGTGGTGGTGGTGATGGTGGTGATGGTGGTGGTGATGGTGGTGGTGGTGATGGTGGTGATGGTGGTGGTGGTGATGGTGGTGGTGGTGGTGGTGATGGTGGTGGTGGTGGTGGTGATGGTGGTGGTGGTGGTGATGGTGGTGGTGATGGGGGATCGTATTCATGGATTCATGGATTCGACGGCCGGCCGCCGATGGGATATTATTGGAGTGTGGGGGGAAGTATGAAACGATCAACTACGGTAGGTGTAATCGGAAGGTGCTCAAGAGTCAAGGCTCAAGCAAGCAACGGAGGCGAAAGCAAGCAATTCCAAGCACCAGAGAGTTTCAACTGCCAATTCCGACCGCGCGAAGTGGTGGTGCTGGTGAATTGAGAGTTTCCATGAAGACTGCCTGCCTGCCGTCCTCAACATCCGCACGTCACAGATCGGGGCTGTGCTTGCCTGTCTGCCTGCGTGCTTGCCGCCGATGCGGTCCGCTGTCCTGTCGATCGGAGGCGGGCGGGAGAGAGCTACCTTACCTATGTGGCTGAAGTGGCAGGTGCGTGTTGTGTGTGTGTGGCGCGGGATGTTGTTCCTTCTCCACACATACCACCTCATACCCACCTCAGCCTCTGCTGGCCGTCTGTTGTCAAAACAAACACGTTTCCTTGCAGAAGGCAGAAGGCCGAAGGTCGCAAACCGAAACCAGATCTCAGCCGTATGTAGAGCATGAGGTATTTCCTGCACCACGACGGATGCAGCAGGGGCGAGGGGCGCGCAACATAGGTACTCTACATACTAACGCGATCCGGCTATGACCCATTGGCCTGTGTAACTGCAGCTCGACACTCCCGCTTCCTGTATGGTGGTGGTCTCTGTCGCCGCGTCCTGATTCGCGATATATACAGACTCGGCAATATCCATCTTCGGTGCGGCGTAGAGCACTCTACTCTACCGAATCTTCGCGTTGCGGTGGCACGGCGAGGATTGCGGATGCGAGTGACGTCCAATGACATGAAACCCGCCATGTGCCCAGTTCAGCGTCTCCTGGTACTTATACAGGAAAAAACCCAATCGTATTTACACCTCCCAGACGGCCGCAAAAAGCTCTCCCCCTCTAAACAGATCCCACCACCGAAAACCCGTCCCAAACTCAAACATCGTGTACAAGTAAACAGGAAGAAAAAAGATGGAATGGCAGATGATAGAACGCCCGTATATAAAACTCCCCGTCCTTCCCCGGTACAATGACTCGACCAATAAAAGATCAAGAGGAAAAAAAAAGTAAAAGTAAAAGTAAACTCTGTAGAAAGACAGAAACCGATAATATCGGTAAAGCAGCATTAACAGACGGTATTCAAACAAAACAAGAAATCAAAACAAGCCATCAAATCGATGTCCCTTTTCTCGCACGCTCGCCAGAAAACAGAAAACGGAAACGGAAACGCAAATAATACAAACAAACGCCGGCGACCCCCCGCAGTGTCGTTTTTTCGTATCATTCTATCATCCACGCTTCATCTCCAATCGGACGGAGAGCAATCCTAGAGTTCGGCTTCGTGTTGAGTGGCGGCTTCGGCCTGAGGCAGGTGCGGCTTCGGAGGAGGAGTAGCAGGTGGTTGTGGTGGTGAACGCGACCGCACAGTAGACAACCCATGCGTTGAAGCGGCATAAGTAGAGGACGAAGCAGGAGAAGAAGTAGTAATGTGATCAGGAGAAGCGCAGGGTGCGGGGTCGGAGGAAAGAACGGGTGCGGGAGCATCGATAGGAGGTTCCATTCCGAATTGGGGAGTCGGCGTAGGAGCTTGAGTCGGTTCTGGAGCTGGTGTAGGAGCTGGAGCTGGTTCTAGAGTTGTTGCTGGAGCAGCGATAGGATCTTCCCTGGATTGCAGAGTTGGAGTGGGAGCTCGAGCAGGAGAAGTAGCTGAAGCGGTGGTAGGGGCTCGAGCAGCACCATTAGCCGGAGCTAGATTTAGAGCTGAAACGGTAGTAAGAGTAGGCATGGGGGGAGGAACAGGTGCAAGCGCAGCCATAGGAGGCTCCGCCATGAACTGAGGAGAGACGACCCAGCGGCCCCCTCCGACATAATATCTCGGGCTCGGTCCCGAAGACGATGGCGCCGCCGGTGACGGATGCACCATAGCCGCCGTGAACTGGGAACTCGGGCTCGAATTGGGAGGGAGTGACGGGGCTGTGGAAAGAGGTGAGTGGACAACCGGTGCGGGAGCCATCGTATTCGGACTAGGAGCACGGTAGGTAGGACGAGGGGGGAAGCCGTAGTTTGGTGGAGGGAAAGAAGGTGGCGGTGGTTGCGGTGGTCGTGGCGAACCAATCGAAATTGAAGGAAGAAGCCCACCATTGGCCGAGTGTTGCGCCCAACCAAGCCTTTCCTCCGTTGGTTGAGCATCCAAGATTTGTGATGGTGGAGCTTTTGGCGGCGAATTACCATGGGCGCTGTCAACGCCATTTGTTGGAGGACCACGGATGTCCATGCGAGTCCCTTTTGGTCTACCCGGGTTCGTTGTTGGAGGCTGGTACCTGTGAGCTGCCTGGTCGGCTACCTGTTTGTCGACTCGGAAAGAGTACAGGGGCTTTGAGTCTCTAGGGCGGCCACGCTTCTTACGCGGCGGCTCGCGCGGACGTCCATCTGCCCGTGAATTCGTTTGTCCGTCCGGACTCAAACGGGAAACCCCCTGGGAGCTAATTCCATAGCCCATGTTATGTGCTGTGAAGGTAGCTGCTGCGCCCGACATCGGTGCAGCGGAGGCGGTGGACTCGAAGGATATTAATCCGCCGTACACTGGACCATACAGACCAGGAATTGGTGTCCCACCATATGAACCAGATGCTGATGGCCCACCGTTTGATCCAAGGATTGTTGTCTCATGTGCTAGGTGGGGGAGAGTCCGACGTTTCGCCTGATTTTCAGATATCTCGGGAGTAGCGACTGCCAATACCGCCCTTTCGCCCAGTGCCGTAGACGGATGCATTTCGGACACCGCATCATCCACCGGTGATGTGGGAGGCAGGACTCTCGCCGATTTTTCGCTATAGTCGAAGTCGAGGGTAGGGAAAGGATTTAATGCTTCCTCATCACCGATGATAACACCGGACATCATTTCTCCAGTATCCGGGCCAGGCGTTGAGAGCTTTGAGGTTACTTCTAGAGGATCTAAGCCAGGCGTTGTAGGTTCAGTTGATACTCTTCCGTCGTCCAAGCCACGTTGCAAAGAAGGGATATCCAATCTGTTGGCCTGGTTTGTTGTTTCGCCTCCTAGGACATCGAAATCTCCATCGTACACTGAGTCGGTATCTTGTGGCGAGGACGGCTCATCGGATTGCTGGGAGGCGAGAACTATGTAAGTCAGCAAATTATCCCCACATCTAACCCTCATCTTCCCAAAAAGTAGGCGAACTAGGTACAGCATAGGAAGAGCCCCCAGGAAAAAGAGCTACCTCCAGGCAAAGAAGAAATAAAAGAATGGGGTGGGGAGAAAAAAAGAAGAAAAAAGACCGGTGGTTAGAAACAAAAATTAAAATTCGCAAAAAAAATAATCTTCATCCTCGCCTCCCCCGCCTACAACTCACCCAGTTGTTCCTCCTCGGTATCTTCTGCGTCCCTTGAGAGCGGTCCACTCTGGGCCACGACCCCGTTGGCAGGCGTCCCCAAAGTCAGCAACCCCTCGAGAGCATAGTGCTCAAGAGTGGTTCTTGCGTCCGATATACGGAACTGACCTGGGTTCGCCAGGTCCAACGGGTAATCGCGCACCAGGTTCTCTGGGTGGTGAGCCCCGCTCATCCCGACCATGTAGGTCCCCCACATCTCCGGATCGTGGTTCTCGTCCGCATTGCTGTCGTCCGGAACCACCTCCATCGCCACGTACTGCACCTTCCGGGGAGGGGCGGCCAAATCCCCATCCCCCCTTCTCTTCTTCCGAGGAGAAGGCCCCGAGAGTTCTCTCTCCTCAACGGGTAGGCTTCCCTTCTGGTGCTTGTCGTGCGGGGTGAGCGGCCTGTCGGGGGATGAGTCCGACAGGTGCGACGAGTCGTCTCGTTCGAGCTGGGTAGTGACCTCCCAAAGCACGCTCCGCAACCGGGTCATTGCCGTCGGCAAGAACTTGCGGTCGTAGAGTCCCCCGTTGGTGCGGTTGCTTATCTGAGGACGTTCGAAGGGGGAACGATCCCACCCTTCGCCGTCCTCAAACGCAAGGATCAGATCGACCCGGGAGACATCATTGATGTCTCCCAGGCCGGTCTTCTCCAACACACGCAACAGAAGCGCCAAATGGCCCGTGCCTCTGAGGTCACTCATCGGGGCCCCTGATCGCAGGAAATCCCGGATGCAGTGGTCCACCCGCTCTTCGAGGTATCTCTACAGGAAGAGGTTAGTCATACAAGGAAAAGAAAGGGAAAATCGATCGAGTATGCAAGTCGTCACTCACCTCGCATTCCTCCCTCCGCTGCTGGATCATCCCAGCAAGCTCGGTATCGAGAGCTTTCTGCTCCATCCCCCGATCCCGCTCCATCCGAGCCATCTGCTTCGTCTCGTTCGTGGCCAGCTGCTGGAGGATATTCTGATACCAGTCTGTCGACTGGATCTCCTTCCGAGCCGCCGCACCGAGTGCTTTAGCAGTCTCGTTGCCACGCTTCAGGTTTCGACCGACCATGACGGCTCCAGCCCCTCTATAAAATGCTCCCAGATCCGCCTGTCGAGCACGGATCTGGGCGAGGGTGAGTTTCTTCGGACTACCTTGCATCAATGCCCCCTTCAAGCCTCGCGGCTTGGTAGGTGGCGCAAAGATGCTGTAGTCCTGCACCGTCAGGTTAAGATCAAGGGAAGGGTCTGCCAGTATATCGGCCCCCTTTCCACGGGATCCACCATTTATGGTCGGCCTACTCCCTTTCGCAACGGGCTCCTCCTCCGGGAATCCGCGCTTGCGCTTCCTGCTCATCGCCGAGATTTCCGCCGCCGCTGCCGCCACCGCCGCCACGAGTGGTCGCCCACAACTCACTTCCGCCAGAGCACTTGGGCTCCCATTCATCGCGAGACCGGAAAGGTCAGATCTTAGGCTTCCTTGAACCCTTGGGCCATCGGCACTCTTCTCCGCGGAGTCTTCTCTCGATCTCTTGAACCTCTCGCTCTCCAACATGTCGGCGGCAGAACTCTTCCTCTTCCGAAGGTTCGCTTGCATTGGTAAAGGTCCGGAAGGCTGTGGACCCAACGCACTCCTTGGAGGCTGGCTGCCGATAGACGTATTCCCTACTTCGGGGGTCTCCAATGCTTGTCCAGGCGCGGCATTCTCACGAACTGACGGGGTAGACTGCCCACGTCCACGTCCACCACGGCCACGTCCCCGGCCACGTCCCCGACCGCGACCTGATCCTCTTGGTCGGCTCATTGTATCGATACTGGTGGAAGGATTCGATGTTAGTTTGATGGACGCCATCACGGAACCCAAACACGACGGATAATCAATAAATGAGAGAGCAAAGAACGCCGTTGATCCAGACATATGTCCAAAACAGGCTGTGCCAGTGACGTCCCCGTAAGAATATTAGATGACGGCGATCATGCGAGAAGGCAAGATCCGCAAACGCAGGGCAACGACGGAGTGGGTACTTATTTAAAAGGGATATCGAGGGTAGAAGAAAAAAAGGACAGGGTAAGGGAAGATAGTTCCGCGGTAACCGAAAAGAGCGAAAGGAACAGATGGGTAGAGGAACTTAAAACAGATTGCGATGGGGATAGGGAAGACGGGGGCAAACAGAGAAGAAAAGAAGAAGAAAGGAAGAAGGAGTAGAAGAAGGAGAAGGAGAAGATGAAGAAGATGAAGGGACGAAGAAGATCGAAAATAAGGTATGTACGCACCGAAGTATCCTTGATATTTATGGTATATCACACCCTTCTCTGCAGTAACGGTGAACTGCTGGAACTCGAACGCAAGAATGCTGAGTTAAAAACACACCGTCAGCCCACAAGTCTTTGAAGCCTTCCGGCGAATAAAATCATTCAATTAAAGGCTGCCGCTGAGTAGCAGGGTTGAAATGATGTGGGTATTGTTTGCAGCGGGGAGGGGGAGAGGGGAGGGGAGAGTTGATGATGTTGGAAGGGGAGGACGTGAGTCGATTGCAGAGAGGAATTCGCTGATGACAGCAACCATGCAGTGCCATAGGACGAAAGAATAAACACAGAATAGCTTGATAACAAGCTGGATAGAGGAGGCGGTGAAAACAAACAGCGAGACCGAGAATCTCTGGGGAACACGAACTGCTTACCTTGGATCCGAAAATGTGGGAGGGAGAGAGAAAGCTGGCGAAAACGCGTGCTGATTCCGGAGAGAAGTAGGGAAGAAAGGAAGGAAGGAAGGTAGAGAAGTAGAGGAGGAGAGGTAAAGAGGTAACAGCGGAAAAGTCGATCGTGCAGAAGCAGAAAAACTTTGGGAGTGGGTCTCGATGTGTCGATGTGTCGATGTGTCGAGAAGGGGATGTGTGGAGAAGAAGAGAAGAGAAGAAGAGAGGGAGGTGAAGCCAGAGAAAGTTATAGGGAGAGAGGGGGGGTGAGAGAGGGGAGGCTAGTAAAATGTGTGAAGGCCGAGCTTTGAATATTTGAAGTTGAAGATGAAGCTCCGTCAGTAACTAGCACTTGCGAGGGACCACGCCGTTGAGCCGCAAGTTCCCCCAGTAAACTAGTCCGTTAGGGCGGGAGCCGCGAGTGTCACTCAGTACGATACAAGCCTTTTCCCGGGGGGTTTTGGCGAATTTGTAGCTGCTGTTGCCGCAGCCGCGGAGTGAGGGTCAGTCAAAAAGAAGAATGGAGGTTGCATGTAGGTATGTAATTGGAACAAGCGTGCGAGCAGCCTTCCTGGTGGGAGGGGGGTGGGGGGCCCATGCCATGGCAATTGCCATCATCCTCCCGAACGCAAAGCGTCTGGTGCGTGTATGCAAGCCCACTCGATCCCCCATCGCCCCCCTTCCGCACACCCGGAACAGCACACGGCGGAGGCGATTCGAGAGAGCGGGACGGAATTAATCAGGAGGGAAAATCATCACTCACCAGCCACTGCGCTCCGCTTTACTTTCGTTGGGGACGCAGATCAGGTTGTGCGGTGAGATCGTTGTTGCACGCCCAACTGCAACCCAACGACCCCGGCGCAGAGTTTAGGTGTCAGTAACCAGAGGTAAATTAATAAAGTAAGCAAGCACCGCAATAAATTCGACGACCGCTGACGCGCTGAGCAGAATTCTCGGGTGGGCTTGCGGACGGGGACGGGGCAAATCGTGGAAATTGGCGATTCTTCAGGTCCGAGATTGGGTTCGCTCCTTCTTCTTTCCCGCCGAGCAAGTTGGAGGTGTAAGATGTACTTTAGGTATATATTTGTTAATAGTGTACGGTACCATAGGGCAGAGGGAGTCACATAGTTTGAGTCGATACCCAGATTCAAGTACACACGCCAAGCCGACGATTTCGGTGAAAACGCAATTCTTCAGCAGCGAAAAGACTCACGATCGATGGCTGCCGGATCCGAACGTGCGATTCGAGTGCCGGCATCACGTACGTACATAGGGTCCGAGGCGAAGCACGCTCGTCACAGGATGAGGATCCCGAAGACCGGAGAGGAATCAAAGGGGCTGAGATGTCAAAGATGCGTGGAGGCAATGGGAAAATACGATGGAGACCGTCCTCACCGTGGTGGGGATCGAAGGATACGAGGTATGTTGCATGCATACCACCATCACCATCACAACCACGGTCCCGAATCCGTCAAAAGACGCGGCTTTCCTTTCAAATGCATGGCACACGAGCACGAAGTCCCCTCCGTGTTCTCGAAGATTCCTACGGCTGATGGCTTTCGTCCGCACACAAAACATGAGGTGCGTGTCGTGCTGCTTCTCGGTCTCCAGCTGCCTGGCGACCCGCTGTCGGTTGTGCACGTCGACGACGGAGACGAAGGGTTGTCTGGAAGGTTTGAAGCCTAAATATGGACGGCGAGAGACCCAAAAACGGGTGTGAAGGATCAAAAACGTGATCAATTCAAAGCAAAATCTAAGGGCAATGATGATGATACAAGGTGATGATCTGATGAGAACCAAAGACCGACAATAGGCAGACAGGAGTAGTGACAACAGAGACAGATAAACGTTGAATTCTCCAGAACGGATCCCACCAGATCTCAATAAGGTCTCCTCTCTTCGGCGCCCACCGATGACACCAAGCCGCCTTGCGCCCCTCAAGTTTCAACGGGGCCCTATCGGATACGTGGGCGGCGGTGCGAGGTAGTCATAGTACATATCATACATACCATATACTCCCTTCCGGGTCACTATATTTGATCCTTCAATCCATCGTGATATCGCTCAAGAACAGCCGAAACTCAAAGACGCGGGGAGCAGCTGCTACATAGTCGTCACCTTCATGCTCCCGCGGGCCAGGCCTCTCACCACTAGTTAATAACTACGGTAGTTAGTGAGCATTACGCTTACCGACGTAACCAAGCGTCGCCGCATCGGCTGCGTCGGCTGCATCGGCGGGGGCACATGACTTGCCGAAAAGGAAAAAAAATCCATCTCGGCGCGCACGGGATTCCTCGGCAGGATCGGTCGACCCGAGAGAGAGAGAGAGACGGAACGCGCACACATCCAACGATATACCTAGCTGCTCCGCCTTTTTCCTTAAGGACACGTTCAGCAGTCATGGGCCCAGCAGATGGATGGATGGATGGCATGCGGCCGGGAACGGTGGCGGTGGCGGACACGAATGGCGGTCATCGGAGGAGGAGAATCGTGATGTTGTGGGTACGGTATGTAACAGAGGCTTTGGGCGATCTCGGTCGAGAATCCAGTCGTGCCCAAGTCTACCTATTTCGGAACCCGTACATACATTAAGTAAGCACATATTTCCGCAGTTCCATACCGTAAACAAAGCCCTCGCCTTCACCTGTAAATAATCACAATCTCCCGAGTCCCGACCGCCCGCTTCAATCCATCCAGCGGACCACCGTTGTGGGGAGGAAACACCGCACATCCTGAAACGCCGATCATGATGGAGTCAGAACAGCGAACAGCGAACCCAAATCGGAACATGCCGGAAACGGTATTACATGCAGCAGGCAGCAGGTGCCAGGCGAACCGTAAGCGCGCCACGCCACGCCCAGCCAGGCATATCATCCCTCAACGAAGCGCATAACAGTTATGTAGAGTACAGATCAGCAAAAGCAAGAAAGCAACGCGTTCGATATCAAAAAAAATTATATGTCCGCCGTCAAGACGCGAGCCGTTGAACAGTCGAGAAAGCCCTCTCCGAAAACTCGAATCCATGGAGATAACACACACATGAGGAAACCCCAACCCCCAGCCCCGGTCCCCCCACACCGATGGCACGTCACGCGCTCTCACTCGTGTCGCGCATTTCCCTCTCTCTCGCTCTAACGTACGATAGGAAATATCGTAGGCATGCAGGCCCAAATCAGCATTTACCGTGTATCTACATTACTGGGCCAGGCCAGGGCGGAGAACAAGGAAAGCCACACCTGACTGCTCGACGAAAGTCGGGTTAGACAGTGGCGTGGAAACGGAGTGTTTACAGTGGGCGGACATTGCCATGATCCAGATAGGTCGCAAGCAATTAACGATTAAGCAAACGGCAAACGTCTATAATGCCATAGTTTTTTCCGACGTTTCGACCCCACCACCACGAAAACCCACCATACCACGAAAACCCACCACACCACGAAAACACCCGTCTACTGAAGGAACATTAGCCACTCGTGCAAATGTCTACGCCGAGTTCTTCCGACCGCGATTACTTTGTGCAAACATACAAAACCAAAGGCAATCATCCAGGCATACTGGTTTTGCAAGGGCTTTTTGCCAATGCCTCTCCGGGCCGGAAAGCGACGGGTTAAGAGAATGAGAACACACAAGGAGAAAGAGGAGATGGTGGTTGATCGTCTATTATAGATGATGATCCAACAAGAATAAGAAGAAGAAGAAGAAGAAGAAGAAGACTCCGCCATGGCCGCCAACGTTGATTCCCACCAACGTTGATGCCCACCGCTACTAACCACATTCAGTTGCTCCCGCCGACGGGAGTCCTCCTTCACCGTATTTTCATCTGTCTTTTCACGTATTTCCTGGCATTTTGATATTTGGGACGGCTTATGGCAGTCGATGACACGTTCATGAGGGGGAGAGGAGCTATTAGGCACCTATTGACCATCCGGCGGTGACCTATCCAAAAAAAACAGTCGAAAAAACTCCAGTGCGCAGCCATTTGCGTGAATGGCTAATGTCGTCGAGTAGACGAGTGTTTGAGTGGTGGTGGGTTTGAGTGGTGGTGGGGTCGAAACGTCGGAAAAAACTATGGCATTATAGACGTTTGCCGTTAAACAAATAAAACGATAAGAATATCAAAGAACCTCCCAGCGCTGTGGGAAGCCGCAAGCGCCCCACTTCACTTGTTTTTTGTCCAGCTCTCGTCTCCTCTTGGACGTGCCGTCTCGCTGCCGCTGCCGCCGCGCGGTCTCCCACGAGTCACGACCGGCGCTCACGAGTCTGTCTCAGAGCTTGCTTTGACGTTCGCTAGGTAGGGTTGCTAAGCTATTATCCTCAGACATAGCTGTGTTGAATCGGTCCAACCGAGGCGGGGGGTAAATATATTGTAAATACCATTGCTATGGTATTTGTTGCTGCACCGTGAGCGCGCACTGCGTCTTGGTTGCGTTGCGTCGGTGCTGTATTCACAGCGCGTCACTCATGAATCCCGATTCCCGAAACCTTGCAGTAAACTATCTATGCGCCCATCGTCAACGCCATATTTCGCAGGTATGTAGTGTGTACTATACACACATACATACATCGAGAAGGTCTGCGGCCCTGCTCGAAGTTCTTGGTCATCCGCTGGAGTTCTTGATTGGCTATTGGCAAGGGCACGGCTGTGTATTTGTGTACAACAAACCAACCAACCGTCCAGGAAACTTTCTTGAGCTTTTGCTGCCTGAAACCTTGAGCACAGAGGTGTGCAAGTGCTCATCGGTGATCTGGAAGTAAAACGGACGCTAACGGCGAGGATGGGACCGGTGACAGGGACAGGGACGAGGACGAGAGGGGAGTAGTTCTTTGGAGCTGGCGGTGTCGTTTGCTGTATGTATTTACCGGCGGGCTTCAGGTGTTGGTGGGATGTACGCATATTATATGGTAGATGGCATGGTATACCGTACAGTAGCAACGGCCTCGAGGATATTTGGATCCAAGAAATCTATTTCCCGAATGGTGGTAACCCAAACAACGGGGCCGTTCTGCTCACGCTTCACAACCCATCACATCGATCTCCACCGCGCCGGCAGAATCCCGCGGCTGTTACCTAAGGAAACTGATAAACGAGCTCCCGCTACCGAGCTTGCTAGCCACAACTGCATAGGAGAGAACCTGGCTCCTCAACTTCCGGCTTTATCGTCACCAGCTAAACCAACTAACTATTAGTCCATCTCGTTGATGGGGCTTGGCAGGGGTAACTAAGTAGACTTCACGAAGAAAGTTTCTCTTCGCCATCTCTCATCTTGATCTTCAGCATATGTAGAAGACTCCTGCTTGTCGGTGATGATGTTTGCGCGGTGGATGTAGGACTGCTGGGAATGGGTACATACTACCAGTAGTAGGTCGACCGTACATGGTATGGCGAGTATCATACGACCGCCACCAGCGGGTATTGCAAACACTACCCATCACCCTTCGATCCCTCCCCCTTCACGCCATACCCGGGATCGATCCGAATCGTAAAAGGAAAGGGACGCGCAACACGCTTGTGTATATACCAGGAAACGGTCGAGTAGTACCGTAGGTTTTCGCCAGCGTGGACGCTACCTGCTTTTCTATTCCCGGTCCTGCCTGATGGAACCACAACGCGCAGGCTGGTAATTTGCGATGGGCGGGAAAGTAAAGTACTTAAAAACGCATCGCCCTCCCTTCGGATCCACGGCCATCGTCTTGTCTTGTCTTCCCAGCCGTTCGTTCCTTCATCGTCGTCGTCGTGCAATCAATCAATCCGGGTTTCTTCTGCCTCTAATTATACACCTTCGTTCGATACTCCGACCAAAACGCAAAATGCTCGCCCGCTCGCTCCTCGTCCTCCTCGGCGCCTCGACCGCCCTGGTCGCCGCAACGGTTCCCACCTGTGTCACCAGCTGCAAGGAAACTTACAACGACTCCTCCAAGGCCGAACTGGAGGCCGAGGCTGTTTGTCCTTCCCATCCCCTCCATCCCCTCATCCTCCCGCTGACCGCAACAGTGCATTGAGAAATACGCCTCCGTCGCCGACTACGGCGAGCAGCTCGAGCAGACCGCAGCCTGCATCAAGGTCTCGTCCGTATTCGTCGCCATCGACGACTGCATCCTGAGCACCTGTTCGACAGATGATCTGTGAGCCACCCCTCCCATCCCTTCTGCTATCCCCAACTGACCCACGGAACCCACAGCGCGCTCTACGCCTCCGAGGCCGTCGAGGCGATCAAGACTTACGACTCGACGCTGATCGACATCATCTCGACCGCTGTGCCGCTGCCATCTGCCGCGCCCGCGGCCGGCGCCAAGGTCAAGCGCCACAATGGCGAGGACCACTCCGAGAGCGCCAGTGCGAGCGCGAGTGCATCGTACGTGTCCGCGTCCGCCACTGCCGTCGAGGAGGACGCGGTCGCGAGCGCGAGTGCCAGTGCAGTCGAGCTCTCCGAGAACGCCGGTGGGCGTGTACGCGCGGGCGTGGCGGCGGGTATGGTTGGTCTGCTGGCCGCCGCGGTGATGCTGTAGGCGGCGTTGGTTATACTTTTCCCCACCCAGCTCCGTGGCGGTTTTGCGAGGGAGCGAGCGAGCGCACCCACGCACGGAATTCTCCCAGCATTGAGAACAGTCATGTACATACACTACCTCTAGTATACCTGTTAGTCTTGTGTAGATAAATAATACCTAATGCCCTCCTCCCTCCTTCCTCCTCCCCTTCTCCCCTGAGTTTCCCAGAAAACTCGAAGAAGCCATATGTGATCCCTCTTCTCGGAGGATTTAATTCCAGCACGTGGGGCAGCTGGCATGGCTGGCTGCCTGGCGGGTCGGGATTCGGAAGGCCACGCGATCACTAGCGAGTTTCAGACCCCGGCATATATGTAGCCGGCCCCCCGGGCTCTCCCCTCCCCCCTTTTGGTGGGAATTGGTGCCGGGTGGAGTCCTGTCAGGAAGAGCTTCCTGATTCTGATGCTTCGACGGGGACTTCCCTGTGGGTATAGAAACTATATAGAGTGCTGTAGAGTGTGTAGAGTGCGTTACCAACGGGAAAAAAGACTGCGATTCCGCTAGATACTCATGGATACCAACTCATATCGCAATCCCTCCCTATATACGCTACCAGTACATAGGTGGGTATGTAACTACCCCTTGGGGATAGGTGGAGATAGGTGGGGATAGGAGACGACGCCCCCCACGACGATATGTAGAGAACATATGATACATAGAGTGAGCCGATTATGCTCCGGTTAAGCATGGCCCGTCACTCGCGCACGACCTCCTCCGACAATACCGTAAGCATCCGAAGTTCCGAATCCACCCACCGTGCACGTAGTACAACCCACATTACAACCCACAGCCTAAAGCCTACAGGTCGGCCCTTCGGATAGCTACATAGGCTACATAGGCGGAGGCGGGGGGCAATGGGGGGTAATGGGAACTCGCGGGCAGCGGTCGGGGACAGTGGGGACTCGGAAGGAACAGGATACGTATTATACATAACGGTCACGATCCAACAACGTCGAATGATCAAACAACAAACAAAAGAACCAGCCCATATGCAGGGGCGGATACGGTACCTCCAGTACGATCAGACAGAAAACAAAACAAACAAAACAAAACCCAGACCAGACCACACAGACCAACGTCGAGACTCGACACCGGTGGGGCGGAGCGAGAGAAGGGCCTGTCGGCGAGAAGAGGACCTGTTGGCGGGAGAAAACGACTGGTTAGTATTTAGTGGGCATCAACGTTGGCGGCCATGGCGGCTATGGCGGGATCGTCTTCTTCCACTTCTTCCTCGATCATCATCTACAGAAGACCTAGACAATCAACCACCATCTCCTCCGAGCTCTTTCTCCTTGAAACTTGTGTGTTCTCCTTCCCTCGAGTCCTCGACCCGCCGATTTCCTGCCTGGGGGCTGGAGAGGCGTTGACAAAGAGCCCTCGCAAAACCGACCTGCCGCAAAGCCTCGTCTTGACTCTTGACTCTTGACGGTTCCGACAATCACGTACCTACCTACCTACCTACATGTATGTGTGTAAGTGCTTACGCATGAACTCCAGGGCACGAGCACGGTACGGTACCTATCACACGGTATCATATGGCGCTCCGAAGCCCCTGAAGCCCCCCCGCCCCCAACGCAGTGATACAATACAGACGACGGGAACACTTCAACGAACCAATACTAGTGATGGGTTTGAAGCTGCGTGCGTGCCGTGGTGTGGCGTAGACATCCACATATGCAAGACCGGTAGATCCCTAGCACGGACGAGAAGTGAAGAGTGATACCGAATGACCGGCAACTAATGACCGGCACGACTGTACCCCCCTCGCATCGCAACCCACCGTGGCGTCGTCGTCGGCGGCGGCAGGCATGGTCGCCGCCCCCTCCCCTCGCGGTGGGACTGGGAAGAAACTCCGCCCCAGTCGAAGCGGCAGTCGCGTCTGCCGGGTCGCTCCACTCTGGGCTAGGAGGCCAGGAGAGATCGCCGTGGACTTGTGGTCACTGGGCGGTCTTCTGACTGGCTGCGAGGTTGCGTGGCTGCGTGGTTGCGGGATCGAGCAGCTGGGCATGGCTGCGGAGGCTTAGCTTAGCTTTACTGGGCTTTACTGGGCTTTACTGGGCTTTACTGGGCTTGGATGGCTGGCTGGCTGGATGGCTGGATGGATGGCCGAATGACTGGCGGGATGGATGGATGGCTGGATGTATGGATGATGCATGGCTGGACTGATGATGATGCATTGATGACCGGCTGATCGTCATCGGGCGCAGACTCCAGGGACGCAGACTCCAGACTCCAGAGAAGCTGCAGCAGCTGCAGCAGCAGTGTAGCAGTGCAGCACCGACCATTGCAGAATCGACGCATCGGCTTCATCGACTCCATCGGTTCCATCAGTTCCATCCACCCATCCATCGACTCCGAGCACCCATCCAATCCATCCAATCCATCCAACTCATCCAGCCCAGCCCAGCCCAGCCCTCCGCACAGGAAGTGACGCCGCCCCGCCCATTCCCCTCCACCCCTCCGAACACACCCACCGCACCCACCACACCCACCACCTTCCGCCCCGGACTCCCGAAGTCCCGGAGCAGCACAGCCACGGAGCACCAAGCACCTGACCGATCGACCGACGGACTTCCGCCCGCCCTTCTCGGACTTCCACCCTCCTCGGAACTCCGTCTGTCCGTCTGTCCGTCCGTCCGTCGCCCTACGCAGCACGGACATCCACCGTTCCACAGGCCGGTCCGGCACCGGCCGTTTCGGAGCCGGAGTTAGGGTCGGAAACCAGCTTTGCCGCTTCCGCTGTCCGTCCGCCCCCGCCCCCGCCATCCATCAATCAATCCATCCCCGCCGGTCCTCCCCACCCCACCCATCAAGGTGCCATCTCCGCCGGCGTCCCCTAGGTTCCGCGCCAGCCGGCTTTGGTATGGGGTGCGAGAAGTAATACGAGAACCCCCGCGAGGGCATCTCCTCCCCCCCGGTCCCATCCCGCCATCCCGCCATCCCCCCGGCCCCATCTCAGAGCTCAAGCTCAAGCTCAAGCTCAAGCTCCAAAAAAACAAGCTCTCGGGCTCATCGCAGAAGCCATCGGATTCATCATGTAAATCATCGAATGCAAGTGAACTGTCAGTCAGTCTTCTTGAAGGGAAAATGAAATGAAATAATCTTTCTCATTTTTTTTAACTCGAATGGATGGTCCCCCCTCTTCCATGATCCACGAAATGTAGGTGCCATGTACCATGTATCTATCCAACCTCAACCTCAACCTCAACGAAAAAAAACAGCAACCAGTAACCAGTCCCACAGTCCCACAGCACTCGAGCCAATTTTGTAAACATTCGATCGATCGACGGGTAAGGTAAAAGAGTGGAGATGATAGGTATCGCGAAAATCGGAAAAATCGGAACCCAGAATGATGATGATGACGAGGAAACAGAGAAAAAAAGATTATATGAAGAGAAGAGCTTTATATACTCCCCTATTCTGTTTTTTTCTTAAGTTCCCTTTGCTTTATAGTAAAGGCCTTCATCCTTCCCGGAGGTCAGATGGTAAAATATCCCCCCTCTTGCCGGTATGTAGTAGTGGATAACCCACCACTACCCTTTGCCGTAATCCCCCCATACCCAATCCACCGTCCATATCCCCAATACACTCCACAACAACAACGGCAACAACATCTATCAAGACAAACCACCCCCCACACCCGCCGCCAACCCATCCACAACCCCAAAGCCACCTCCCAATCCCAACTATGCTACATACATCTTTCCCCCACATCTTCTCGCCGCAGCAGCCCATCGTGGCATGCAAAAAATAATATCCGGAGCCGACGGGGTCGACTCCATAGGCTGTTAGAGTAATAAGCGCAGAAATCAACAGGAAAACGAAACAAAACCGCACAAAGTGATATCGCCAAGCACACAAGCAAAACCAACCACGAGCAAAGAACCCCCACAACCCAAAATGACACCGCTGAACAGAAAAGAAAGGTAGAGAGAAGTAAACAATCCATCGTGAAAAATTTGCAAAAAGCCAGACCCAAAGAACCCAAAGAACCCAAACCTCGCCAGAGACCGAAGGAAATGCAGAGTGGTAATGAAAACAAAGGAAAGAGGTGTTCGAACAGGGAATGTGAGTGAGAGAGGAGCAAAGATACAGAGCAAACCCAAGAATATACAGTGAGAAGAGGTCGCAAAATCCACACAATGTGAGTAAGAAAAAGTCCACGCAAAAGGAAAAGTAAAAAAGACACCGAAAAGAAGTATGTACGCATGCAACTGAGATAAGGAGGACCTCCGGGCACATTGAGGGGGTTAATTGGATGAGACATCCGAAATTGAAAGCGAATCGCGCCCCTAAAGCCGAACCAGGAAAAATTGACAACCGCTGAGGACCTTTATTCGTCTCCCTCGGCGCTCCAGTGCTGAACTTGAGACTTTTGTGACCAAATGCTAGATCGAATCTCTCGTAATGTTGAAGATGGAAAGAAACAATGCGTGCATGTTGATGGCGAAAGAAATCCAACCGAAAAGATAACCGAAAGAAAGAAAGAAAAGGCTGTCGTCATCCACGAAGGATTAAAGCGAGAGATCTTCCCAACCGCCCCCGACCCACTCCTCGGCGTACTCGTCATCGTCGGCAAAGCAACCCGGATCGGACTCGAAGCTCCAGCTTCTACGCTTGAGCTCCAGCTCCCTCTCCTTGCGTTCACGTTCCTCTTCTTCCTCATCTTCAATGACCCAATCGGACCAAGACTTGGAAGCAATCGAGGCAGCTGCGACGCTAGCCTCGAATGTGGAAGTAGTAGTAGTGGTAGCGATGGGAGAGGGACGGGTCTTGATGTCGATCTTATCGGAGCGAAGCTTGAACTCGGTGGTCGCAGGGGCCGACGAGAACGAAGCACCGAGACCAGAGTCGTAAGAGGCAGGGTGAGCGACAAAGTAGCCCATGTTCTGGGCGTACTCATCGGGCTTGTCCTTGAACATGTCCTCGGTGTAACGAACAGTGTTCTCGTTCTCATCCGGGATGGCAGAGAGCTGGCGAGGCTGGGGAGACTTGTGCAGAGCTTCGGCCCACGAGAAGGCACCGTCCGCGTTGAGCGCCGGGGTCTGGATCGATGGGGTGCGAAGGGGCTCGCGGTTGACGCTCGCAGGGATGACGTCTCTGTCGTCAGTGAGGAAGTCATCAAGACTCTCGTCATCAGTGGTCCAGCTGACAACACGCTCAATGCTCTCACGAAGGTCAGACAGTGAACGCTCCTTAGGGTTCATGCGCAAGCAGCAACGAAGGACCTCGTAGGCGTCGTACGACAGGGTTGGGAAGATGTCAAAGAGAGCCTCCCTGTCGAAGGAGAAGTCGGCGAAGAGAGGGTCGCTGTCCGTCGGGGTAGTGAAGGGGTTGCGGGAAAAGAGAATGTTAAGCAAACAGATCCCGATGGCCCAAACATCAGCCTGCTCCGGCGAGTAGCCTCCTATGGCATCGTACTGCTCGGGAGCCATGTAGCGGTCGCTGCCCACACCACTCTCCTCAGTCCACTGTTCGGTGGTCGCAAGACCAAAGTCACCAAGCTTTACATGGCCGTCCTGAGTCAAGAAAATATTCTCCGGCTTGATATCGCGGTGGTATACACCCTTAGAGTGCATGTGCTCCACCGCAGATACCAGCTGCAGCATAAAGGTCTTGACGTGATCGGTTTCCAAGGGACCACGTCCGAGACGAATGGCCTCGTAGAGATCTCCATTGGGGCAGAACTCAAGAACGAGGAAGTTGTGGCATTCAGTCTCGAAAGAATCCAAGAGGTTGACTATGTGTGGGTGACTACCGAGCTGTTGGTGGAGGGCGGGCTCCTGCGAAAGCTCGTCGACGGAAAGGTCGGACTCGGCAGCAGCCGCGGAGCCTGCCTTCACGCTACACTTGACAGCGACGAGCTCGTTGCTGATGATGTCCTTGGCAAGGAAGACCATTCCGAACGAACCATGGTTAAGGAGGTTGATAGCTTCATAACGTCTGCGACCCCAGTCAGAACGACCATTCAACCCCAATTGCACACCCTCCTAAGCGGGGTCACATACCCTCCAAGCGTCACACCCTCCCTAAAGGTATCTCTCATGCATTCCATTGCGGCTTGGTTTTGTGTTGGACGTTTGAAAATGGGCTTAGTCGATTATGATAGTGGTAAGAAGGTAAGCTATGAAGGCGCTCGAGTATCAATCGAGAGCCTGCAATGCAAAAACACGTTCTATGCGCAGGCGTAATCCGCTAATTTGACAGGTGTTGATACAGCTGGACGTTCCTATCCGGAGGCACCAGACCGAAGTAGAGAGAAAGAGGTGGTGGCGGCGGTGGTAGTGATGGTAGTAGTAGTGGCGGAGATGAAGGCGGAGGCGATAGAGGTAGAGGACGATCAGGAGGAGGAGGAGGGACTCCGAAGCAGAACGCACGCGGTCTGTCCGTTATACGATGTTACAGCACGTTGGACTGTGGAGGTGCTCTTGAGTGCGGTTGCGAGACGTGTCTAGCTTGAACGTGTGCGAGGATATTGGACCGAGAAACGAAAGGGAAATGTGGACGACCTGTTGACCTATAACTCCTGTGATACCGACATGAAAAACAGACGAGGTTGATTGCCTAATAGAGGGAATCGAAAAAAATCGTGGGCGTTGAGAATTCGAAGGAATGAACTAGCTTATGAGTGCATTTGCAGTGCGATGTTGTATTGTATGGACTGAGTAACAGGGGTCAGTGAAGAATCACACAATGGGGAGCGTCCCAAAAAAATGATTCCCATACCAGTTTTAAAGATTGACAAGAAGGAGTAGGAAAGTCGTTAGAAGAGGGACTCTTGCGAGCCCGCGGTTTTAAGACCTTTTCTTCTCCCGAGACGGGTTATTGTCCACACGCGCAAATGATATTTCGAGACGGGCGAAGTTGGACGATCTAGGGGGAACGTTTAACGGTTCGAACACTGTCCTTCCGATTGTCTTTGGCCCTTCTTCCAACGAACGAAGTTTCCTAATGCTCTCTATCGTCTGTGACTGTAGTAGTAGTAGTAGTCGCGTGAAACGTCGGTCGCTGCTGTTGGTGATGGGTCGGATTCCGCGATGTGAGGAGGCGATGAGTCGAATAGGATATCGGGAGCTCGAGCTACTGCTGCAATGGGAGTTTCTGTATCCGGCTTAAAGAGATCTGCTCAGTGGGTGACGGCGATGGGGCAGTGATGGTAAAACTGCTGATTTCGCGGTGTGCTGTGTAGCCTTCAACTTTTTTTTGTTTATGCGTATTGCTGTCGATTTGTTTGATGGGCTGGCGAGCAGAAGGATCTCTATGCTGATGGATTGCAGGGAGGAGACCGAAGTGGCGGGATGACTGGAGGGGTGATGGAGGTTGAGGATCGGAGGAGTCGGAGTCGGAGGGTTGGAGAAGTTGAAGGTGGCGAACGAAGAGGAAGGGGAGGGGGGGTGGGGGGGACGGGGAGATTAACGACGAAGACGGAAGACTACTTTTGACGATGGATGACTCGGAAGGAGAGCTCAGGACTGTCCGGGACAGAGGACAGATGGGTTGGTACGAAGACAACGCAGCAGTAGTAAATGACTGGGGGGGTGGAACCAGGGCGGCGGCGGAACTTGTTGCTGATAAAAGGGTAACTAAGGGAAACGGGAGCAAGTCAAGAACAAGTCAAGTCCAGTCAAGGCAAGTGTCGGAGGAAGGAGGAGAGAGGATGGATGGATGGGGTGGGAATTAGCACGGACACGGCTATGATGGTGTGGATGGAGGCAAGAGAAAGGTCCAGAAGGCGTGTGGACAGTGGACGAGCGAATAGCAATCTCGGACCGAGCCAGAGGATCCAAAATGATTTTTGGTATTTTATTTTTCATTTCCAAAATCATTTCCATTTTATTTATTTATATTCTCAACTTATTACGAGTGTACTGGTCTAGCGCTGGCCCTGGCCCCTCGACGTACAGTCGCAGACTGGTGGACCGTGGTGGTGGTGGTGCCTTTCTTTGCCCTCGAAACTGGACAGCCTGCGAGTATCCATCTGCTCTGCTTTACTCGTACCAAAGGTACTTTCCCATCAAGATTTCCTGGAGCCGATACAAATCTCAGCGTTAACGGAAATAAGGGATCCCAAGCCGGCAAGCACATATCCGAAGCAAGAAGGAGGAGGCCGGGCCTGTCTGGGAGGTGGGTGACGAATGATGTGTGGTGGTGGTGGTGGTGGGTGGGTGGTGGGTGGTGGGTGGTGGGTGGTGGGTGGTGGTGGTGGTGGTGGGTGGTGGATGGTGGTGCACTTGGGTGACCTGTGCGTTGCGGACGCGTGTTGGTATGAAGAAGAGTGGCCAAGAGGGGAAATGCGGACGATTAGGAGGGGGGGCGGAGGGTGGGGTGAATAATGACAGCGCGCTTTACGATTGGCCCTGACGGATTAGCGCTGCCGTGGGCCTGCCTGCTTGCCTGCAAGTGCCTGCAATAACGATCGCTATTTATTATTCGAATTTAACCATTTAGTTCTTTATTTCTTTTTGTTTTTTTCTTTTTGCATATTTTTGTTTTCCTTCTTTTTTTTTAGCTGCAGTGCAGAACCGGGCTCTGATTGAACGGGGGGCGGTGGGGGGAGGGGGGTGTGGGGTGTGGGCGCGACGCCTGCTGAGTGGCCAGCGTGCAGGGAAACCGAGGGTTCAGGGAGAGAGCGAGAGAGAGATGATGTGATGGGGCCAGCCAATCTAAATCCTGCCAGCCTCCGTCGCGTCGTTTCTGACGGCTGCTTGTGGGAATAGATCGTCATGTGGGATTGATGAGCGCACAACCCTCCTCTTCGCCCTCGTCCTCCTCGTCCTTGTCCTCCAGGAGCGAAGAGAGACGTGCAGCTTTACTCGAGGTGCCAGCGTCCCACCACCACCGTCCACCGTCCACCGTCCACCGTCCAGCGAGCGTCTCGTGGGGAGTTACTGGCACACCGACGAAACGCCGCTAGAACGCTAGACCTCAAACCCGCATGCATCCACCTGCAAGCCAGATGTGGATGGATGGATGATGGATGGATGGGCGAGGAAGGAAGGTTGGGGTTGGGGGCAGAGCTATTCTTTGGAGGTGGTTGTATGTGTGCATATTACCTACTTGCATAGACTACTTGTCGCTGCATCACGCAGTCCAAGTATGGATGCATGCCAGAGTGCCTGATCCCTATAGGCACCCTATAGAACGAAAGAAGGAAGCAAAGGAAAGGGGGGCGAGTCCGATAGGATTGTATGCGGGGAGCGAGCACACGAGCGGGCAAACGTATGTAGAGCACCGAACCTACTCTACTCTACTCCACTCTAGAGTACTCTCCATCACACTTCCGCATGTGCTGTTCTGTACTGTGCTGTGCTGAGCTGTGCGGTGCTGCAGTGTACACCACTCCGCGTAGGTCAGAGTACTCTACTCTCCGGTACATGCTCGAGCCGTCGGCCCACGGCGTTGCGTTCGGTCGGTGGCCCGGTGGGCGGAATGCCACGGAACGCGATGGAAAGAAAGAATGCAGCACCACGACTGGCGGCGGCGGATGGTTACCTACCAGGTACCTGCTCTACGCATACCTACGAAATATCGGCCGACGATGGCATCGCATAAGCAAGCAAGCAAGCAAGCAAGCTCTGCATGCCAGGTGAGTACCGCAGTACATAGCTCAGAAAAAAATGTTGGGAAGCGAAAAGGTATCATGCGACATCCATCATCATCTGCGTGATTCACGACGACAGACAGACAGACACAGCCATGGATGACGAAGCGACGACGACGGTTTGGTTTGGCTTTGCTCGGCTCTCGGAATACGGATGTGGAAGTCGTCGGACACGAATAGATAATGGATTATGGATTATGGCACCCGGCGGCAATAACTCCGCATTAGTTATTGGATATGGCTGCCTTTGTTTTTCCATCCATCTATCTACGGAGCGAGGTTTCCCGTTCATCACCCGTTCGAACTTCGAACTCGTCACTGTTCGTCGAATCGACGGATGTGCATCTCTCCTCCAGCCGTTCTTTCACTGCTGCAGCGCTGCTGCTGCTTCCGACCGCTCGCCGGCGGGCGGGCGCAGAGAGCCGCAGAAGCACACGCAGAAGCAAAGCAGAAGCAAAGCAGAAGCAGAAGGAACATGTCCGAAATCACCAGACGGATCTCGCCATCTCGACATCCCATCCAAGCCGTTATGTACGCTACACTACGGTGACCACTGCCCAACACGGCTCACCTCTCACGGAGTCACGGACTTTTATTTCTGGTACTCTCCACTCTAGGTTGGATGGACATTGGACGTACGTACGTAAATACCCGTCCATCCATATCCATCCATGATGATCCATCCTATTCCTACGAAAAAAAATCCTCCAAAAAAATATAATCAGCAATTGTCCTCCACCAGCCGGCGGCTGAGTTAAGTTGCGCGAACGATGTGTGTGTGGGTGGGTGAGTGGATGGGTGTGGCCATGATATTGCACGACCGTGGCTGTGAAGGAGCGCTGCAGTCGCATTTGGAGCCGGAGATGGCAGCAGCCCGGCCGGCCGGGCCAGCGAGACGACGAGTCGCGACTCGCGAGCCTCGAAACAGACACTCCCATCTAAGCAAAACAAATTGCCTCCCAGGCTCCCAAGATTTCTGTTGGGGGCCCGGGGGGCGGGGGGGCCACCGAAATAGGGATTCGTCAGGCATGCCGTCGATGTCGATGTCGATGTCGCCACACCTTCTTTGCTATGATCATCATCATTATTATCACCACCACCTCCGGGCTCCTCCAGGCTCCTCCTCCTCCACCATGACCTTGCAGCCAGAGCAGAGCGGCAGAGCACAACCTAACCAACAACAAAAAAATACGTACATACACACTCTACCTACATATGCACGCGTAGGGAGTTCAAACTTCAAACCCACAAAGAAACAAAGAAAGAAGGAAAGCCCTGCGTCTACTCTAACTTCACCGTACACCGTACGTACCCCAGATGGCACGTACTGGCAGAGCCTGCCGGATCTATCTATGTATATTCACCTGCCTGCCTGCCTGTGAGGCTGTGACGGTCTTGCAGGATGGATGGATGGGCGGGCGGGAGGTGGTGATGGACGTATCGCTCGCGAGTCGCTCGTTCGCGCCCATGTATGTCAGAAACGGAAAAAGAAACCGGCAGGCAACAAGCAACATTGGACATAGGCGTACCTAATACCGACATGCTTACCGGTACTTGAGGATCTATATCAAAATCAAAATATCTGAAGCAGAAGAAGCAGAAGCAGAAGAAGAAGAAGAAAACCAGATCGATCGTGAACGGTGAGACCCTATGATACTACGGTATCTCCGTACAAAGTTACCACGACACGGCTTCCCACCACTCCGCCTGGTCATACCTACTCTACTGCCTTACTCCCTTACTCGACGCGGCAACGTAGAGTAGAGTATGTAGCAGCATCTTCAGCAGCCTCGCCGCCACAAATTACAATCAGCAAGAGGCCGAAAGTGCGATCGCGATATCGATAACGACGGATATCGTGTGCCCCGTTGCGTTGCGGCCCCGTAATCCGTTGCTATGGCTACATGCCTAGAGTACTTACACACCGCACATCACATATCGCACATCGCACAACACAACACGAGGCCTACCTATCATACCCATATCTAGAGTATCATACTGGAAGTTACCGGGAGTAGCTATGGCGATACTTCATAGTGGGATCTGCGTTCGCCGTCCCACCACCACCACCACCACCAGCAACCCTCCAACCTCCACCGCCGGCCACAGTCCACCGTCCACTGCCTTCCCCGCAGTATCGTCTAAAAAGCAAGAAAGAAAAAAGGAAAGCACAGAGGAAAGAGGAACAGGAAAATTGAGCCCACCCTCCCACCCCACCCCACGAAAGCACGAAGGCGCTCCCTGCCTCTGCCTCTGCCTGCCTTTCACCATGCCGTCCTCAAGACCCCCCCCCCCCCCTTTCCCTGCCGTTACATACTCCACTCCGCTCTAACTCTAGAACAGGTCTGCTCGGTGCTCGACGGGCGGTCGGGCGGGTGGGTTGGGTGGTCGTCACCCTTCCCTTTCCTTTCCTCGTCCTCTCTCGCTCCCTCCCCCACAGTTTCAGTGAATGTTCCGCAGGCCAGGGCCTTGTTGTCTCGCTAACTACTAGTAACGCTGCCACGCTGCCACGCTGACACCTCTTGGCACGCTGAGTGTTTCGTTGAAGGTACCTAGATGAAGGTAGGTGATGTGGTGGGATGGGATGTGATGTGATGGGGTGTTTGGGTTTCGTCGTTGTAGCTATCAGAGTAGTGCACTTGCCTATCTTATCTTCCTGAGAGAGATCCCCCCTCTATCGATAGCTGGTGGTGAGTGTGTTGAACGGATAATACTCTACGTCTGTGTAGGTAGAGAGCTCAGAGGTACTCCACCTGACGTATATTTCTTGTCGCTGCTACATATGATAGTCCTACACAGGTACTCCTGCATCCCGTCCGGCTATATATATAGAGTACCTATCTCTAAAAGCGAAGGATCATGGTAACTATCATGAAGTAGAGTACCAACATACATACTCGAGTTTTGGGTAGATGCGGTGGGTACGTAGTCCATCACTGAGCAGTGAGCAACCTCCCAGACCCGAACCCCGACGCCGGGCCCTCCCCCCTCCCCCTCTCGGGAGTTGCACTTTAGACAACAGCTGATGATGGTTATCCGATATCGATCGCGAACTGGTCCGCGAGAGCTACGGTGGTACCTACTAGGTAACCACTGCCCAAAGTAGAGTAGACTAACTACCGGTACGTACTCTATCTGATTATCAGTTTCCGTCCGAGAATGTAGATTTGTACCGGTGCTCAGGTGGGTGTGAGAGTGATACCGTACTGGGCGTCTCTGGAGTCTGGAGTCTGGAGTCTGCTGCACACCCGGACGATATGGACGATGGACGATCCAACTTCCCCATGGCGGTGTTATGTAGCTGTTGGGCCTACCTGCCTGAGCATATACATACATAATAGCCGGCGCGGAAGGAGTAGGGATACCGTATGTACCTGGGCATGGAAAGACGGTCTCGACTCGGACTCGACTCGGATGTGCTTGCCCTTTGCTCTGGGCGTGCAGACGGAGCACACTGACAGACGGACAGACAGGCAGACGGACGCTGCCCGTCGGCGGCTTGGTGTCGATGTCTGCACCGGACTGGCTGGCTGGCTGGCTGGACTGGCTGGCCGGATGTTTGTTCTGTTTATTGTACCACCACCACTCGATGCAATACAGCTTTGTCTGGCTGGTTGATGCGGTTCGAACTCTGAAGGTACCTCTGCGGCGCGGCGGCTGCAGACTGCTATTGAGACTCGGTATGTTTCTGCCGCGTGGTTGCGTATGGTACCTTCCTGTGCACCTTGCTATGTAGAGCACCTACACATAACGGGGCACTCATCGGGCGCCCGATCGCAAGCCCAAGCCCAGTCCAAGCCCAAAACCAAAGCCGCGGCCGCCCGTCGGGCGTCATCGGACACCCGCGAGTCGGGACGTCACCAGCAGCAGTCGAACGAGAACGAGAACGAGAAAGGCCTAGACTCTGCTGCGACATGTTATGTAGTACAGGGCTCCGCCACTTTGCCACCTCCACCTCCACCTCTACCACCGCCGCCCATCGCCGCCGCTGTCGCGGCCGCCGTCGCAGCCCTGCGCACGAGTTCCCCACCGAGCGAGCGACGAGACCGCGATGACGCCACCTGACGAGCGACGGTCGCCATCGCCCGCCATGGCATCGCCCGCCCGCACGCCCGGCTTCCGCTCCGTACTAGTAGCTACTGGCACCTCCTGGCACCTACTGGCACCGACTAGAGCAGCGTGTGATGCCCGGCCGTTACATAACCAGCACCCACCAGTCCCACTAGCACCCACTAGCACAGCTACGCCATCTCCATCTCCATCTCGTGATGCCCGCACGGCGCACACCACTCGCAAGTTCGTAACCATCCATCCACCTGGCAGGCTGGCACCGACCTATCGAGCGACCTATCGAGCGACCGGCCGGACGGTCGGGTGCGACGACGTCGCGTGGTCCCGTGTCATGTGCCAGCCTGCCTGCCTGCCAGTGAACTTTGAAGTGGTCACACGCAGCCTCCTCAACCACCACTTCCACCACCACGCAGCCCCTCCTCCACGCAGCCCCTCCTCCACAACCACGACGCAGCCCCTCCCTCCCTCCGGCCCTGCATTCTTCCCAACGGACCCAACGGAAACGGAGACGTCGGCTCCTACACCTTCCCTAAACAAAACAACCGGAAAGGAAACAGCACCGCATCGTGTGTACGCATGGTCACTGGTCGTGATGGATGCTACATAGATGGTGGATGGGCTATGATGTGCACAATGAATTATGGAAAATGGAAATGGAAATGGCAGCGGCAGTTCCAACGGAGTTATGGCCATTGACGCTGGCTTGGTGTCCCTAACAAAAAGAAAAGACAAAACAGGACAGCTTGGACTGGAGGAATGCGACGGAATAGGAATGGATTATGGGTTATGGAATAAATCATAAGACAGGATGGGCCCTTGGAGACGGATAATTACTAGTACGATATACTCTATCCGAGTAGAGATAGAGATAGAGATAGAGATAGAGATAGATAGAGATAGAGATGAAGGCAAGTACCGCATGCATGCTAGATAGAGGAGAGACACATGGACTGGGAATAAGGAATACCGACCGATGGGAGCGTGAGGCTAAGGGCAAGTTGCAACAACAAAGAAAGCCACCCTCCACCCTCCACCCTCCACCCCGATGAGCACAAAGTAGAGTTAAACAGATCTGGTGGAAAAAGGACCCGGGCGGCGGGCACTGGATTCGGGCGGTTCACTGCCATCGCCATACCTACGGCACCTACCCACGATCGAGTGAGCACTGAGCCGTACCACAATACCGGGCCAGTGGCCAGCTCCAAATGTCATGATAAGCTTGAAGTCTTGAAGTCTTGAAGCTTGAGAACTCCGGCGGTGGTGTTCTTTCCCTCTTCTGTGGCGTTTCGCCGAGCTGGTATCACACATACATAGTCTAGATTTCGGCCGTAACTATGCATGGCCCATACTCTACATAGCCCACGGCCCACGAATTCTAGATACTGACGATCATCATCCACAGCAGCCCTGAATCCCCCTCCACCCAAACCTGATCACCACCAGCTAACGCAAGCCACATTTGCACTCCACTCCACTACCTATATGCACCGTCTGTGCGCTGCCTCAGAAGTTATGTATCTGATCATCATCGCCCGCCCGCTTTACCCGCCCATCCAGCCCATGATCCATCCATCCAGCCCATCCACTCCGAACGAAAGGGTGTGAAGAAGGGTGTGAAGTGAAGTGAGGTGTGAAACCAGTTCAGTTCCCTCCCACGCACACACCCACACCCACACCCACACGCACGCACTCGCATAACTACACACACACACACACACGCATACTCGCACGCATACTCGCACGCATACTCGCACGCATACTCGCACAGACCCTGGGGCCTCTCGTGGGGTGCGGGGTAAGCCCTCCAACTCCACACCGTCTCCACTCCTCCTCCTTGAGGAGGAGGCCGTCCTGTGCGATCTGGGATTCTGGGTCTGGGTCTGGGGGGCGACACCGCGACGAGAGGAAAGGGCGCAGATGGATGTTAGCTTTGTCGTGTGTGTCGTGTGTGGTGTGCATGTGGTACATGCCGGTGGTGGTGCTGGACGGAGAAGGTGCCAGTACAGTATGTACAGTAGAGTACAGTACCGGTATGCGGAGATCAGGGGTTGTGTTACCAACAGGCTACACTGCTACAGCACCTTTATTTTATTTTCTGAGTTTATTTTTTGAGAGAGGGTGAGGTGAGGCGACTCTGGCGAGGGCCAAGCTCTCTCGAGTCTTGAAGGGGGATTGGGAGGACTGCGAGGACCGGGAGTGACTTTTACCGCTCGCTCGGCGTAAGCTGCAATCGTGGGAAATCATCGCGGACGACATGGGAACGACATGGCAACGATGTGGGAATGATAATAACCCGCAACCCCAACGCTTCTGCCTTCGAGGCTCGAGGCTCGAGTTCGGAACTTCGTCATACAGACTCCAGCTGGACTCTGGAGTCTGGAGTTCTTGCTTTCCACTGCCTACTTTTAAGCACTGTTGATGCCATCCCCCCCCCTCCCCCCCGGCACTGGTACATACCGGCCCGCACCGCCGCCGACACGTGACGTCATCCATGAGGTAAGTTCCGTTATGTACTCTACATACACACAATTCTCACGATGAACGGAAACATTTTCGCTGATTTCGACGGCAGGATACGCCTTACGCTTCACATACACAGCAGCAGGACTGCTTGCCCGGAGGATGCTGGGCAGTAGGAGTGAATCGGCTGACCGAACGGCGAACGAACGTTTGAGTCCCCCATCCCCCATCCCCTTTCCCCCCGCTCCCCGGGGAAACCGAACGGAGCAGAGGTCCTGATGCGATGAGGCATGGGGGCTATCAAGGGCTATCATCGATGCAAGCAAACAAGTTACGAGCATCTCCCCGGCCAAAGATCCGCGATATCCTCGCTCGCTCGCCGTTTAACTCTACTCTACCTGCTTGTGTACCTACCCCCAAGCACTTTTCTTTTTTTCATAAACGAAAGATGAAGAAGACGAAGAAGTGACAGCTGCGGTCCTGCGGAAACATGCGCGGGACCATGTTACCATGATGGGGATCCTCAACGGCGCCGCTTCTCTCTCTCTTTACATGCTCTCTCTCTCTATATGTCTCTCTTTACTCTCGAAAGGTACCGGTACGTACTACATAGGGTGAAACAATCAAAAAGCAATACAAATCAAACATAACCAACTCGGGTATCGCGGACTCTATGTATTCCTCCTCCCCTCCTCCCCTCCTCCCCCGCTGTTGCGATGGATAGGTACTTACATACAACTTCTATCCCCACTCCAAAAACTCTGTATACCCCGCCAATCATCCAGACCGCTCTTCTCGAGCGGCGAGCCCGGCGCCCGCAGGCTTAATCGCGCGGCATGGAGATATGTATGATATGTATGTATGATACGTATGTATGTATGTAGGTGGGTATGATATGTAGTGGCTCGTTTGGCTATCGTTTGGCTGCCGTTGCTGCTGTTATTGATGCCGTCGGGGGGATCGCTCCACCTCCACCTCCACCTCTCCACAGTCAGCAGAGTGGGAGTTGGGAGTTACATAGGAGTGGGAGCACGACGACGCGCGCGTGGTAATCATCAATGCAAAACGTCAGCGTGCAGATCGCGGCCTCGATTCGCTCCCCGCATGCTATTCGTGAGTGCTGGGGAGGGCGAGGGCTTGGGAGGCGGAGTTGGTGGGAGTGGCAGCGAGAGGCGCTGCGGGTTGGCTACGGTCCTGCGGTCCTGCGGATCTATGTGGGGAAACGCCGCGATGTGGTGCCGCTGCAGGCCTGTGCAGGTGAGGGTGCTGGGCTGGCGAGGGTGCTGAGGGTGCCGAGGCAGTGCCGAAGTTCGAACTGGCTGCACGCCGCACGGCAGTCGGTGGGATTGGGCAGTGAGGTCGCCGCCGCCTTCGACCTTCGCCTTTGACTTCGACCTTCGTGCTTCGGGTACATGGTGTTTCCTGGGAAGTCGGTGCCGGAGCATGGAGGGGAATGCGGTTGGAACTTGGTGCTGCCGGTGGTGCTGCCGGTGATGGATCATGGTAGTGGTGATAGTGGTGATAGTGGTGATAGTGGTGATGGTGGTGGTGGTCTATCCCATCCAGGCTGCAGATCATCATCATGTGAGGGGTTTACGTTTCGAGTGAGCGGGTGCTGAGTGCTCAGGTATATAGACTGTAGACAAGACTGTAGACAAGACTGTAGACAAGACTGTAGACAAGACTGTAGACAAGACTGTAGACAAGACTGTAGACAAGACTGTAGACATGCGCGTGCCAGTAGTTGTTTACCGTGCACCGTGCAGTTAGGTGAGGCAATACTCGTACTGTATGTACTGTATGTACTGTACGTACACTACTCTATGTGCCCCCCGCCCCGCAGTGGGGTGACGATCGCGAGAGGTGGAGGTGGAGGTGGAGGCTGGGCCGCTGGGGGGTTTCCTACATACACAGATACATACATCCATAGCCCAGCCATCTGCGATTTTCGTATGATACGCTACCTACATACGTGCCCTACATGCCCTACATTCTACAGGGAGCAAGCTTCAAAGGTATATTCCGTCCCAACATTACCGTATTTACAACTTACTGGCGGTACCCAGCGGGTGGAGAATCGATATATTCACTACCTCTCACTCGCGGCGACTCGGCGAGTGCACAATAACAACAACAACAATAACAATAACAACAACAACAATAACAACAACAACAATAACAACAACAACAATAACAACAACAACAATAACAATAACAACAGCCCACGCACGCACGCTGTTAATGCGTCCAGCGTTAATGAACTCAATCGGTATATATCCTCCTCCGATCCGAGACCGTGGTCCGTGGCGGACGCGGACCAATTGGAAGATGTATATAAGGGCAATGACGTCCGCGGAACGAACGGACAGGAGATGGTGAGAGTGAGAGTGGGTTGTCTGGTTCATCCAATCTTCGATGCTGTAGGTACGTACGTAGGTAATAGGGTATTGCAGTCTTAAGCTTTTTTGTCTGCCAGCGAGGCATAATATCATTTATGTATCATATGTACTTACCTATCGACAGTCGACTCCGCCCATTGAGCGACCAAACCGGCGGGAGCTGGAGGAGGCGTATCCATCCATCTAGAAGTAGTATGGACCGGACTGTGCTGTGCTCTGCGAGAGTACTTATATACCAAAGTACCTACATACCAAAGTACCTCCTTGAGTACTTGCTTGCTCAAGCACCCACTCGACGGTCCATTAATAATGGCGAGCACCTTACGGAATCAACCAATCAGCAAAGCCAAAACAAAAACAAAAACCCCTCGTGCCCCATAATATTATACATACTCTTCAGGGAGGAGAGTCCGAGAAGAGCGGCGTCTTCCAGAAGTACATAAGCATGTACTTACCTTACATACCCTACCTTACCTTACCTTACCTTACCTATGCTGCTATGTAAGTAGAGGACGGTATGTATGCAGACTTCGCCCGGAAGCACCACGCCAGTTCCCCAGATTCGCAGGCTCGCAAATTGCTCCTGCTGACAGCCCTTCTTTTTCCTTCTATTATTCATTTTTCCTTCTATTTTTCTTTTCTTTCTTTCGGCAGCGTCATCGCCCGATCTCGCTCCCCCACAAACGCGGATCGCCCCAGGACCCCAATCGGAAAAATCCCCATGTTCCTGTTTTATTTATTTTTTGGGGGGTGGTGACGGGGGGGGGGGGGTAGGGTAGGGGACAAGACATCTCGTGCCGAGAAGCGATACGCAAAGGTAACGTGATGCGATCTGATTCGGCCACGTCGGTGGGCGAGGAAGATACCTACTAACCAGGTGGATAGATGAAACCGGGTCGAACACGGCCACCACTGCTACAGCTACTACCACGGGAGGTGCTGGTGAGCTGTCATTACATACCTTTCCATTCGAGCGATACCCACACCCATACATACCATACCGTACCTATATACTCACGCTACATACGTGCAGCGCCGGTACCGGCAGCTAACTGCTAAACGTGCGATTAACTTGGCGGTGCTGCTTCCGTGCGTACCATTGGGCGTAGGGACGGCGGTCGAGGGACGGAGAGAGGGCGCGGTCTGTCACACGACTGGATACATACGATAGTTACTTGCCTATCAAGCATCGATATAGTACTCGTAGCTCGCAGGCATCGCGCTCTATCGGCGCCTGTTCGCTGGCCGAAAATGAGCTATACTAGTAATCTCGAGCTACGTCGTGGCCGTCGGTCGGTCGGTTGGTGCATTAGGGCCCAGGCTGCATGACGAGCAGTGAGTGAGTGAGTGAGAGCCCATGAGGCCACGGATCGCAGGATGCCGACGAGCGGCGAGGGAGCTCACGGCGCCCCACCGCGGTATTTGCTCCTTCCCTCCATGCCTTCCTCGACTTCGTATAATATGCACCCGTCGCGTGGTCTGAGGGGGGGAACGGAAGGTTTGCACATATGCATCTCCAGGAAACAACTCTCCCGTCTCCACGCATCAGTGAAACGACGACGACCGCCAGCAGGTCCGCATGCATCGTCCGGACCGGTAGGTTTCGCAACTCGTTCGATCGACAGCGGAGCAATGGACCGGAAGCGCAAGAAGAAGAAACAGAAGGATACGAAACCCTCCCTTGGACCACGAAGCTTGAAGCTTGAAGGAGCATCCCGACATTCCTGCCACGCATTTGATCGCTTCTACGTATGTGCGGTAGAGTACAAACATGCGAGTGCGAGACCACCGTCGACTATGGCGATGTACGCGCAGTCTCCGTGCAACCATTGGCCCGGTCACACCGTCACAGTAGACGACCCGCCCACATTCCTGGCGCTCCGTGGCCGCATGAAATCCACAGTTGCCGGCCGGCTGGGCACGCAGAAACCAAAATCCGTGCAGGTGCAGGTGGACCGAGCTGATAATTGCCTGATGGGGCAATATTGGGGGACCTGCTTGCCTGTATGTATGTAGGAAAGAGTCTATCTAGATGGAAAGAGCGGTACATACCGCGAAACATGGCATATCACTCCGATAGGTAGCAGTTTCGTGCAGCGTCTCTCTCTCGCAGCACCCATCGATCGGCCCCGTGAGTCGCGAGTCGCAACACATCCAAGCCCCCGGGAGAACTCGCCGTCCCGGACGAGCTCAGCGGCTCAGCCTGAGCTGCGGTAGTGAAACTGTGAAACTGTGAAACTGTGAAAGAAAGAAAAGAAAAACCTGCATCAGTGTCGGGCAATCGCTTCCCCAGGCCCCTTACTTGCACCGCGCGGCGTTCCCGCACATGTAGATACTGGAATCTGCACATTACTGCATGCTGACAGAGCGAGCCCGCCAAGAGGGTACCGGGAGGAAATAGACGTGAGTTAGTGAGTGAGTGAGTGAGTGACGGTCCACGGGCTCTTCCTCAACCACTAGATTGGAGGGAAGCGTCGGACGCAGTCATGGCGCCCTCGGTCAGATACTTCCACGGGTGAGGCTGTTGGGGCTAGATTCGCACTGACTGAACTAGACTCCGGAGTGACGGAGTCTCACGTGAGGCTTCAGAGCGTGCTATGTGTGATTGGCATCTCGCGAGGGTAGATGATGAAGAGCACATAAGTAGGTACATACAAGATACACTGCATTCCTCGTTTTTGCGGACGGCTCTTTTGCCAACACCCTTCCAGGCCGGAGGCGGGATTGAGAGGAGAGCGCATACAGAAGAAAGAGGAGATGTGGAGGTTGATCGTCTGGGTACATATTCGGTAAATGATGAGAGAGAAGAAGAAGACGACCCCGCCATAGCCGCCAACGTTGATGCCCACTGCTAGCCACATTCGTTCGCTCCCGCCGACAGCTCCTCCATAGCTCCTTCATAGATCCTCCATAGCTCCTCCATAGCTCCTCCATAGCTCCGCCATATCGTCCTCACGGCGGGGAGGGAGCGCTGCCATCGCTCCAGGAGCTCCTCCGCCTGCCTGCCTGGAGAGCTGGCTGTCTGGAGATAAAGCTGGCTGCTGCTGCGGTATCGCTCTCCGCTCCCAGTCCACTCTACTAGTACTATCACAGAGTCCCGGGTCTCCGCCTTTCTCCGCCGCGCGCTGCGGGCCTGCGGTGTCCGTGCCCGCCGCTTGCACGTACAACTTCGGGCATCGGGCATCGGGCATCGGGCATTATTTATCTAGGTGTCTACGTGGATGTCGATCTAAACCCCCCTAGCCAATACATCATTCTATGTACCTACCCCACCCTGCCGCCGCCGCCGCCGCCGCCCCAGGAGCGCACGGTTACGCACGGGATATCACTCATCCACATCCACATCCACATCCCCCCGGATCTGCGTGATCTAGAGCACTTTACCGGAGACGGGACTGCGCAACGAATCATATGCGGAGTTTGTAGATTCGGTTCGCAAAGCGTGCGTGCGTGATTACAAAGTGATGGGGAATAGTTACGGATGTACCTAGCAAAAGAAATCAAAAGGGTGGTATTTGTCCGCTCAAAGTCAAGAATCAAGATACGGTACTCAGACTCGCTCAGTCGCTCAAACAAAAACAAAGCAAATTGCCTAACAGATAATGCCCCCAAAATCCAAAAATCCAATCCAAAAAATCCAAGCTCCCAAGCTCCACTAGCCAAAAACCGATCTCCTGTTCGTCGGTGTCCTATCGCCGTCTTCCGTCGCGGTTGTGGTCGATTGCATAGTGAGCGCACTCTCAGTCCTACTCTCTATTCCGAACGCGCTATTGCTCCTCTCGCCACTGCCGCGCCGATACAGCCAAGGCGGCACGCCGCGCAGCTCGGCACACAGCCAGTACTCGACGCCCCAGCGGTATCGCAGCCCCTCCCACTCAACGACCACGCCGCGCAACGTCGACAGCACGGCGTAGACGAGACACCACCGGCCTTCGCGAGCCTCGATGCTCTTTGTCACGATCTTACCCGTGCCGTAGCTGCGCTCAAACTCTTTGAACGCCTCGACGAACCGGTTGCTCCCGCCGCCGGCACCGACGTTGTACGAGTCCAACAGGACGACGCTGATGGCCTCGCGGCTCTGGCGGCGGTCACGCAGCGGTGAGCCTTCCGGTGGCAGCGAGGGGAGCCGCGGGAGTGCCGCGGCGGGGTTGGTCGAGCCGTCGAAGTCGGTGAGCACTTGGGATAGCAGTCTTCGGTACGAGTCGGTGCGGTCGGGGGTCTCGTCGACGAGCAGCTCGTACAGTGCCTGGAAGTCGTTCTGCAACATCAGGATCATGCCGCGCGAGAAGTGCGCGGGCGGCCACGACTTGACGCGGAAGATGGCCGTGTAGTATTGGATCACCCAGGTGCGGAACTTTTCGTATGCCCGGCGCCAGGCGCGCGGTATGTCCATTGCGTCGGTGCGACTGCTGCGGCGCGCGCGTTTCGGCCGGAGGTTGGAGAGGATCGGGAAGGTGAAGGTGTGTAGCGAGTCGATTGTGGTGTATACGCGTGCCTTGATGCTGAAGCTGGCGCGCTCGAGGAGTTGCCGCGTCGCCGGGGACACGAAGGTGAAGTCCTGCAGTGAGCAGAGGAAGTCGTAGCGACCAGCGCCGTGGATAAACGCTTCCGTGTAGATCTCGGTCCATTGGTAGCGCTCCGAGATCATCAATGTGTCGATGAGTCGGTGCGGGGCATGCCGCGGATCGTCGATGGCTTTGCTACGCAGCCAGGTTTCGATCTCGCCGAGTGTCTGTTCGCGCGTGGGACGCGCTTTGATGTCCGCGTTGGAGCCGAGCACGTACATCTCCATCCGGTCCATGAAGTCGCTGAGCATGCTCGCGCCCAGCGGGTCCTCGAGACAGATCACATGGCGGCCGAAGAGGTAGGCAAAGAAGTTGCGGGTTGCGATCAGTTGGTTCAGCAGATCGTGGAGGTCTGACTCCGAGTCGAGGCGACGTGTGTCTGCCTCCTCGGAAGGGTCGTCGGAATCTTCCCATGGTGGGAAGTAGAGGATGTGTTTCGCGTCCTCCTTTGCGAGGAGCTGGCGGTGCAACGCGCTGTGCTCCTGCCATCGCTCCGACAGCGCGATCGTGAAGAACTCGGATTTCTTGCAGAGCGTTGCGCCGGAGAGTTTGAAGGACGGCGCATAGCGATGGGATTCGGACTTTGAACAGAGATATATCAGGGTGTCGCCCGTGGGGAACCAAAGCTCATTCGCCTGTCACAAACACAAATCAGCTCCAGCCCCCCCCCCCCCCCCCCCCCCAGCGACATCGTCTCTCACGGTATATACACACCTTACGCCCATACACAAGCGGCGTAACATCAAGCTCCGGCTGCCCGCCGCCCCGGACCTGTCTAAAAACCCTTGCCTTGGGTATCTTCCACCCGATCTTCAAGTCGTGCTCTTCGTCCTCCTCCTTCACCGTTGCTGTCGCCTTGCGCACCATCCCCTTCGGCGTCGCGGACCGAATCAACTCCTCGTCCCGCTCTTCCACGACCGACGAGACCGCCGGTGGGCGCAAAGCCGTCCACCGAGCCAATCTCGACTTCGACCGTTCCGGAGGCGGCGACACATCCTGCCCACTCGTACCGCCCCGGACTGTGACTACTGACGACGGCGCTTTCTCGCGCGGATTGAGGACGCTGAGTGAAATCCTTCGCGCGAGCCGTCGTACTGTCGCCCCGGACTTTTCGAACAGCGTGCTGGACCGGCGCGGGATCGTTTTCGCGTTCGATGCCATCTCGGTAGGTAGGTGGATACCTGCTCGTGAATAAAATAGTGTTATGATTATTGATATCCGTTCATGAGGTGCGCGCGTCCGACGTTCCCTTGCTCTGGGCGTCCAGATATATCATGTCACAACCGTCTCTCCCCCCCGCCCCCTGCCCCCTTGTTTTCTGGTTGCTGGTATCTAGTGGCAACCAATCAGTTCCGCAGGCGTTGCAGTCTGCCCCATCGGCAACCCGTCATGTGTATAGTACCCGTAGAAGGTGGAGAGCGAGAAGTGGTCTGTGTCGTCAGGCATTCTCTGCCTTAGGTCTTCAACCGCAAACAAGTTTTCCCTTCACTTGGTCCCATCTCGTCTGGTCTCGTCTCGCCCCGCCTCGCCAATCGCTCGGCGTGGCGAAGCCATTGGCTGCAACCCTAACCCAACCCACTCCGCCTGCTGCCCACTGCCCACTGCCCACTGCCCACTGCCCACTGCCCAGCGGAGCTGCGGAGGACCCCATCTGTCTATGTGAAACACGGCCTCGATTGGCCGTAGGCCCGTAGACATGCCCGACCAGCTGCCCTGTCCCTCCGAACCTCGAGGCCGCACGTTGGAGTCTGTAGGGCTCGTGGGCTGATTCTGGTCCCCCTTGGCAACCGCTTTTTGACATCCTCGCTTGCCGCTGGACTCCGCACATCCCTTGTCCGAGACAGCTTGGCCCCTCTTCCCCCGCCTGCAGGTTCGCGTTTTGGCCTACATATAGTTATACGCCATAGGTATCTATGTAGCCGCGCCTGGCCGATCGCCGTGGCCTTACGCTGCGCGGATCAAACACGGGGGAAAAGCGGGCTTCCACCGTAGAAATGGTCCCAGTGGTGGTGCTTTTCCGCCTCGCCGTGGGAGGGGAGAGACTGCCCTAAGAGGGAGCGGGTGTGCATCGCCGATAGGGAGCCGCTGCATAAAGCCCTCACTACCCGTGCCAGTATCCGAGGACGGCCCGAAACATCATGACCACCGGGACTGGCATAGAGCCAGTGCCTTCTAAGTTCTTCTGGCGGCGGGGATCAGGATTCAGGATGGATGTTGCGGAGCGACAGGAATCGGTAACTAACCCCACTTCGATGCGAGCATGTACGTTTTCGAATCCCATAGATAGTCATTCCCAGAGTTCCGGCACCGGGATGGACGCCGAGCTAGAGTATTTCCGTGATATCGGCATCGGCACAGATGGAGACATGCACAGATCATCACTCGGACCCATCCCACCCCATTCCATTTTCCAAAGCAGAGGGGCTCAAAAGACCGGCGGCAGTTATCTACGAGTACCATATCAAGAACCGCGATCGATAGAGGGGCGAGAGCTAAGAAGGAGACAGGACAGGAGCAGATGAATTGGAGCATGGCGGGATCCATCATTTGTTCGCAAATGGGTGCTGTTCGAATCCTTGAGGACAACGGAGATGGGCGGGAATGTCACCGTACAAGATGCACCGCGACGGACTGTATGGTAGCGGGGGTTTCTATTTGCTACCATGAGCCCTCTGCGGGGCGGACAGGAAAGTTTGGATAATTCGATTCGCCATACCTAGTCTAGAAAGACTGTATGCGGAATAAATCGATGTTCTCTGTCACCCACTCCCTCTCAAGGCTGTCGGTGACATCAAAAGAGCGACGGCAATGCCCTTGTTTATAGAACGGGGAATTGGAAGCAAAACAACCACTATAACTTTGCATGCGTTCCTCCCTCCTCATCCTATCTATCTTTCACTCCCGCACTCGGCATCTACCTTTACCAACTTCCTATGTACTAGCAATTAATTTTGTATTGTAACTACCGTACACTCCCCTCCTTCCTTCCTACCTGCTGGTAAACATGCCTGCATAGATACTCTGCAATGCTGATAATCCAGTAGGTACTCTATTGATATCAACGTGGCCTGGAACCGCTGATCACGGACCCTGTTTCGCTGTTTCGCTGTCCTGCAAGTCTTGCACTTCCTTCTCTTCGTCCTAGCTCGTCCCTCCTTCCTCGAAGATTTCCCCACTATTTCTTCGCAGACCGGTCTTTCAGCGCTCTTCCGGCCGCCGTTCGTTACACCTCCGCCATTCCCTCGCCGTTTCTCTGCTATTCATTCTTCACTCGCAACTCCTTTCTCGATCATTCTCCTCGTCAAATTCAACCCAACCGACGACCATTCGTGCGGACCTACCAAAACGCTAAGCATCTCTGTGCGTGGGGTTTTCAGTTCTCCACCGAAACTTGGGTGTTTTGAGGACATCGATTTCGTATATAGTGGGATCGCAAGGACGAGTGACGAACATGTGAAGTACCCAGCCGGAGCCATACATCGGGGGCTTGGGTGTTCCACCTGTAGGCTGTAGGCAGCAAGACGACAAGGCCAGGCTCCAGGGTACCGGAGTACGCAGAATGGCCACGATGGGCTGTCAGTGTTGAATGCGCCGGCCATGGCATACCTAATGGCGCCAGAACAATCCATTATCCTGCCGGCTTTGAGGGTTGCTCCCGACACCGGACGGATATCGGTATTCTTCGTTGCGTACTCACGGCCACCTGCGACTCTGCGAGCACTCTCCACTACCAGCCGTGAATGTGTAGCGGTAGTTGTGCACCGAGACCTGGTGTGGAGTGCTGGTAGCCGGCATGTATCGTCAAGTAGACAGTCGGATACGACAGCTTCTACGCACCACTGTTCCATTCTGGCCGTGGTTCTGTGGACCGTATTTTCGCCACATCCACAGTGCACACCAGACACGCTTCACTAGTGAGCCAGAGAGCTAGACACGTCCTCCCAGCGAAGGGGAGTCGTTCGAATCTCGATCGTAGGGGGATCACGGGGTGTCCGTGTCGTTACGATGAATTGCCTTCACATGAATCTGACGAAACGTCAGCAAACCGAAACGAACACAGCATGTGTACTATTCAACACTGGTAGATACTGCAGAGCTCGTGCTACGATCCCGTCCAAATCACAGCAAAAAGCAAACACTATGTGCAGACTTCGACACTTATGTAGAGCAGAACCGACCCCGCCCATGGGCCCGGTAGCCGTATTTATGTAGAGTATCTAGAGCCCCTTCAATCCTCAGGCTTCAGCCCCCGCCCCCACCTCTACATTGCCCGCACGCACGCAATCTTATCTTATCACAGTCGACGCCCTGCAAGATGCCACCCACATCAGCATCAGAGGAGCCTAAAGGACCAAGTTCCAACTTTACCAGAGTACTCTATTACCATTCCATCCGAAGAAAACCCAAACCGCCGTCTTAATTTTCCGTCCAATTCATTTCTTTCATTTCTTTCGTCCCTTTCATCCCTCGGCCCCGCCAGAGTAAATCATACGAAATCATATGATTCCCCGAGCGTCCGCGGCCGGCTGCAATTTGCCTCTCTCTCTCTCTTTCTTTTTACCCCCTCCCCCATTCGGAATTTCCCAAAATCTGCCCTCTTGTAGTTAACCTACCTACCCTTACTCTGGGTCTCTAGGTAGGTAGAGTACTGCCGGATCTTCGCGAAGGTAAGTTAGTCCCGAAGTGGGACTGCGGCGGCTAACTATGGCTATGGAAGTATCTACCGAGCTCTGAGCTCTCTCTCGTTTTCGTTCGGGAGGAGCCAGGAGGAGGAAAAGAGGGAAAAGAAAGAAAGTTTGCGTCCGCACCGACGAATTCAGCCTGCGTTCTCCGAATGCAGCGCGGCGGGGCGTACGGGGCGGGGCGTACGGTATGTGGTAGGTATGTGGGACGGTCGCGCACATGGCCCGGTGGTACGGAAAGGCGTTCGAATCAGAATGTAGAGCAGGTACATAAGGACATGAGGGGTGGGGCATATAGGAACATACATACGTGCGGAGTACATACTTACGCACGCACATGACGGCAGCGGCGGGCAGGAAGCGAATTGCGAATGTACTAGTTACTTTGCGGTACCAGTGTTTCCGTGAGTAGGTACCGGTGGGTATGGGTATGTGTGATGTCCCTTATCGTGATGTGATGTCTCGAGGCTTTGCAGGGGAAAGAACAAAATCCGAATCGGCAGCCAGCCAGCCAGCCAGGCAATAATCCTCCGCCGTATCACTGGACGAATACCAGCCAGTCATCAGTAAACTGAGTCTCCAGCTGAAAAGAAACAGAAAAAGAAAAAGAAGAAGGAAAAGGAAGATGTAAATCAAAAGAAACAAACAAACAAACAAGTGAAGAGACAACCAACCAACCAATGGCGTCAGTCCCCGACGAATTATCGACATGCGATCCGAATGCGGCAACGGGCTGTTTCTTGGGGGCCAAAAAAGCAATGTTTACCAGGACTTCCGGTCATCCCATCCTGAGATATCGTTAGATACATGACTCGGGGAGGCAGGTAAGTACTCTACTTACATAGCAATGGGAAATACAACATTCCGCCTATTATTCCCATTCCCTTAGATCGTTCTGCCAATTTAACCTAAAGGAATTATGAAAATCATATTCGTCTCGCGCCTCCCCCTTCACCAGCCCAGTAGCATTCCGGTCCGTAAGGCTTCGTGGGATCATGGGCAAGCCTCAGGGTCGATATTCAACAACAACAACCGCAATATCCGCATTGGCATGAATGCTGGCCGCGATGGAACTCGGATTAAGCGCACTCGCCACCGACCGACCGGCAGGCATTCCCTCTCTCTCTCTCTCTTAACCCTAATTCTCGGCCCTTAATCTCGCATACCAAATCCGGCGGCAAATGCTAAACCCCCGGATTCAACGAGGGTTCAACGAGGGTTCAACGAGGGTTCAACGAGTAACCAACGGTTCTGTTCTGTGGCCAGGCGACGCCTCCCCCTGCGCATGGGGGATGGGATGAAGGATGGGGGATGGGATGGAATGCTGTCTCGTGTCTCGTCTGAGTTCTTCGCCGCTCAGATCAGTCTCGCCGTGCCATTGGCCTCTCGTTGGCCTCTCGCCTCGGCAGTTGCTGGAAGTTGCTGGTAATTTCCGGGTCCAGTGACCGCCGCTGGGTTGGGGTGGACGGGGAGACGGGGGACGAGGGGACGGGGGTGGAGGATTGTTGTTCCCTTCCTCCGGCGTGGGCTCCGGTACAGTAGGTAGATGCTCAAACTGCCGACATCTAGATTCTACAATGTCCATGGACGGTGGACCATCGGGGACGGCTTCGGATCCGCGATCTTAGC